GCGCATGAAAATGCAAACGCATTTTAAATTACTGCTATAAAACAGAGAGGCGCGTGAATATTTATTGAGTGTGTGCGTGTGTGTGCCGCCGCCAAGCGGTAAATAAATGTGGAGGCGCGCACATTCCATATTTTATGCGCGCATTATTACTAAATAAACGGTATTGCCGCCGCCGCTACATGTTTTGTTCATTTTGTGTCGTTTTCTGTATGCCTGACGACACGGATCAACATTTTTTCACAATCAAAAGTGGTAAAAATCATAAAATATATATTTTTTAGGATAAATATTATTGGCACGTGCAAAGTATAAAAATATTTGATATATATATTTACTTTGTTTACTGTTTGTTTTGTTTTGATATGTAATTTCATTTTTTTTATCCATTTCTACCTAGTGGATTACGAATAATTAGGAAAAAAAAGAGTACAAATTAAGATTTTTGAATGGAAGTCAAATTATTCGTTTTTATTATTCATTTTATTATTATTCATGTACCACTTGGTAGAAATTGATAAAAATTTGACATAATAAAGGTATTTAGTGCCCTTTCTTAAATATTTAATAATTTTGAAATTATATCTAATAGTTTTTGAGTTGTGCGGCTTTAAAATCAAAAATTAATTTCAAAATTTACCAAGATTTACCAAAAAATTCATTTGTAGTTTTAATTTTACAATAATTCGTGTACCACTTGGTAGAAATTGATAAAATTTTGGTATAATAAAGATAATTAATATCTTTTTCTAAATATGAAAGAATAATTAAATTATATCTAATAGTTGCTGAGTTATTCGTCCATAAAATGAAAAATTAGTTTGAAAAGTTTGTTGTTTCAATGTATTCATCATTTAATTCTAAATTTTGCAATTATTCGTGTACCACTTGCTAAATATTGATAAAATTTCGACATATTAAATAAAATTAACATATAATCTCAAATATTCAAGGATTTTAACATTATCTCTAATAGTTTTGGAGTTATACGATTTTAAAGTGAAAACTTTGTTTAAAAAAATGTTGTTTGATTACGACACAAAATTTATAATTAATATTGGTTAATTATTACCAAATTCATCATTTGTTTACATTTTACAATTAAAATAATTTAACATACATTTCCAGCATCGACAAAATGTAAATTTTGGTAAATTTAGTGATTCAACAGCTGTAAAATTACGTATTTTGTACTTTTGGGCATTAGACGCACACCGATCGACCGTCTGTCGCACATCTGCCCATCCAGTTTTATTTTTATTTTTGATTCTTCTCGATTCCAACCAAACCAAATTTACCTGCCCATACTAATACACCGAGTGTTACCACTCATACAAATCAACTTCTTTTATACAAAACACACTTTAGTAGCATGTAAATTGCATTAAAACTTGTTGTAACCTTCGTATATTTACTTCTTAAGGTTACCTGTCTGTCTGTTTACGCTGGCGGCGCACCAAAGCCCCGACGACAGCTGGTAGACCTCTCGAAAAGCCCTTACACTTACTCCGCGACTCGGAACGCGCCAAACAAAAAAAATACCTTCACGAAACGCCAGACGCGTGCCGCTCGCGCGCCTCCGGATATTTTTTCTACACCTCACAGCTTTACCGATGCCAAAAATTAAGAATTTCGGGCCTGTGGAGGTAAATTTCCAACGGTTTTCTTTTGTCCACGCACACGAAGCGAAAACGACCTTCAATATGTCCAATTGAAAGCATGTTATTGTTGAGGTTTCATTCTTTCCCTAAACCCAGGAAGGTTTTTTTGTTAGGAAATGCGTTTTCTATTCTATACACTTGTGCAGAGCGGTGGCGGCAATGGCGGCGGTGAGTGGGTGGGCAACTAAAAGTTAATTGGAAAAGTTTTCATTGCCCGTCGGAGCGTGAGCTAACGTGCGCCCCTGCGCCGACAAATGCGTGCGCGTACTTTACAGCGCGAGTGCAAGACTTTTCAGTTTTCAATAAAATTGCATTTTGCGCAAACATTCAACGAGCGAAATTTCCAAAGTCAATAAAACATTTTCGGGCCATATTAAAATTTCCGCGCGCGCGCACGCCCGCAAAACTTGTAGTTTCGATGATGTTTAACTGGGAATTTCATTAAATAAACTTTTTAATGATGATTGTAGTGATGTATAATACAATTTATCATTTTTTGGACGGCAGGTGAGGATGTGTCGCGTATGAGTTTGCGCAAATTCGCGCGCTATTGACTAAAAGCATGTTTGCACTTTAATCCGCATTATAAATTCGCATCAATTTGGCTTGCGAGCATAAACATATCATCGTGCTTCATACATCATACGTTATGTTGCGCTGAGCGAAATTGCCAGCTACCAACAGCCGGCAAGAAAGTTGCATAACGATGCAACGTCTCAGACCTGCACGTCCTTCACAAAGTGACATCCAACATCATCATCAACTACATCAAACGTCTTTCGAGTAAACATAAAGTTGCAATTCGTAATACGCATATAAATATTGAAAAATGTGAGGGTAATTCACCAACAACATAACCTAACATCAATACTATTATATAAGTGTTGTGGAGCTTATTAAAACAATCAAAATAGTTGATTTTTTAGTCAAATTGCATTAAAAATTTATGAAATAATTTATGTAATTAGTATTTACTTGTAAAAGTGCTTTTTTGCAATAATTATGGTGTTTTTAGCCTAAAATTTGTTGGAGAAACCCAACATTTTACAATTTAGTTCAAAAAATTGTGAAAAGTTGTGTAGAAAGTGATAAAATTCTTAAATATTTTTGGAATTGCGTAATAAATATGAAATGTTCCAAAAATTTCAACATTTTAGTACAAAAACACACAATTCTTTAATTGAAACAACATTTTGCGTGATTATATTTCAATAACTACACTTTTTTGATGATAAAATGCGTAAATTTTATTTTTTTACAATTTTGTTGGTTTATATTAATTTTCTCGTTATAGCGTTAAAGTTTCTCTATGTAACGACGAAAAATATTTTCATTTCTAGCAATTATGAGCAAGAATATTTTTTCAATGACATGACATCGATGGTAACATTTGAAATATTGTTGTAATTATGATCCCAACATCCCTACAAATTGCAATGCATATTTCTATAACTTAAGCACGATTTTTCAGCTAATTTGTTGGGGTGCACGTTGCGTTATTAGAAAATCATTTAAACATAACACAAGTGAATACAACTGAGCGACGCGGAATTCATATTTAGACTTCAGGAAATATTTACCGGCATTTTTACTAGAGTAATTGAGTTTATAATCAGCTTACAAATGATTAAACTGCTGTCAATTCGCGTAAAGTATCAATATTTTGTTATTTTTAGTTCTTTGATGTAATGTTACCTCTAAACTGTAAAAATAACTTTAAAATACACAAAAATTTAAAGTTAATTCCACTGATAACCTAACCAAACATCAATACTATTAAATAAGTATCACTAAAGTAATAAATTTAGCTGTGGGTCGATTTAATTTCCGTTTTAGTAGTTTCTATTTCGTTCCGGGAGGGTTAAAGCTCCGCCTTTTCCGTCGACTCGACAAACCCGACGAACCGTTGAGGACGGAAGGATTTAGACGCTAGATTTCCGAGATTTACCTTAAGATAACTAATAAAACTGATAATTTATCGCCCAAAGTTTGATTTTCGACATACTCGTATATACGTAAACATTATTAATACCAATAATCGTATTTTGATTGTTTGTAATTCGTAAAATTTATGAAACAAAAGCCCTCAGTAGTTATTACTACTTAACAAGCCGCATGTGTGGTTTGTGCGGTTGTGCAATGCGTTGGAAAATTATAATAATCGAAGTAAAAGTGAGTCTCGTGTCGGTGGCTCCCTTGATGTCGCTCGAAGTTGGGGAGTTAATAACGAACGAGAGCGAAATCGGCCGCGACGGGCGACATCTTGACCGTGACAAGTCGCAAGCCGCAACCGGAGCATGAAAAACGAGCCGAAGATGACGAAAATGAAGCGGCCAAGAATGCGCGCTGTCAATTATTACGCCTGATTGCTGTAAAATGTCAAGCGGGCTTGTTTCGGCCATATATTAAACAAGCTGCTTGTAAGTGGAGTGTAATTACAATTAGTAATTTGCCACGGATTAAATTTTATTGTGTGCAAAAGTACAAAACGTAAACGAAAGAAAAAAGTATCGATTATTTGAATTACAGCTTTCAATATATGCAACTTAGCATACACAAAATATTTTTTATATTTTTAATACTTTTTATGTTTGTTTATTGAAAATAATGTTATTAAAATAACATTAAAATATAATCAATAGTTTTACAGCAGTGAATTGCTTATTAAATAACTAAATTTAGTAAAAATTTATTCTAGTTGCGTGTATTATGGGTTGCCTATAGTAAAACTCAATCACAATTTTTTCAAAATCGGTTACATAAATTTTTAAGTTTAAAGTTGTTTTCACTCATTTTTCCACGAAAAACTCACAATATAATAATATTTTTAGTATGTACTAAGTCCTAAATATATCCTACTTTGTCTATTTTGCAATCACAGTGCATAAACGTTAATAGAACAAGTCACAAAGTCAGAAGTCGACCCCGACATGCGAAACGCATTCAACATTCATACACCTTTGTGTACTCAGCAACCTTACAACCTCTTACAAGACTCTATCTTAACTTAAACAAAAGTCAACAACAAACTCAAACAACCTAAAACTAGTTTTGCAATAGCCCCATTTACAAACGCCGTGATTTTTATGTTAAATGCAAGCCACACGTGCGGAAAATTCAATCATTTACTCTAATTAACATGATTTAACAACATTATTAAATTACTTTGTTGTGTACAATATTCTAGGCGTCTTTGTCTTATCAATAACTTATCAATGACAAGTATGTTGTTGTTGTGGTGTGGAATGTTTCACTGTGGTTGAAGTAGTGTGACTTGAATCTTGCATCTTGCATCTCGAATCTCGAATCTTGCATCTTGAATCTTTCAGGAGAGTCCTGCGTTAGGACTCTCGCTGGTTTAGTCGTCGGTTAGTCAGTGAGCACAATGCTTCGGCCGCTGTTAGTCGCGTTGATTCTTGCGGGTGGTTTGATTCGCGACGCGCAATCAAGACACCATCATCTGCATCATCATGAGCACAATCCGCATGCGGAGGAAGTGATCATTAACGTGCCACCTCCACCAGCAGCAGAAACAACAGCGGTTGATGTTGATATTGATCGAAATACTGTCGTGGATGCTGCTACCGGTATTGTTTACAATCCGTATAGTAAACATCATCCAGGGTAATAATTTATTAATATTTTTTGGTTTTTGTTTTATTTTTTGAGATTTATGTCGACTGGTTGAGTTTCCGTCTGCATTTGCGTACATTTTTGTTTTTTTCGTTTCTTGTGGTGGTTGTAGGTACCTAGAGTTGAGGCAATAACGAGCAGACAATGCAAGCAGAACACGCGCGCAACGAATATAAATGCGTATCTAAAGCACCCGAAGGCGCAGACCGCGCAAACGGCACTAAATCGCTTTATTTTTCGCGTGCAATTGTGCACATCTCGAGTGTGAGTGGAAACAACACTGGAGAGCATGCGGGATAAGAATGAGATAAACGCAAGCAGAGCAAATCGTGGCGAGTTTGTCATTATATCAACAGATTTGCAACAGATTGCTGCGAAATGGGCAAAGTTTGCATTTTGCAACATGAAACATTAAAAGTTATTCTCAAAACTAGGAATTATTATTAGATTAGAAAGAGTTTTTAATGTAGGCAACCATATACTTAGAATAGCCTTGTTTTGAGTTTAATTAATTTCGTTATTTATTTTGTAACGACGAAAAATATTTTTATTTCTAGCAATTATGAGCTAGAATATTTTTTAAAGACATGACATCGATGGTAACATTTGAAATATTGTTGTAATTATGATCCCAACATCCCTACAAATTGCAAATGCAAATTTCTATAACTTAGCATGATTTTCAGCTAATTTGTTGGGGTGCGCTTGTGCGTTACTGAAAATCATTTAAACATAACACAAGTGGAATACAACTACAGGAAATATTTACCGGCATTTTTACTAGAGTAATTGAGTTTATAACCAGCTTAGAGATTAAAAAGTTGCCTATCTGCGTAAAATCGCAATATTTAGTGTTATTTTATTATTATTTTGGTTTCTCGATGTAACGAGATAAAATGGCTGCGATTGTAAATTTACTCTTCTTTGGCATCTTCAATTAAATACCACACAAAACATAATTTATGCCCTTGATACCGCCGTCGCCTTTAAAATTGAACCCCTTTTAAGTAGCCTTCTCTGCGCCATTATATTAATTTCGCAGACATTATAAACCCGTTTACGAGTGCAATAAAATCGTTGTACACAACGCGCCCGCACGGCCACTGCAGGCGTACAATTTGCATTCGTTAATTGGCTTTTATCGCTTTAATGGCGTCGCAGCCGCAAAAGAATAAATTACGTGCGTACTTGAAGGACAACATTTAAGAAAACTTCTTTGAAAAACCACATGAATAGCTAATTTTTTCATCGAATTTTTTGAATGCGTCAGCGGCATTTATGTTTACGTTAGCGCAAACTTACCAGAGCTATTTTTCACTGCCTGTAGGTTATATTTTGCGACGTATTTGTGTACCTATATTTATTCTCCTAGGTCCAAAATATCTACAAACCAAAACTTATCAAAATTCATTGAGTGGTTTTTGCGTGAATGCATCACAAACACACAAACAAATTACATTCGCATTTCGCATTGTTTTGTTTGCAACAGGAATATTGCCAAGCCACGAATTTTCAATCCCACGCCAGTCGTTTGTATCAATACAAATCCGTTTACTGGACGGCATAATAATCCCTTTATCACGGCCGCGTTGTCAGCACAATGGACTTCTGAAAGAAATCAAAACGCAACCAAACAGCAATTGAATTAAATCCAGCCATGTCTGCAGCTAATCCCTCACGTCGACTTTCAACAGTTTCAACTGCTTTACCGCTCGCACTGCGCCGATACAAATTGATATCTCTGTATTTGTTGCGTTCGCCAAGCTGAGAAAAGCCACAAAACCCGCCGTCTTGGTTTAACTTTACTTTAACTGTCAACAGTTCTTGTAGTGCTTTGTACTCGCTTTCGAACTTATTCGCGTTCTTGTCGATGCCGAGAATACTCGGACGTTAACATAACACCATCAGGAATTTACAAATTTAGTGGTTTTAAACTCTCAAGTTAATCTGCTGTACGTTTAGAACAATGTGTTTTGATATTTTTTGCTTATGTCGTGTCTGGGCGTGTTGTATTAATAAATTTACCCTTTAAGTAGACATAACTTACAAGCGTATATAATAAACTTTAAGTACCAAATAAAAACCAATGGAATAGAGTAAATGCATTGTTTGGGGTGTAAATGATGGGAAATTGGATTTGTCTAACTACAAAAAAAAAAACGCATTATGCTTATATCCATCAAACTAAACTGCTTTAAATGCAAATAAAGTAAAGTTGGTTGCATAACTATAAAGAAACGTAGGTATTAATTTTATTCTTTAGGCAAAACTTGTTAAAATAATTAAATATACCTGTAATTTGGATGAAAAAAGTTCAAGTTCAAAGGACTCGTCAAAACGTGTCAGTCTACATTTCCAGCACTTTTATAAACCTGAATTGTGTTTAGAGGATCTTTTACCATTACATATCGAAATATGAAAGTCTAACGTTCCCTCACTGACTTTTCGGCGTTAATTTCGGAGCAGCATTCTTGCTCGGATCAGCCATCGCGTTTATTCTTTTATTATTGCGATGCCACACTTTGAGGACCCGGAAACAGCAATTTATGCATGACTCAGCGGCGCTTAGTACGAGCCAAACGCATTTTTGATTATAACTTATCAGTCGTTTTTAAATTCATTTCCTGTAAATTTTTTGTAACAAAAACACAAATTTTGGATTTTGATTAAAAACTGCAAAATTCTGAAAAATTGCTTCAAAGAAACGCTAAAATGTCAAATCTTTTTCTTTCACCAAATGCAGTATTTATCAATATATGTGCTTGTGATATATACCGGTATGCGATATATCTCAGCGCAATATCGATAAACAGATGAGGTTAACAACAAATGTCGTAATTGCTTAGAAAACTTCCCAAATCTACATTGTAGTCACTTTAAACTTTTAAAGACCAACAAAAAGGTTCAGCAGGGCAGTTCAGAAATAATGTTTTCTATTATACTGGAGCATTCATCAAATCCGAAAATATGCAAATAAATAGCGCTTCGACACTGTGGCAATTAACATAAGTAAGATTGACTCTACCAATTTATAGATTAATCTGCAGTGTCAATTATCTTTGAATGTTTTATTTACTTTATACTTACAAAATACGAAATATTCCTAATTTATTTATTGAATTATTTTATAAATACCGGTATTACCGGTATACCGATATTTTTATTAAAAAAATGAAAAATTGATTACGAAATTTGCATAACAAATTTGATTAGAAAACTGTGATTCATTTTATGCAAAACATCGATCTCGTTCGCCGTCCGCACGCCGAAAAGATTCGATGATAAATGACGTCGAAAATGGTAACAACGCCAAAATCCACATTAATATTGAATGCTCAAAATGATAATTGCGTTGTCAATATATCCACACCGCGTTGTACATCCTGCGGGGAATTGGATATGAATAATTTCGCATTCCGCTCGGCGCACGGTTTGAGAGATATCTTAATAACTTCCAGGCATCGTCGCACGCCGCTCCAGCTTAGCCGCTTAGCAGATTAAACGGCGAAAAATCAAAGTCAAACCGCGCTCCAGAAAGACGTGATAAATTGATGAATGAGAGTTGAATTAATGATGGATCATGAAGTCGAATGCAAGTGCGGTCGCTATTAATTTATGCGCGGCAATAAGCGATAAATAATTACGCTGTGGAATGAACTTCACATTGAAATTGATTATTCTATTAAGTATATCTAATTAATTACGTACTATTATCGCTGCGCTTGTGGGAGAAAAATTATTTGAACCTCATAATCCGGTTATCTTTCCAGACTTATTTATTTTGAAGCGCATTGTTGGTGGTTGAGATTTATTTGATGGGGTGATTTCGGCAAAAGCTCCTGCTGATATCCATGCGCATAAATATCGGCCGCGCACAGCATGGTATTACGTTTATATCGGCGACATAAAGAACGCTCCAAAAATTCATGTAAATTACAAACTTATTAAAAATTCACGTTTAAAAGCGAAGATTTTCATTTTTACAAATGAAACTTTCTGGTTTTGCTAATAGAAATCTCTAAAGTTGTTATTTTATATTTGACAAATTAAATAGAAGCCAAAAACGCGACAAATCGTTGATTTTGTTTAGCATTTTTTGCATAAATAGGCAACCCAATCAACACCACACTTAAGTATTTCTGTATTTACAAAATAAAACAAATTCAGAGCAGAATCTGTTGCATTTTTAACAAATTTCTAGTAACTGTTAAACTACAAGTCTCTTTTCTCCCAATACACCACACCAAGAAAGAAATTTCATAGTATTTTTTTTTTATTTTACAGTCGCCATGTTTGCTCCAACCATAAGAATGTAACACAACCAGTAAAAACGCGCCAGTCTTTCTGCAAACCCACGTACAAGAAGTACACGCAGCGCTGCGAGGACAATCAATTATGCAGCGCGATAAGGTAGTTTTAACACGCGCCAGCCAATTATCGCTAATTAACAAAGCTTGCTCACCCAGGGTGGTATACGAGACCGGTTATCGGGACGTCGTCACCACCAAGATCAACAAACAAGTCTTTCATTATTGCTGTCCCGGTTGGAAACAAGCCACAAATAGAAGTTACGGCTGTCATACTCGTAAGTATAGACAACCAGTAATACAATACATACAGTATATACAATAAATGCATTGTTGGTTGCCTATAATAAATAAATTGTAAACTATTTTGATAGCTGTGTGTTCCGATGAATGCCATAACGGCGGTACGTGCACAAAACCGGAATTTTGCACATGTCAGCGTGGATTTACGGGACGCACGTGCGAAGTGGACCGCGACGAGTGCAAGGAGGAGAAGCCCTGCGATCAGATCTGTGTCAACCAGCCGGGCAGTTATCGCTGCGAGTGCAGGGAGAATTACAACCTGCAGGAGGATGGCCACTCTTGTAAACTAGACGGTTCGTACAAGCAAATCAACGCGTCTCTATAATTAGCGCATCAAAATGATTAATGGGATGTGCTGACCTCTGAAATCTTGTTTTCTTGTTTAATTTAGACGATCAAATTGGTTTCGAGGCGAAGGAAATGCAATTTGAGGAGCTGGATTCACGCATTCACAAAATTGAAAATGTAAAAACTAATTTAAAGTAAATTAAAAGTTTTTACTTAATTTAATTTTCAGATTTTGGAGGAAAACAATCCAGGAGCAATAAAAAATAGTTTTCGAGAGTTTGATGATAAGTTAACATATTTCCAAAAGGATTTCTCACTTTTAAAGCAAAATATTGTTCAAAAAGCAGAATACAAAGAAGATTTGACAGCGGTTAAACAAAAATTGGAGAAATTAGAAAAGAAATCGAATAAGATTGATGATTTGGCTGCGCGGTATGATAAAATGACGAAAGCCGTTTATAGATATTAATTTTAAGTCATAAAATAACATTTTAATCCTTCCTTTCCTTAAGAATCTTATTTTTATTCAAATTGCGTCTCATATTCAATCATTATCAGCATTGACAATGTGCGGGCACCGAACAAACAGTTTTTAGAGGTTAGAATTGTAAATACCTGCAAAGTTTAAGTTTAATTATTGTTGTAAGTTTAAAATGACCAGCCTAAAACAAAAACTCGCCTACTTGGCGGCAACTGCCATTCCAATCTATCTCTGGGCGAAATTAATACAGAATTATCTCAAATATAAGCAGCAAATCATTGAAAAGAAGAAAACACACAATAAACACAATTGTGTGGTTACATATTCGAAAGATTCCGGCATGTTTGGATGGCCTGAGTACCCGGAAAGATTACCACTGAATCTCAGCAGTTATGATAAGTTTCTTGAACCTGTTCTGTACTTTATTGACACTGCAAAATACAAATTGGATGTGTCTGTGATGATTTTAAATTGCCAAAACATTATTGATGCACTTGTACAAGCAGCAGAGAGGAATGTCAAGATTAGATTAATACTAGATGCTAGATATAATGATGTAAAGCAGAAGATGAGACTGCTTGTCAAAAAAGGTGAGTTTTTATTGTTTTGACTTAACTTTATTATAATTTGGGATGTTTTCTAGGTGTAAAAATAATGTATGATCAAAAGTTTTTGCATACTGATTCAATGATGCATAATAAGTATGCTATTAAGGATTTTAATCATCCTAATTGTTCAAGAGATTCCGGTTTTTCATTGTGTGGATCTATGAACTGGACTCAATCAGCATTCAGTGAGAATTATGAATTTTTGGTCTTGTCAAGCAATAGACAAGTGGTGGAAGCATTCAATAAGAACTTTGAAGAGTCTTGGGAGTTTCTACATAAAGTAAAGGAGACTAATATGCTTACTGAAACAATGTATCAACTGTAAATTGAAGAACTAAAAATTTGAATTTTATTTGCCATTTTTCTATATGCAACCAACATTACACGGTTGATTTGTGGGACAAGCGTATCAAAAAAGTTTCTCAAGTTATTTTTTATTCATATTTTTAAATGAGCGTTAATGTTAAGTGCGAAAATGTTTTAGTTTAGTATTAATTAACGAATACAAATTGTTTTCCACATGAAAATATCAAAGTTGTCTCATCGGTTGAGTTAAATTTCATTGTTTAATTTCGTATAAGAACACCATATTCCGCTTGGTCTAATTTGACATTTGACAGTTCACATGTTGGTTGTATTCATACCGATTTACAAACACCGACTGCGCATCGTATTTGGCATATTTCTAGTGGAATTAACGAATTTCTCCCGCATTTCTTCAATTATGTGATAGAATCAAACACAAACCACCTCAGCACACGTGTACTTTAGCGATAAAGCGCCAACTCTTCACAATGGAAGACGTCGCAGGTATAATTTTATATAATACATATAAGGTTAGAAAAATCACAGAGATCATTATTGATGTATAATATTCACACTAGCAGCGTCTCCGCACGCTGAAGAGAACACAAACCCCCAATCGACGTCGCCGCAGAGAAATGGCATTGTATCACCAGACTACATCAAATCCAATTCCGGATCATCACTGAAAGACTGTGAGGACCAGACTTCACTGAAACCAGCCTCTGAAGACAATGAGGGTGCACTCAATACATCAAAATCCCCCTCACGATCGCGCTCGCCTTCCAGGAGCGTCCATTCGAAGTCACGGTCGAGATCGCGCTCCAACTCCGACTCCAGAAAGAGCAGATCTCGTTCAAGGTCACGCTCAAGATCACATTCCGGTTCTCGCTCCCGATCTGGTTCACCAGCCAGAGACTCCAAACATGGTTCCAGGTCAAGATCACGTTCTAAGAATCGCAGTCGCTCGCGATCAGGATCCGCATCCCAGCGGAAATCTAGATCTAGATCAAGATCTGGTTCCGGGTCCAGAAAGGGTTCAATTTCTCCAAATTCTAAGCGGAATAGCCGCTCGCGGAGTCGATCTAGGATTAGATCCAGGTCTAGGTCGGGTTCCAGGTCCAGATCACGTTCGGGTTCTCGACGATCAAGATCAAGATCACGTTCTGGCTCACGATCAAGATCTCGATCCCGCTCGGGTTCTGGCCATCGATCGAGATCCGGCTCCCGCAGTCGATCAAGATCCAGGAGTGGATCCAGGCGATCACGGTCGGGATCAAGGTCAAAGTCTAGGTCCAGGTCCAGATCTCGTAGTAGTCGATCTTCTAGATCGAGATCTGGTTCGCGATCACGGTCGAGATCAAGAAGTCGTTCAAGGTCACGATCAAGGTCGAAATCTCGGTCGAGGTCTCGATCACGTTCGGGTAAAACGAATATATTGTGAAAATGATAATGATAATATGGATAACTCATGTTTTGATAGGATCTCGATCTGGTGCTAGCAGGAAAAGACGCGCGTCTTCCGGTTCGGAAGGTAGATCACCATCTAAGCACGAACATGATAGCAATGAAGCGGGAATCAGATGGCGCGCCACCTGCTGCCCGAAAACTTCTGTCCTGCCGAATATCTCGGACGATTCCGATGATGAAATTGATCCGGATCGCGAAACCAGTGGTATTTTTCGACTTATCACGTAAGAGTATTGGTAAGAGTGACAGATGATTGAATTATTTTTATAATAGAAATCATGGCATATCTGATTTTGATGCTATGCTTCAACGCAAACGTGAAGAACAAACGAAGCGAAAACGGCGTGATATTGGCTCATCAACGATAGCCAGTATTATCATTGCGCAAAAGACTGTGAGGACCAGACTTCACTGAAACCAGCCTCTGAAGACAATGAGGGTGCACTCAATACATCAAAATCCCCCTCACGATCTCGCTCGCCTTCCAGGAGCGTCCATTCGAAGTCACGGTCGAGATCTCGCTCCAACTCCGACTCCAGAAAGAGCAGATCTCGTTCAAGGTCACGCTCAAGATCACATTCGGGTTCGCGTTCCCGATCTGGTTCACCAGCCAGAGACTCCAAACACGGTTCCAGATCAAGATCACGCTCTAAAAATCGTAGCCGCTCGCGATCAGGATCCGCATCCCAGCGGAAATCTAGATCTAGATCAAGATCTGGTTCTGGGTCCAGAAAGGGTTCAATTTCACCCAGTTCTAAGCGGAATAGCCGCTCGCGGAGTCGATCTAGGATCAGATCCAGGTCTAGATCGGGTTCTAGGTCCAGATCACGTTCGGGTTCTCGACGATCAAGATCAAGGTCACGTTCTGGCTCACGATCAAGATCCCGATCCCGCTCGGGTTCTGGCCATCGATCGAGATCCGGCTCCCGCAGTCGATCGAGATCCAGGAGTGGATCCAGACGATCTCGGTCGGGATCAAGGTCAAAGTCGAGATCCAGGTCTAGGTCTCGCAGTAGTCGATCTTCTAGATCGAGGTCTGGTTCACGATCACGGTCGAGATCAAGAAGTCGTTCAAGGTCACGATCAAGGTCGAAATCTCGATCGAGGTCTCGATCACGTTCGGGTAAGACGAATATATTGTGAAAATGATAATGATAATATGGATAACTCATGTTTTGATAGGATCTCGATCTGGTGCTAGCAGGAAAAGACGCGCGTCTTCCGGTTCGGAAGGTAGATGACCATCTAAGCACGAACATGATAGCAATGAAGCGGGACCATCGAATGGCGCGCCACCTGCTGCCGAAACTTCTGTCCTGCCGAATATCTCGGACGATTCCGATGATGAAATTGATCCGGATCGCGAAAACCAGTGAGTATTATTTTTGCGACTTATCACGTAAGAAGTGATAGTAGATTGACAGTTGATTGAATTATTTTTTATAATAGAAATCATGGCATATCTGATTTTGATGCTATGCTGCAACGCAAACGTGAAGAACAAACGAAGCGAAGAAAGCGGCGTGATATTGATATCATCAACGATAATGATGATATTATCGCGCAATTGTTGACTGATATGAGGAATGCGGCCGAGGATGACCGCAGACTGAACCAGGCGTCACAACCTGCCACGAAGAAGATTGGCATGCTGCAAAAAGCGATGTCGCAGATGAAGAAACATGATTTGCAGTTGGCGTTTATCGAACACAATGCTCTGAGTGTTCTGACTGATTGGTTGGCGCCGATGCCGGATAGATCTATGCCTTCGTTACAGATTCGCGATGCCATTTTGAAACTGTTGTCGGATTTCCCGAGGATTGATCAGCAATCGTTGAAACAATCTGGTATTGGTAAGGCTGTTATGTACTTGTATAAACATCCAAAGGAGACGAAAGAGAATAGAGAACGCGCTGGGAAACTTATCAGTGAATGGGCGAGGCCTATTTTTAATTTATCTGCTGATTTTAAAGGTATTTTTGTTTTTTCTTTGATTAATGAGTGAAAAGAAATAAAATTTTGTGTTTTTTGTAATAGCTATGTCTAGAGAAGAGCGTCTCCAGCGGGATATTGAACAAATGCCGAAAAGACGCCGTGAAAGCGATGAGGGTTCTTCCAGTAGACGCGATAAAGACATTTCGAAAGCACTTAATGAAGATGGAAAACCTCTACGACCAGGTGATAAAGGATGGGTTGCACGGGCACGCGTTCCAATGCCTTCAAATAAAGACTATCTGGTTAGACCAAAGTGGCAATCTGAGGTGGACATTAGTAGAGTAAGTTTGTTTTCATCATAGAGGGCGAAATATTGATATATTTTGTAAATTTCAGTCATCGAAGAAAGCCATGAATCGATTCGAGCGCCATTACAAGAATTTCATCGACGGCAAACGAGCGAAACAAAGCCGGCGAGCTGTCGAAATTTCAATAGAAGGCAGGAATATGGCTTTGTAAGCAATTTAGTATTAAGGTAATCTTCTGATTTGATTTCTTTACCACCGTGCCGAATTATTTATATTTACAGCGGTGTATTGACGAATAAAAATAATTTTGAAGTCGAATTTTCTGTTCATATTTCCGTAGAGGGCGCTCGACCGCAACGCTTGCGCGTTTATTTGTTTGCAGTGTTGCCATTTACATTTAGTATTGAGACAGCGTCAAGTGTCATTCACTTGTGCGTTGCATTCACCTCTTTCACTTCATTGTCTTCGCAGCAGCCGGTGACGACGTCCATTTGTGACCTTGTATTGCTGATAGCGTGAACTTTAGCTAACCAGGTAGGTGCGCTACACTCTAATCAAATTAACACACGAAAATATAACAACAACTTCCGAGTCAAAGAAAACGATCGTGTTCCGTTAGCGTCCCTCTTCTTCGAGCGACGTAGAGTTTCACAGTATTCCATAAACTCGGATAGACCACACTCTCTCTGTGCCTCTCTGATACAATTACATCTGATTTAATACGATTTACAATGGCTGCATTTCTCTGTGTTTTTGATTGATCCGTTCGTTTCGCTAGTCGTAGTCGCACACAAAATGGCGAATCGAAGATTTGGGAATCAGGGTCCTCCGCAGCGAGGTAACTCGGGCGGGCGCAGTTTTGGTGGGCCCGCGTCGAACATTAGCCCCTGGCAAGGGGGCGCCCCACCCGGCGCGCCAGCCAATAATCAAAATATCCAAAGTCAACTGGCACTTGCTCTCACTAATCTCATCCAGCAGTCTACCCAGCCACCGTCTAACGACGGCCCGCCGTCGCTGCTCAATTTAAACACATCTCCCGGATTTTTCAATCAGGATCAGTATAATAATCAGAATCAGCCGCGATTCCCAGGCGGCAATCGCGGTAGGCAAGATTTCCGCCGCAATGAGCCTTACAATAATAAGGTACTTGTACACAATCATTCTGACAACAGTTTCTGCATTTTTATTGATTGCATCCAGCCTGAGCTGATATCTGATATGATCTGTTTCTTTTTCGTTTGTTGCATTTTTTCTCCACACCTCTAGAATCGTATGAGTGGCTGGCGTAATGATAACAATCGCAACCGAGGATCTAATCATTTCTCGTCACAAAAAAAAGACTTTAATTCTCGCGATAATCACAAGGGCCAGCGACCTACGCCAAGAGATAACTCTAAGAAATTTAATGATAAGCTTTCTTCTAAGCAAGAAAAACCAGCAGCTGAAGCAGCTGACAATGGGTAAGAGAATGATCTACTTTATTGTTATAATTAATTCTTTTTATATTTATATATAAAATATTATGTGTATCAGTACTTTCTTAATTGGCCTATCGTTTTCGCCGAAATTTTACTAATCGATACGAGACGAATGTTTCCTCCGGCATTAGTCCATCTGAGAGATGCTTGCGCACATGTCTTCATCTTCAATGTGCAGTATTTTTGATGTTTCAATAATGATTCAAAGAAAAGTCATCACACACAGTGTCATTTTTCTATTGTAGATCTTCTGAAACATTTGCTAATTTTATTTGTTTTGTGTTAGCAACAAGCAAGTCAAGCAACAGCAGCAACCACAACAACAGTTGGCACCTGCGGTTAAAGTTGAAGATGCACCCAAGTCTGAGGAACAGAAGGAAGATGGTCCAAAGCTGCCCACTAAGTATGACCACATCCCGAATGGGCTTTTGCATTGCTGCGTCTGCAATAAAAGCATGTGGGATGGTGAATCCTTCCAAAATCACGTTGGAGGCAAAGCGCATAAACAGATGATTGCCAGTTTAGAGGAAAGCTTCCAGATTACTGTTAATATTCTGCGTGAAAATATGCGTCTGACTGAGGAGCGTAAGGTGATTGAGTTCGAACGCATGAAGCGCTCACGTCGCTATCAACATAATAATCAACATGAGCCGGAGAGTCATTGCAACATGTGCGATTTGAAGTTTATGGGGAAGATTGTTTTGCACAGACAGTAAGTTATTATTATTTATTGCTAAAAACTTGAGATGATGTTAATTTGATTTTGTTTTGTATTAGGTCTGAAGGTCATCAAAGACTCAAGCGTTTTCTGCATCCAAAGTGTAGCAAATGTCATCTCGAGTTTACATCGCGCATGGAATGGGTGGATCATATCTTCCTGCCTGAGCATTTGCAAAAGGTTAAAGAGTATTTGGATAATAAGAACACTGACTACGGAGAGTACAAAATGTCGATGAAGGTTGACATTGACAATGATCCGCTTTTGGAAGAGAATATGCAGAACGAGGATGATAATCCGATTCTGGAGTTGTCTGATGATTTGAATAATCTCTTCAATCGCATTCCAGTCTTCAAACATGACCGCCCCTTGGCGAAGGATAGTTTGAAGCCGGCTACTGGATTCATCTGCGAGATGTGCAAGATGTTTATGCCTACAAAGGAAGCTTCTGAGGTAATTTATAGGATTAGAATTACATTGTAGCCTCTTTTAATTCCTTGAAAGTTATATATTAATTTCCTTGTTAACAGTTGCCTATCCGCGTAAAATTGCAAAAAAAAATTGTTTTTCGATTCCTTGAGCGTCGTTATAAAAAGGCTACAAGCGATATTATTGAATTATAATGATTTATATGTTTTAGGAGCACAATAAATCATATAAACACTACGTGAAGTTCGTCGAGACCATCAAGGCGAAGTACCAACGTCAGGCGAACGAGAAGAAAAAGGCTGACGAAGCAGCGACCAAGCAGGCCGCTGAAGCTAACACAACTGAAGTCGGCAAAGACGAAGTAATTGATGTCAAGAATGAACCCGAGACAACTTCTTCCACTAAAGTGGATGACGCTCAGAAAGAAAACGGAAATGGTAATAAAAATTGCCAAGAAGATGAGGAAGATGCCGCTTTTAATAATTTGTTAGATGGTATGTGTACAAGAGTTGTTCTGGTTTTGCATTGGATTGTTTTTAATTGTTTACAGATATCTACACCGAAGTGACAGCAGAGTCTGCCTTCGAGAGCAAGGAGTCTGCCCCAGTAAAGGAGGAGGATGTGGTGGAGATTAAAGAAGAGGAATCAGATGTTGTTGAGGTGGAGAAACCTATCACACGTCAAACGAGACGTTCTGCCGTGCGTGTCAACGGCACTCCTCCAGCCGCCAAGAAGGCGCGCTCTTAGATTTTTAATTTTGAACTTGCAATCATAATTAATTTTATGTTTTTTTATTTGCTAGGATTATTATACCCAAATAGATAAATCAGTTCTCGTGTATTCATATAGAGAAGTATGTATAATTTATGTATTGATAAGTATGTGTTGGGTAGGACTGAATAGTGCGATGAGCATGTATTTCTTCAAATGTATTTGGAGTAATTTGATGGTCTTATTTTTATAAATTTAGTTCAATAAGTATACTAAATAAATGACTTACAGATAAAAGTGCTTTCTGATTCTCTGATCTTATGGGTTTCTGTGGATAACCAAGGCCGATTTATCTTCTATTTTTATTTTTGTTTAGTGGATAAATTTTTACCTTAAAAATTGTAAATTGATGCGAAAGGGACTAATTTTTGACCAAAAAATTTTTCAATTAGATTTTTGTTCAGTTTCTGTGCGAAGTCAAAATTTTCTTTAAAAAATTTTCAACATAAAAAAGAGAAATCTTTTGCCTTTTTTATGACGAAATCTTTTTTCAGCAAATGCAACTTTTGAAATAATTGGAATTTTTAAATTCTGTTTTCGGTTTCTGAAAGATAATTTAATTCTATATCGACTATTTAAGTAATTATTTTCCTAGCATTAACCGTTTAGGCTCTGTTTGCAATTTTATTTATACATTTATATTTCCCACCATAATACGGTTAGGTGTTGAGGCGCTTATCAGAATTTTGCACCATGTAAACAACAGCGCACATGTTTTGAAACTAGTTTGGTTCTAACCGCCGGCCGGTACGTATTACTAATTGTATATTTAGTTTTATTCAACATTTTCATATTTGAATTCGTTTTATATTTAAACTTAAATATGTAGTGGTAAATGTTTAAACGTTTTTATTCAAAATCATTAAAATTATGAGACACTGATTTCTGTTAGTGTTAGGTTAGTTTTAGGGCTCTAGAAATTGAACATAAGCTAATTTTACAAATGTGTAGTACCTACCCATTTTAGGTCAATTTTGATTTCGTGTTTCAATCAAATATTTTGTTATGTTTTATTATCTTATGTGACGCGACGGGACAACAACCTAGGCGCGGTGCGGTGTAACGCGGTGGGTTAGCATGATTGTTGTTATTCTAGTTTTGCTTAGTTCACCTTGCGCTCTTGTGTTGAGTGCACGCGTTTTATTTTTATCGATGTTTCCAGTCATTCCTCGTGTTTCTCTTGTGTGTTTAATTCGGTAATCGTGTTGTATTTCTCCTGCCATCGACTGCATTTAATTGTCACTACTACGTGAGTGGGCATTTGTTGATAATTTAAAGCACGTGGAAACGGGAATTATGTAATTGTATGCGTGCGCGATTGCCGACGGACGTCTTCCGATTACTTATTATCCTAATTGGATGAATGTTCCCCTTGTGCAGTTTATGAAAGAGCGAAGTAAGTGTTTTGTTTTGTTTGGTATTTTTATCTTTACTACTATTTTTATGTTTACTTGTATGTATTTTTAAAAGTTATTAATAAAACACCTATTACATTTATAATCTTATTCACATTTCTATTTGGTACCCTCTTTGTCGTTTTTCAGTATTAAATAGTATGGCATATAACTTAAGTGCGTGGCGCAGGAAAAACATAAATAAAAGAATCAAATAACAATGATAAAAACACTCGGTGGTCGAGTGGAGACGTGCACCTGCTGGCATGCTTGCAGACACGGATCGAATCTCAGGTATAGAAGGCATTTTTCTCAAATATAAAAATATCAGGTGTAATTTCGGTTGCATATATGAATTGCAACGAATTATAAGAGAAATTGAAATACAAGTGAAGGCAATAAGAAGAGAAGTAAAGAAAGTAAATAGAGAAACGAGAACAGGGAAAAAGGAGAAAAAGAAGTAGAAGAGAAGAGGAGAGAAGAAAGGAAGAGAAAAGAGTAGAGAATAGGAGGAGATAGAAGAAAGAGAACAGGGGAGGAACAGATTTTTAAATTTTTTGGCACGTGTCGTTATAAGACAGTCTACGGTCGATCTCCCGGAGGCGCTCTGGTCGATCGCCCACTGCTTCGGTGCGTCCATTGCTCCCGGCCCATCCTACAGCTACGATGTCTCTGCGCTTCATCCCCGAAATTATCAGGCATATCAACAATTTTTATGGGATCACCCCCAGAGAGAGGGAACCCTTATAAGAACATCCTTAAGGACTTGTAAAATATTTCTAATTTTTAAGTCGCCTCAAGAGAGGACACTTAAAAACATTCTTACAAGTTCTGACCTGCAGCTGAAATGAAAGATGGAGCACACAAATCATACAGGATACCTTAACAATTTTTATAGAGGGGATCATCCTGAGAGAGGAACTCTCTTAGAGACCCTACCCGTAATGATAGAAGGCGAACACATAAATGAAAGTAGTCAATATATCTTACTATTTCTTTACAATAAATAGAATACAAGTTTTGATTTTACAAGTCAACGGAATTCGTGCCGCCATATTGAACAGGACTTTACGACCTTCTTAGCCGCGCACATCTAACGCCAGCTAAATGTAGCAAGTACCACTTCATAAAGTAAGTGAGATAAACAAATTAGCAACAGCCCATTTTCTACGCCAGTGGAAACAACATACAGGGTGTTACAAATGGAAAATTTAAAATGGAAACAGAAAAACATTTAAGCACAACAAATATCGCTGGTTTTTCACCCAATGTCTGGAAAACTAATATACAGGGTGTTACAAAAAGAAAATTATAATGGTTTTATACAAAACACAGGCTACAATGAGAAAAACATTTATCTGAATCATTTTCGCATGACACTACGGAAAACTAATATACAGGGTGTATGCGAAAGAAAATCAAAAGTTCCTTAGGTGAAACATGAAAAAATTTTACTCTTTTTCAATTTTTCACAGAAGAACAAGGAACATTTATATACAGGGTGATACAAATCGATACAAAAAGGGAAAAAAGGAAAAACCAACTTTTAAGCAGGAGAACGCTTAGAAACAATACACAAGATAATACAAGAAGAAAGCATTAGAAGAGAAATATTAGATATTTAACAATTGCCCAAGGAAAAGCAATGAAGAATAAAAGAAATAGTGATACAATAATATAAAAAATAAATTAAGATTAAATCATTTTCCCTTTGGATAACAAGAAAATGTGAATCCTTATTGTACGAGTAAAACAATGGACCAGCAGCACGCAACACGCCATAGGCTGTAGCGAAGGCAAAGAAACACATCCGACGGCACGCGACAATCTTGAACAACGAGTATTGTAATGTGTGCATAAAACGCGATAAAAGACAAAATTAATACAGCTATCTATCAATCAATTTTAAATGTAAATATGAAACTAGTATAAAAAAACATACCTTGATGCAAAATAAATGTTTCGCTTGTGTAGTATCCAATCACTTATAGGCATATTAATTACGCACATTACAGCAACGATGAAACACGCGTATAATACTAGAATACGAAAATAATTAAATTCAAAATGTAGTTGATAACGTCTTTTTACATTAAATGAATATAATCGAAGAGTATCCACGGCCGACGGTACTCGTACATCATTCACACGTTAACTCGAATAACGCGAATATACTCGTACAACCCGCGTTTAACAAACACCGCACATCACCCTCGTGCAATCGAACGAATCAATTACAGATCTATTAGGAATATTGCATAATAACTCAAAAAAAAAATTAACAAGGGTTCGCGAAGCGCACAGTTCACCGGACGATCAAAATTAGACTAACACCGTTTGCAAGCCGACCGCGTGTGCCGAGAATGTGGCGACGGCACACAAGTTGAAGATAACAAAAACGTGTTTGTTTATAAACACAGATAGTAACAGTGTAAGATGCTAGAACAATTCTATATAGTATGCATTGAACATTTACGTATACTCGTATTATAAGGAACATAGACTGCAGATGCATCACGGCCGAAAGACGTCTAAAATAGTTACCTACACGATAAAGAAATGCACCTAACAACACAATAAATAATGAATAATATAACTCGCGTTACGGAATTTTCTATCAAGACATTTCCATACTTGGAGATACAGAATTAAAATCCGCATCTAATAAAATTATTCCGGACTTAGAATTAGGCTGCGTTCGCGTGTTATAATAGAAAACTACAATTCCAGCGCAACAAGTACAAGTACGTATACACACAACTATCAATATAACTCGCGCAAAAAATTTTCCAGCCAGCAAAGTTCGATACAGGAGATACAGATTTAAATTCCGCATCTAATAAAGCATCTGACTTAGAATTGACTGCTCCGCGCGTTATGACAAAAAACTACAATTCCTAGCGCAACGAGTACAAATGCGTATACACACAACTATTAATATATAACTCGCGCAAAAAATTCTTTTGAGCAATAAAGTTCGGATACAGGAGATATTGGTGATTTAAATTCCGCATCTAATAAAGTTATTCCGACTAAGAATTAGACCGCGTTCGCGTGTTGGCGACAAAAAAAAAAACTACAATTCCTTAAAAACGAGAGTACAAATGCGTATACACACAACCATTAACGGCAACTCTCGCGTAAAAATTTTGAGCAATAAAGTTCGATACAGGAGATACAGATTTACCCGCATCTAACAAAAGTTGGTTCCGACTGAATTAGACTGCGCCTGCGTGTTGCGACAAAAACTACAAATTCCTAGCGCAACGAGTACAAAATGCGTATACCACACAAATTCATAATATAACTCTCGCAAAAAATTTTGAGCAATAAAGTTCGGATAAGCAGGAGATACAGATTTAAATTCCGCATCTAATAAAGTATTCCGGACTAAGAATTGTGACTGCGTTCGCGTAAGTTGCGACAAAAATCTGGCTACCTTAAGCGCAATGAGTACAAATGCGTATACACAACTATTAATATAACTCGCGTAAAAAATTTTTTGAGCAATAAAGTTCGATACAGGGAGATAGATGATTACACTGATTAATTATGTTATGACAAAAAAAAAACTACACCCTAGCGCAACGAGTACAAAATGCGTATACACACAACTATTAATATAACTCTCGCGTAAAAAAAATTTTTGAGCACAAGTTCGATACAGGAGATACAGATTTAAATTCCGCATCTAATAAAGTTATTCCGACTAAGAATTAGACTGCCGTTCGCGTGTTATGACAAAAACTACAATTCCTAGCGCAACGAGTACAAATGCGTATACACACAACTATTAATATAACTCGCGTAAAAAAATTTTGAGCAATAAAGTTCGATACAGGAGATACAGATTTTAAATTCCGCATCTAATAAAAGTTATTCCGGACTAAGAATTAGACCGCGTTCGCGTGTTATGACAAAAACTACAAATCTTCTAGCGCAACGAGTACAAAATGCGTATACACAATAACCATTAATATAACTCGCGCAAAAAAAAATTTTGAGCAATAAAAGTTCGATACAGGAGATACAGATTTAAATTCCGCATCTAATAAAGTTATTCCGACTAAGAATTCAGACCGCGTTCGCGTGTTATGACAAAAACTACAATTCCCTAGCGCAACGAGTACAAATGCGTATACACACAACTATTACTATAACTCGCGTAAAAATTTTGAGCAATAAAGTTCGATACAGGAGATACAGATTTAAATTCCGCATCTAATAAAGTTATTCCGACTAAGAATTAGACCGCGTCTTCGCGTGTTATGACAAAAAAACTACAATTCCTAGCGCAACGAGTACAAATGCGTATACACACAACTATTAATATAACTCGCGTAAAAAAATTTTTGAGCAATAAAGTTCGATACAGGGAGATACAGATTTAAATTCCGCATCTAATAAAGTTATTCCGGACTAAGAATTAGACCGCGTTCGCGTGTTATGACAAAAAAACTACAATTCCTAGCGCAACGAGTACAAATGCGTATACACACAACTATTAATATAACTCGCGTAAAAAAATTTTTTAGCAATAAAGTTCGATACAGGGAGATACAGATTTAAATTCCGCATCTAATAAAGTTATTCCGGACTTAGAATTAGGCCGCGTTCGCGTGTTATAATAAAAAAAACTACATTCAAGCAGAGTTTACCGAACACCGCACATCCTCGTACAGTCCGACAAATCAATTAGGAATATTACACAATCACGCCAAAATAATTAAGAAATGTAAACTTATGGATCGCGAAGGCGCGCGCGTGCAGATCACCGGACGATCAAAATTTGACTAACACCGTTTGCAAGCCGACCGCGTGTGCCGAGAATGTGGCGACGGCACAAAAGTTGAAACAGATAACAAAAACTGGTTTGTTTATATACACAGATAGTAACAGTGTAAGATGCTAGAACAATTCTACATAGAAAGCAGTGAATATTTACGTATATTATATGGAACACTGCATTATAAGGAAGACTGCAGATGCGTCACGGCCGAAATACGTCGGCTTCACTAAAAAATAGTTACTCTACGCAATAGACATGAAACATGTAACTAACAACACAATAAATAACTATCGGCATTATTATCTGGAACTTATAAGCATAGGAGTAATTTTCTCATAAAAAAAATTGTACTTCAATCTACTATATAAAAATAAATCGAGTTTCCCGATTCCGATATCAGAACAATTCTAACTTCTAATTTTCGACATAAAAATGAGCAATTTTTTGCCTTTTTTATGACAAAATTTTTTTTCAGCAAATGCTTTCGAAATAATTACAATTTTTAAATTCTTGTTTTCGTATTCTGGAAGATAATTAAATTCTACTATTGAAGTAATTATTTATCCATCAGTATAAGGCCATCTACAATTATTTCACTAGTATAGTAGTATTTCTTAATATTACAATCATTTCCTAGTATTTCTTGTAAATTTAGAATTGTACGATGATTATAAAAAGCCCTGATTAAACTAAAAGTTCCTATAAAAGTAGCCTTACTATATACAATCGTGTTACGTCGTTTTTTCTCGTGTTGCCTTGACCTTGAATATGAAATTTCTTTGCGCAAGTGGTGGCAACGTTGCATATTTGAATTCTTTGGATCAACCCCTATTGGTCACACAATACGACGAAACAAGACAAGAGGTGATTGCAAACAGATTTTAATCTTCGGGAGAACGTTGAAAAACTATTCTTGTCACAAAGTTTTTACCACTGGAATAAAATAATTACTTTTTAGGAAACTTAAGTTAACCAAAATTAATAATCATGTCCGAAATATTAATTTTTCTTATTTTTAATTTATTTTTTGTATAAACAGAAGTTACAACTCTAGACCATTCGCCTAAGGAGTTCGTTTATCTTGTCCTCCCGGTTACCAAAGTCACCACCCTCAACGTAGTGGTTTGTCTTCTTGCGCCATCCGCCAGTTGGTGTGTTTAACTGCAATTATAAAAACACACATCCAATAAAACAACTACTCAAACAAAACTTTCATGCAAAAACAATAAAAATGTTTGCAACTTTCACAAGATACAATTAAATAAACATTTAAAAATATCTTACTTTAAATTACAAATTAATCTATCCAGAGCTTTTAATCATAACATTTTTGGTTTAAATGCTATGAAGATCTGACTGGATGTCACATTGAAAATTGAATTGTTTACCTTGAAGGGCCACAAGAAGTTTGAGGCATATTTGAAGTTTGTGCCCACAGTGAAGATCTCATGAATCAGGTCTTCAGTGCAGATCATGTTAGCCTTGCCCAGCTTGTCTTCAATGATCTGATTGCTGGTGATTGGTTTACGCTGTCCGTCAATCTTGGCGAAACCACGCTTGTACACCAACTCGCGCACCGACTTCAGATTGGGATAACCCCAAGTGATGTACGGCTCGCAGATACGCATCATGTTGACCGTAGCCTTGTTCAGACGGATGAAGACGCCGTTGTTGATTTGCAACAAACGGAACAACTTCAGGACCTTGCGTACTTTGGGGGCAACTTTGTTGATACTAAAATAAAGAAATTATTAGTTTTATGAATGTTTTAGAAGAATATTTTTTACTTACCCACGGATACGAATGACGAATGCCAGTTTAGCTTCACCGGGGATATAATAGTTGCCGCGGTTACGCGCCTGGCGGATCAACCTGATCTCGTCACGCTCTTTCAGCCTGTATTCCTTGACGTACTCTTCAGCGCGCTTGAAGATCATCTTCCTCTTCTTAATGCCCTCGGTGCGCTTCTTGATGGTGTTTTGCACGCGAGCCTTGCGGGCGGCATCGCGACGCTGACGGTGCTTGAGCACCGATTCTGGCACCGCCGGCAAGCCCTTCGCCGTCTTCGGCTTGGGTGCGGCGGCTGTTTTTGGCTTCGCGTCCTTTGCACTAAAAGTTCAAAACAGACATCAGTTACAAATCATTACTAACCTCTCAACACAAGAATGTAAACACGTTCCACTGGCACTAAGTTTTCATTAATTTTCACTTGTTATGTGGACAAAATACATCTAGCACTTTGTAGATGAATAATTCATTAATTAATAGTAACTTATAAGTGTCAGAAACTGTTTTATTTCAAGCGGATGATTGAAAATTTAGTTTGGAAAATGTTTGGAACTTACGTCGGCGCCATTGCTATCACGTAAAAGAAGGAAACCGAACCTGTCAAGTTGCCTCAGAGAAATAAAGTGTGCTGCCTCCTAGCGGCAACCATGAAAGTAGTATATGGAAGTTACCAGATTTAAAAAAGTTACTGAAGTTAGAATTTACTAAACACTGTGTTTAAAGAAAAGATTTTTATTATTAAGAATAATTTAGCATAATTATAAAAAATAATACCAAAGTACATTTATTTAAACTTGGTGTAGATGTTATAACATATAATATTCAAATTTAATGTATTTTAACAACACAAGGATTTATTCTGACCCAAATTCTTGAAATTTAACAAACTGTATACGAGATTAGTGACTTTCTATAAAAACTTTGGTTACTTTCAATAATTTATTTCAACTGTCACCAGTTACATTATATACGTAAATGCAATAGTGACAATTCCAATACTCTTCATCCGTCTCATTCAACCTCAACAAACGCACGTGGGTTTTGTGTGTTTTGTTTTGTGGTTAGCTCAGTTACCTAGTTAGAGTAGTGCAATGTTTTAGTAGTTTACTAAATAAAAACAAATGTGACTTTGCAACAACATAAAAATTCATTATGACGATTAAAGAAGGTATTAATCCACACACTGCTTTATATCTGTCCTATAATTTTAAACATTTCCAAATAGGTTTATTACAATTGCTAAACAACAATGATGAACCTCTACCTAAACGACTTAAAATCGCCGACAACGCGTTCAAATGCGATGAAGTACGCATCGAGCATCGTGAATTGTTTCTCTTGAAGTGGTTGGCACAAACAGAAATATCTAATAACAGCTTAACATCCTGGCAACAATGCAGTTCTTGGCTATCTTCAGATACTTTCAGGGAACTAAAATCACCAAACTTTACAAACAATGATGTTAAACTATTCCTACAAAGAGTGGAAGAGGAATTCAAGTGTGAAGATGTTGAAATTCACAATGTATTGATAACAGTTGTGTATTCCATTGTGGATTGTAGAATATTTCAACACTATTTCAGAGAAAACTTGATTGAATACATAAAATTCCTTCAAAATATCTTACAAAACTGTGGAAACAGTGAAACATTGATAAATTTGTTGGCCAGACATGAAAAATTATTTGGAAGGAGGTTTACAATCATTCCTGACTTCTACAATTTGTTTATTCAGGAGTTATTTCCTTCTTTTGTTCAAATTTTGATCAAATTTCCAATTACTGAGGGTGACAGATTATTTCTACGTTTATCACAAATAATACAAAAGGTATATTATATAAATAACACAAAAATTTCCTTAAAAAAACACAATTTTTAAACATTTTTAGAATGTATTCAGTAAAAAGCAAGATGAATATTCGAATATACTCACGAAATTATGGACAAACACTGATAATGAAGATTTAAACACTGAAATTCTGCAAGTATTTCTTCAACTGCTGCAAGTGTCAAAAAAATGCAACCCAACATACGTCTATCATGCGCATATATTACTCTTCAATGCATTTTGTAGAACTTTCAAACAAAATTCAACTGTTTCTTACTATTTCTTCGTATATTTACTACAAAATTTAGGATTTTCTTCTGATAAACTAAACAATTCATCAAATACATCCGCGGACTTTAATTTGTCGTTGAATGGATTAATAGGTCTATTGGAAATTATACAGATGAATAATTTAAAATTTGATGTTAAAATCAATGACATATCTTTTGAGGATCTTATCCAAAAACTTCTATTATGTATAATTAGCAAAACAAAGTCGCCTATCGACACAAAATGCTTTGAGATAATTGATTTAATCATAAAAATAAGTCCGTTGACTATCGAATCGATTATATCACCGCTTTTGATTTACTTGATGTGCTCAAGCAAAGAAAAGTTTGCAACTCAATACGCATCTGTCATGTGCAATGTATTTGATGTGTTTTCGAAACTTCATCGCTTACAAAATTTAATTTCAAAGATAATTCGCACTTTGCAACCCGTTTATGTTGATGATGATATGACTAATCATTTAGAAAGCTTAGAATTAGACGATTTTGATTTTATCGGTAAAGTTTCAAAGAGTTTGAAGGAAGAAATCAATGCAGTTGAAGATTATGTTGAATTGGATGTTAATGAAATCTTGCCAAATGCAGTTCTTGAAAAGTTTAGCGCTGGTACTGTTGCCATGGCAACTAAACAAATGAGTAACTTGTTTAAAACATTTACATTCCACTTGGATGAGTTGATTGGACAAGATTTGGCAGAGAAATCAAAAAGTAAGTGGAATTTAATTTAAATTTTAATGATTTTTCTTTAATATTATGTTTAATTTACAGAAACAAGCTATGTGACGTTCATAGAGGTAATAAACCGATTGCTTTGCCATTATTTAGAGAATATAAATTTGTCTGGCAGTTTTAAAATTGCAAATGTTACCGAAAAACTTGTTAAACACCTTGATGAAACGCAAAGTGTGCTGGAAAAGTTTGGTAATTCTTTGGTCGGGATAGAACATGTAAGAAAATATTTAATTTACTATAAAAATGGAGATGTTTAATGTGAAATGTTTTAGAATCAGAATTTAATGCGAGTTTTCCTGCAATTGAGTTACGTCTGGGGTGAATTGAAAATATTAGTGCTGCACAATGGAGAGTCTTTAAGTGAGGTTAAGGATTCTGAAGTGAGTTCGTGTAATATCACGTGTTTGCATTCGTATTTGCCTGCGCAGACGTGGTGTTTGATTGCTGAACGCATTTCGAATTTTGGGGAAGTACTGTGTAAGAAAATCATGGTACGTTTTGAATAATTTATGCAAAATTCAAAATTAAGTTAAGTTAATTTGTTAAAACAATTAAACTTTCCATGTTTTGCTTAATATTATTAGGAAAAGTTATGGATTCAAAAGATTCGTTATTTAATCCTTTCTGGAATGGATACATCCGCAGTAAACGAACATATTTCGACACTTGTTAAAACAATTACACCGATTGAAGAATACTATGAGTATTTACTGTCGAATGAGTTTGCTGCGCATGCAATTTTGAATCGTATGGACGCAAAATCATTAGTTTCGATTGCTGACTGCGTTTTGAAGGATGCTACTCAAAACACAGCAATTTTAAAGCGTGTTATTGAAAGCCGCCATTTTGTTTCTGCGCTTATTTACTCCATGTTAAGAAAAATGAACAAAATATTCAAAAAGGAAGCGAAACAATTGAATTGTGAGTTTATTTCATGTGCGCTTTTTACACATTTTGGTGAAAATCTTCTCCAAGAAGAAATAAATGTGGAAGATATGCATTTAAAAGATTTCTTTGAAAATGCAAACGAAGCAAGCAATAATATCGATGCAGATAAATTTGCAGGATATTTTACTCTCATAAAACAATTACCGATTGTTTTTATTGATAAATCAATACAAAATGTATTGTTTTATTATTTATTGGGAGTATTTCTTGATATTAAGTCTACGAAACAAAATGGCGACGCTGTCAATGACTTGGAGCAAATATTACTAGGTAAGCAACTATATCTACGCAAGTAATACCCAAAATTGTTGTTTATAATATTATTTTTAATTTAGGACTGGCACAAAATAGAATTCTTGTTCTGGATGCCTGTCTACCTGCCAAATTAATGCTTAAAACAATAATAACCAACTTTGACAAGGCACAAGATCTGTTTATTCTGTTAATTCCTAGTCGACACACAGATGGCAGCAGTTTCAACAAAGCTTTGGATTATTTAACGGAAAAGAAGAATTTGAAGGATGATAAACATATTAAATGTTTGCTGGTGCTTATAAAACATTTACGCAAAGTAAGTATTTATTTTTATAGTAATCAAACATTTTTTAATTCTTTTTTTAATTATTTAAGTATAAAAAGTCACGTGAATTACTACAAAACGTCAAAACTAATCTTCAACAACTATGTGAGTCGTTGTTACCACGAATTGCAACATCAAACGAAACTCATTCGATTTATTTGGAAATTTTGATCGAATGCTTGTATAATGACAAAGTTCCTGTCGATGAAAACATTAAAACAGTCCTGGAGGAATATTTAAGTAAATTATTCACCCAAGAAGTGGAAATCAGCAATGGAGACTTGGAATTATTCAATTTTGCATTGACAAATGAATATCTTGATGATGCAAAATCAACTAACGAAGTTTTCATTTCAAATGTAGCGAAATCTTTGCTAAATGTGAAGATTACATCAAATTCTGTTCATGTTTATGCTTCTAACATTGTAAATGTATTGCAAAAGATACAAAAAACTGAAATATTCAACGAATTCTTAACGAAACTACTTCAAAAAGCTGTAAGTCATAAAATATCGAGGTTATGATGTGATTTTTGACAGTTTGGTATTTAGATAACCTCAATTGACAGCCCCGGGGATCTTGCACTTGAAATGCAAGTTTGGCATCAGATTCTCAGCTCACCAATGAAGACTGAAAAGGCAGAAGTCTTCCAGAAAGTTATCGAAGAGTTATTAGTGACTTTATTTAACAAATTACGCGCTGGCGACGCTGGAAAAGAAAATATATTAAATATTCTCATTGATCTTGAACTAAATTTACTACAAAACACGCAGGTAACATTGCTAAATACATTTATTGTAACATTGATTGTTATTCATTTGTTTTTCTTATATTTTGACAGCATTTATTAACATCGACTAGTTTGGACTTATGCTTCGCCACGATAACACAGCGCATGCACCTGTTGGACAATTTTGAGCTGTCATACAAGCGCAGTATGGAAATGCTTGAAGCAATGTTGAAATATCGTCAAGCATTGATCAGTGACCGTCTGTCTGTGTTCCTACAAGAATATCGCATGCTGTTGTCCGCTCTATGCGCGCACAGCGACACTGCAAACAAACAATATGATGACAAACATTTCGACAAGATGGCCGAATTGGCACATGCGCTGGAAAAGTTAACGATTAACTTGTGTAAACTACGTGAACACGTCGCTAGCGTCGCTATTTACCTAATTGCTGATATTCTTAAGGAATTCGAAACGATTGCAATCTATCCTGCGGTCAAGGTAAACTTTTTAAAAATATCTAGTTAGTTACTTTTACAACCGCTAGTTTTTTTCATTCTCTAGTTGGCACTAAACAACTGCGTGTATAACCTAATCGCGCTATGCAACCAACACGGCATCTCATGCTTGATGCGCGCGCTTAGCCCCGGCTCAACGGAGATGTTCAAGATGGCGTACGACAACTACAAGAAGTACCATCGATTCACCGGTAAAGTGTGATCAAATTCATCTCTGAGTGTGTGGAGAGTGGTAGAAAGGTAAATTGATTGTTCATTGTCATGGATAATGCACACCGTCTTTCTCACCCGGGCGGGGTTTTCTCGTCGTGTGGCTGACACAGAACGCAAAACTATCCGGATACTCCGCCATTAGCTTCTGCAGGAGAGTACTCTTCCCCGATCCGGAAGGACCGCACATCACCATCGGTCGCACTTCGTTCGCCATGATGCGAGCCAGAGCTAAACAGGAAACGAGCGATGAGCGTGAATTTTCGGCGAGCAGCACCGTCAGACTGAGTATACCTCTCACGAACGTATGAAAACAATTCATTGCGTGGTGAGTTGGGGTGGGTTTTCATGGGGGTGGGTACTAAACGTAGCTTAACTGCTTATTAAACAATAATAACGCAATTGAAAACAGATGATGATCAAATATGTTGAAATAGCACGTTTTTTATTGCTCTACGGTTGATGTGGGACTTACCTTCGGGTTAATAACGAGCGCACACGCAATTAAGTTATTATCTGTAATTGTAGTGTCGTGGTGTGATGATTTAGCGCGGTAATTTGCCCTCCCTGAGTTTCACTTCGGGTTTTCTTTTAGGTTAGGTGTGGTGCGTGTGATCCAATGCGTGTTTTTACAAGTTTGTGAATTTTGTCGATTATGGCGTCGATTAAATACGCCGGGAAAACACTGGAAATTTCGAATACGATACGCAACTACGTCTTTGCGTCTAAATTTAATTAAACATGCGGAATTTGAAGCGTGTTTGAAACTGTCACGACGAAATGCCAGCGCGCTAAATATATCGTTTTACGACCAAACAAAGCGAACAACACGCCGAATTTTGCTGGCGTTGTGAGTTCAATGATTCATTGAAGTGTTTTCGCAGCACTTTACATGAAACATATGTTTTTTAATAACTTGGAGTAGAAAAACAACTTTATAAGTGTAAAAATGTATTAATTTTGGTTTTAATAGTTAAGTTGTTGTGTGTTAATTAAAAAATAATTACCAGTTGGACATGAACAACCGTTGGTTGTGGTGGACATCTTGAAATGACGAATATAAATGTTTTTATTTTTTAAATTTATATAAACAAATGACATGTGTTGATATGCTACTGGTTATACGGCTCATATAACGTCGCCATCTGTAGGTTAAATGTGTAAACTTGTTGTTTTACTCCTCTTGTGTTACTGTAACTTTTGCGGATCCGGAAATGTCCAATAATTCTTTGGAGGAAAATGTAGCAATGATTGTTTGCTCTCCGGCGATTTTCGGGGTTATCATTAGGAATCCTTTGACCAATCCTTCTGGTTCGACGTCAGCGTGTTCAATAATTTGATTACGGAGCAACGCGGGACCGGAAACGCTGAATTGACAGCGGGTGAGTTCTTTTTTGATTGGGTTCGTGAAACGAAGAGTTACTTGAGTTGGCACGCCAATTGTAAGTTCTTCCGGGATCTTAAAATTTTAAAAAGAACAAATTAAAAATATTAAAGGTTTAAAAGTGGTAGAAATGAGAATTGGGCAACTTTTATGAAAGAAAGGGGTAGGGGAAGTTGGCGTCTCTACCCCCACCACTTTTTGCGGGTCTAGAGTACCTCTGCTGTGTAATAACAAACAAAAAATAAAAATATCTTAAACTTACGCGAATCTCAATCGATGGTTTCAAAACTTGAAAATCATCTTCCCCAGCCCAAGTCTGACGGGTTTCCTGCACGGTGCAAACTGCATACAACTTCATAATACAATACTCCACCAATTTGTCGAGGTAATCATTCGCACGCACCGTCATTTTTAATTGTTCAGCTATAAAAAACAACCTGTACTTAATTTTAAATTCATTAACACAATTTTTTCACATTTTACTTGACTTAGGTTCCATTCTGAATGACCCTTCGGCTTTCTTAACAACGTGAGCTTTAACACCCGTGTAGAAAACACTTCCGGCCGACAAAACAGCGGAAATATTCCTTACTTCCTCGCTGTTGTTCTTTATATCCACAGTCACGTTGAAATCTTCTCCGATTTTGATGCGCTCGAGTTCTACTAGATCAAATGTGACGTCTTCCAAACCAGCATCGGGTAGATCATAAAACCTAACCAACAAAAATAAAGTGTATAAAATGTATCTCTTGTTAAATTATTATTAAAAAACTTACGTTTTTGCCATTTCCGTGCCTCTCACAGCGTTAAACAACGACAAACGCTCAGCTTCAGAACCTTCTTTAGCTTTATACTCACTAGTAATGTCCTGACGATCCTGATCACCATTAGGATCATAAACAAATGGTTGTTTAGTCAACAACATTCTTCCAATACTAAAATTAATTATAACTGATTAAAAAATTACTTATTTTTTTTTAAATATTTACTGATATTTATTGCAGTAGATTTTCGTATAACCAAAATCACTCTTCGGATCAATTTTCCACCGCATGAGATCCGCATTCACGGAAGCAATCATAAAAGCAACGTCGTGATTAAACCCAACTTGTCCCTTCTTAATTGCTTCCACTGAAGCAGGCCCACATTGGAAGAAACCCGAAGATGTTTCCTGCGGTGTGGCGTCAATCGCCTGCCAACCACCATAACCCGATGGTAAATCAGGACGTGCCATCCAAACATCATTCCATACATGGTAATTCCAAATGGAATCTTCACCAGCCGGGTTTAGAGGATCATAATTGAGTTCTTCGTTATTCTCATCGTAGTATTTATCAACTGTGAGTGTACAGTTTGCGTCATGTGCGGAAACAAGGTTAGAAACAACTCTGGAGGGTATTCCCAATGCTCTGCAGACTAAAATTTAAATTTTTAAATTTAAAGTTTGGTTATGTTGTATTTTTAGGTTATATCTACATACTGGTGGTAGTAACACCGGAAAACACCCAACATTGACCATATTGAACAGGTTGGCGTGTTTCTACGAATTGTTCAAGTATTTCCGTGCTTCCTGTCCATGCGGATGGAGCTGTCCCATCATCGTATTCGCCATCCCAGCGTCCAACGAGGATTCCATCATCGTCGTTACTGTTTACTAACTTTGAAATGCATCTGGAGACTTTTATTGGATCACCAAAACTAAAAATTGTGTTTATTAAATAATTTTGTGATTGGTTTATGTAAGTTTTGTTATAAATTACTTTCCAGGAGCCATTTTGGATCGTTCAAACATTAGTAAGCATGCTGGCAAGATGGCGGCTGCGAACTGACCGAAAACCCATTCACGACCACGCGTTGAACCCCATGGACCAACCCAGATCTTACCTACGTCGCTGAGGACGTATTCTTCAAGGAGGCGTTCATCAGGCATGTAAACCATATCGTCTGTTATAAATAAATAAAGAATTAATGTGCTTTTTTATGATTTTTAACGGTTATGTTGATATTTACGGCAATTCCATGGGTTAAACAAGAAATAAATATCGTCTTCATGTTCGTAGATGTTCGGAGTGTTGTCGTCTAATGAATTAACGTTTGTTGTTTCTATTTGAAGCGACCATGCACCCACAGGGATGTCTACAGGAGCAAAAAGCTCTAAGGTAAGACTGCCATCTTCGTTTTCACTCAGAAACTCTGCGGTCCATTGATAGTTGTTACTAACTTCCGGATTGGATTTTCCAAGAGTTAAAACACCTTTTGTTCTTTTTATCGGGTTAGGATTTGGTCCTATATTTTAATAAATTAATTAACAAATATTTTAGAAGCAGATTAATTTTATTACCGTAAGAAAAAATGATTTTTAAAATGTCTTCTGCTGGAGAGTAATTTCTGTTCTCGAAACGTATCGCAGTAATGAATTTCTTTCCACGACGCAACACAGCGACGGGGTGTTCTTCGTCATTGACGATTTCGTAGTTTTTAGTTTTGTGCTCGACTGCGTTATCTTGCGGGTACAAGTAAACGAGTTCAACTTGGAGATTTTCGGCCATTTTGTTGACTAACGAAAAGTTAAACTTGTTTGATAGAAGAGTAATAAACGAATGAAGTCAGATTTTTTTATTATTGATATACAAGTTATACAAATTATTTATATCTTGTGGTTTTGACCTCATTAATGATTTCCTCTTAGCTGTTTGCGGTATTTCCTGCTGATAACAAAAATGAGAGCATACAACAGATTTGCGGTTTTTGAAATCAGCGGCAACCAAGCATACATGATACACTTTGCACGCCACCTGTGGTGGTGTAAGCAGTTATGCTGCTCGTGCGCAACTCGTGTCGCGTTGACGTGCGGCGACGCCGGCTTGTTTAGTGCTTGTTGCGACGACCGCCAGGGCAGTCATCGGCCATTTTGTGTGTAAGCAACGCACAGGTTCGGGGGCTGCGACGCTGCTTGAAGCGTTTTCCGGCCGCTCTGCCGTTGTGTGCGTCTCCAGCCAGCGAAAATCAATGCGTCCGGCTTCCGGAGCACACGCACCGCAAACGATTTAAGCCGTGTGGCGACGGCGGAGGCACGGTGCGACGCAAAACACACACAAGGTAAGGAAGCCCATTCAAGTCACGGTGTTACCCAGCGAGAGCAAACGTCTGTGGTGGTGGCGGCGTCGTTTGCACGGCACGCTGCGAGCGCAATAAAGGACGTTTCAGTAGTTTTGTGTTCAGTTCAGTTCAGTTGTGAGTTCAAAGTTTCAAACGTACGCGAGTCTAAATAAAAAAATGAGTAGGAAAATGTTCATAAGCGTTATTTGAAGAAAATTGACGCGGCACACACACACGCACTCGGTGTGTGCTGATGGTTTTATGGAAGAGAATGGCTGCTCTTGCAAGGTAAGATCCCACAACTTAAAACAACAACATTTGTCCATGATTAATTTTAAATTAAATGAAACTGCGTGAGTATGCGCCATTTTATAACCGCAACAAATCACCAAGTGTTAGTAAACCATTTTGTGTTCTCAGCTGTGATCTGCACCAAGATGGATTCGGACAGGGACGCCTCCTCGGCTGAGTCTGACAATGAAGAGAAGCAGGGACCAAGCAGTCCGGCGAGTTCGGCGGGGTCCAGCTCCCGGAGTAATTCACCAGGTCCACGGAGTCCTTCGCCAACAGGCAGCTCAAGACCGGACACGCGCAGTGGGCCGTGCTCGCCTGCGCAGTCGCGTGACTCTCGATCAAGATCTCGGTCAAGATCGAGGAGTCGATCACCGACGAGGTCGAGATCGCCCTCTGCGTCTGTCTCACCGCAACGTGAACGTGTCCATCGTGAAGAAGAGCATGAAAGCACGCAGAATGGAAATTCACCGCGGTCGGCGCCACCATCGCCGCAGACTTTGGACGACGGTTCAAACGCGTCCATTAAAAGCATGTCTTCGAGAGGATCACGTCGAGCTCACATTACGGCGAACTTAGAAGATGGCAACAGCTCCGATTCGAGCTTGATGAGCGATGAAGAGGAGGGTTTCAGGAGTAAGCCTGCCACGGCTACCTCGACGAAGACTGATACTCAACCGGAGGAGATATCAGATGGTAGGCAACTTTATTTACACATTTTTTAGACATTTTTATATAATTTCCTTTAAATATTATTTATTAGGTGATATGGAGTCGGATAATGAAAAATCAGATAAACCCAAAGAAAACCTCCCGCTTGACGCTGACGATCTTTCCGATGTGTCCGATTTAGACGAATCCATCGGTGGTAATTCAGATTCTGAGAGTTTAAAACAATCTGACAAACCTGCAAGCCCGAAATACTCACCGCAGCAATCACCTGACACGAAAAAACCCGAAAAACAAAATCGCCCCGCAGAGGAAGGTGAAGAACAGCTGGATTTTGAGGAAGAAGACGGTGAGTGCGCTGATGATAAAGACGACGACACAAAACACTCGGAGGAAGCAGGTGAAATCACTGACGATAATAAATCCAAGGAAAAACCGGATGCCAAAGAAAAGGAGGAAGGCGAAGAGCTGGAAGAGGGTGAAGTCACAGACGAAGACGATGTGCGTCCTGAAGAAGTCGAACCACGACCAGTCTGTCGATTTTTCTCACGCGGACAATGCACGTGGGGCTCGAGTTGTCGTTTTCTTCATCCTGGCGTAACCGACAAAGGCAACTATACAATGTTCGAAATGATTCGACCTGTTGTACCTGGTGAATACGGCCGTGAGGAGCGCCCACCTTACGGACGTCCAGAGCCACCTCAAATGGAAAGCGCCTGGGAGCGTGGCCTACGCACAGCGAAAGAAATGCTGCGTAAAAGCATAAAACGAAAAGAGCAGGACATTGATTTCGAGGACAAGAAGAAGAATTTAAGTCTAACTCAAGACGAGTTGGATAAGGAGAATGGGTACTACGTGCGGATGCCATCGCCAGAGCCACGATACGTGCGACATCCGGTTCCGGTTGATTACCCACCTCCAAGACCTTCGCCGGATGAATATTTCGCTGGCAGGCGGCAGGTTTTGTATGAACCAGAGGCATATCCACCTATGCATCCGAGGGAACGACCCATGAGGCCGATGTATCGTGAACCGCCGATGCATAGACCACCTCCACCTGCAGATTATCGCTATGAAGAGGAGCATATGAAGAATCGACGCAGTGGCGGCGCTGGTGGTGGGGGTAAACGAGAGGTGATTGTTCAGCGGGTTGTGGAGGAACGGCCTACGCGGGGTGATGAATGGTCCGATCCGTGGATGCGGTCCAAGTCACCTGGGGCACGCAAACGAGCCGGGTATGTACACAATTTGATATTATTTGAGTGTTTCTCTCTTTTCACTTGGTCACTATGTGTACAATGTGTCTCTATATTGTTGGTACACGTGTTCTTCACGAATTTTATCGCACGTTTGTGTGTTGCTCCCTCAGGAAGCGTTCATACAGCTCAGGTTCTAGTTATTCATCCAGTAGCTCATCCAGAAGTTCATCTAGGTCTAGTAGGTCGTCGTACCGGTCGCGGTCGAGGTCGCCGCCGACGAAGACGGGGCGAGGACGGCCGCCGGGTGCGAATTCAGCGGGTGGTGGAACTGGTGGCGCTGGCGGCGGGTCGGGGCGTGGACGACATGTTGTCTCGCCGTCTGTGATTGTTTCCGAGCGCAAAGCAGCGAGTGAACGAGCTGCAGCGATGAATCCGCCTGCGCCTAAGAAGAGAGCGCCATCTCCAGGTGATAATTTTTATTTTATTGGTGGTTTGGTGGATAAATAGTAAATTTGTGGTTGTTTTTAGGTATGATGAGGGTTGGAGCTCAGAATCCACCAGCGCCCTCTGCGCGGCTGGAAGGTAAAGCACGGAAAGCAATGGCTGCCGCACTCGCACGTGTCAAATCCCGCCGGAAGTCTTCACGGAGTTCGTCGGGGAGTAGTACTAGTGGCAGCTCCAGCGATTCGGATTCCTCTTCGAGCAGTTCCAGCTCGCGTGATAACAGTCCTCCACCTGCCAGACGATCATCAGGTAGAAATTACTCAAAAATTTATTATTATTTTGTTTTATACTAAAATATAGTTTTTTTTTTGTGTGTAGAATTAGCAATGGCGATTAAAGCGAAGGCAATGGATGCCGCTTTGAAAGCCACCGCCGAGAAGCGCCCGGTGAAGATGACTTTCAAAGCAAACGCCGCGCGGAAAGAACTCGGCAAGCCTGCGGATCTGTTAGCGGGTAAAAAGCGGCCGGCGTCACCACCGCTACCGAATGACAAGGGCAAGAAGGGCAGCAGTAGTGGCGCGACTTCGCGCCGCGAGGAACTGCTCAAGCAGCTGAAGGCGGTCGAGGACGCCATCGCCAAGAAGCGCTCGAAAGTCTGAATGTGCGTGCAAAAGTGTATATCGTGTTTTTCTACTCACCTCTTTCCTCACAGATATCAACCGACGGCGTTTATATCATAATCGTTTCAATTTGCTTTTATTTGTTTCGAGAATAGTAGCTTGTTTCGATTTCGAGGTATTTTGTGTAAAACTGATGATGATGCGTACGCAAATGTGAAAACAAAGCACAAAACTGCAGGTTTTTAATAATTTTAGATGATACAGCGATTAGTTGTTAGATACAGAGCAATTATAACATTGGTGAAAACAAAAACAAGAAGTATTTTTAAGTTTGTATGTAAAATATAACGTTTAAGCTAATTACAAGAATGATTTTGTGTGCTTTTTTCGAAACAAACAAGCTGAAAGCAAGTTTTTGTTGTGTGTGAAGTTAGTGTGGTTTAGTTTATGGTGTTATGTGTAATGTTGGTTGCCTACTCGAACATTTATGATATCTGGCCAGTACTCGTGTTTGGTGTCTAGAACAACATCGACAATGTGTTTAATTTCAAACAAGCAAGCAAAAACCAAGTTTTTGATGTTTTGAACGCGCGTTTAGTTTAGATTTATGTTTTTATTTATTTCTGTATCAAAATATTGTGATGTTTCTAATTATTTTATAATCGACATTTATATTATGTGTAAATGTGTAATGTGGGTTGCCTGTGAAGCCATTGATGATATCCAGCCAATGAGCGCGCGTGTTGGCAGCCTAGTACGACACGACCTCGCCGGCCAGTTGTACGCTTACGGTCGCAAACGCTGACGTCACAGCGGCGCGCGCGGGGTGCAGGGCGCGTGGCTTTTCAAAACAATCCTGCCTGCCCTGCGCGCTGCGCTCGGTGGTCTCAGTCCGGCCGAGCTGCGGAACGTGTGCGCGCACCTTACAACGCGTATACCGTCTCGCGTGTGTTTTGTTTTGAACGGGCGCCCCCCAAACAAGTAACACATCGCTGCAACCACACATCTCCGACATCAACAACAAACACCAGTGCCAACTACATTACATCAACGCGAGGATAATCGAAATCAGGATGGACACGGCGACGCTGCGTGAGCAGGTGATGATCAACCAGTTCGTTGTGGCGGCAGGGTGCGCACGCGAGCAAGCCAAGCAACTGCTCCAGGCCGCCCACTGGCAGTTTGAGGTAAATATCAGCGCGCTGGGCGTCCGGCGGCGCGCTTTTGTTTTGGTAAACAAACGTGAGCGGCGAGGAAGATGGCCGCCGCGCGCCGACGGATGAACGACACACATAAACACACACCGACAGCACATGCGCGTTGCGCGTGTGTGTGCAACACGCGTTGCTTACATAAACATTGCGGGCGGGCGGCGGCGTGTGGGGGCGGCGCGCGTATCGACTTCCTACAGCGCGGCCCGCCGCGCTCTGTTTTGGTCAAGGGCTTCAAGGTCATACCCTGATTGAGTTACCGTCGACTATTTATATTTATATTTGTCTACGCGCGTTGACTATGCGAGACATTTTGTATTCGAATTCTATTCGTGAGAAAGTCGCAAGGAATCAATTCGCGGCGCAATTTATATCATTCTAGATGTTTTTTGTTTTGTTTACAATTACTGTTTGAGCAATATTGCGTCACGCAGGGTTGCCAACTTGTGTTTAGAGTTGAAAAACGTTTGATTTGTTTAAGTTCGTAGATCATAGCTGAGAAATCTCGAAATACTTGTGTTTAGTTTTATCACAAGTGCGTTAATCTAATCTGTAGTCGTGCATTGATAATAAACTAGTCAAATAATATGATAAATAATGATTTATTAATAGAAATTTTTGTTTTTTTATAGACTGCACTCAGTATATTCTTCCAAGAGGCTACCATTGGTCAACCGTCAGCACATTTCGGACAGGTACTGTTTAACTGTCACCAGATGGCGTTGATTTTAATTGTGTTTGAATTGTTTTTCCAGCAAGTGATGACACCGTGCAACACACCGGCTACCCCGCCGAATTTCCCCGATACGCTTCTCGCGTTTTCAAAGATGTCCGCCGGTAATGGCAACAGTCCGGCGACGGCATCACAGGCCCATCACCCGCCTCCGCAGCAGTCCACGACGCAGCGATAAGCAGCCACAAATCTGTGGCGTGCGGTGTAAAATAAGTTAACGTGAGAATGCGCTCAAGATTGAATGGATTTGCGAGAAAGAGAAATAACCTGCTAACATAAAAACCTATAAAAGACACAGAAACCGAACGAATGGGGCAGTGAACGCGTGATTCTGTAAATTATAGATTCGTATTGATATTGAAATTTGACAAATTGTGACGAGAGGAGGCGAAATTTTGTTTTAGTTGTGGGTTTGATTGTTTGAGTTTTGATGACGCAAGATGTCGCTGCAAACTACTATTAGATTTACGTAGGGAGTTTATTTGTACATATTATACATACACTTATCTAAGGATGTCGAAAGCGGGCGAGTGATGTGCAGTGATACGTAAGGCGCTTTTGTTTCATTTAGTTATTTTTTCGTGTGTTTATTTTAGTTGCTATGGTAATTGATATGGTGCTGATGCTGATAACTTGTTTGGATTTTCGTTCGATTTGTTTCTCACCGATTCCAAAACCAATAATAGTAGATTTAAGTGAACGCCGCTGAATGCAAATTGTAAATACCTAGGCATTTCATTCACTACACACACACATAATACACTTGAAACTCAATTAAATGTAATTCATGTATTTTAAAACAATGAGAAAACAAGGAGTGCAAATGGACGAAACTCAATCCCAACACTAATTGTAATATTTACAAGTTTATGTGATCGATTTTAAATGTTGTTGAACATATACATGCAAAGGGGTTGGCGGACGAAAGTGTAAAGAAAGAATATTCAAAGTTGGCGATGTGGCGCGGAGCGAGGATGACAAAGGAAGATAATACGTTTGCGTCATTTCTATGTATTCGAACAGGGTTCTTTAAGTGTACCTCTATGACTATAAACGTGCAAACTCATCATCCACTTGGAGGAGACGCAGCAAGAAAATAAATGCAAATTTGTGCAATAAGTTTTGTTATTTTAATCATTGAAATCTTTCTAAATGTAAATTTCAATGTGTTAAAAACATGGCGGATATAATGCATAATTTACGTTTGGTGTATATTTGGTTGCCTATCTTAAAACTCTACAACAAGTTGAAACTCAAACAACAACGCAAAACATTTTCTCTTATAATTTACTCGCTTTGGTTCATTAAACGTTATAAAACGAAGAGTCTAGGCATGCAGTAGGCAGAAATCTAAGAAGAGAGAGTTGAGGCCGCCGCAGGTCAAGCAATAATCCCCGTTATTCGATCGTCTCGCTTGAGTCTACGAAACTGTGCTACGAGTGTCGCGCACCTGAGCGCAGGCATTCAAACAAAAAAAAACAACCAACAAGAAACGTCCTACTCTAATCCAATCTATTCCTACTCTACAGTCCAATGTCTCTGTAGTAGTAGTAAACACATAGTTAGTTTAACATGTAAGAAACGTGGAGAGAGTTCGCAAGTCGCGCGCGCGCAACGAAAATCTAAAAACGGCGTCCGCGCGCTCAGTTTTCGTTGGACTGTGCTGTCGGACGGCGTCCGCGACGCAATCAATTTTTACGCGATATTTACCTATTTTATAAATACCCGGCTGCTGCGAGCGCGTCTGACGTAATTTCCTCGGAGTATTCGCGCACAAAACGCGCGCCGCGACTTGTGTAATTTGCATTCGCATTACTCGCTGCGCGGACGAGTAAGTTGCACATGTGGCTGTTGTATTATTGTCAATAATGACGTTATTAGATATTTTAGACTGGCCCAATTTTCACTAAATCATCGATTTTATAAAGGAGGCTAAGAAAATACCGCGAAACAAGTGAAGGAGTTGAATCTACGAAGTAAATATATAAAAACAAACAAAGAAAATGGAGAAAAACGGAATGGATCCGCCGCCAGCCTACATGCAACAACCGCCGCCATTAATGCCGCCGAGTTATAGTCAAGCAATGGCTGGTTCCATCCCTTTAAACCCTTACACACCTGTGGAACCATGTAAGAATTTAAAACCTTTTATTTTTTGTTTTGTTTATTTTTATTTAACTTTAAATTTTGTTTTGATAACAGTTCAAAATGGCCCGAGGATAATGACAACCGTAGTGCCGTTGGGACCTGAGCAAACGCGAATGATTTGCCCGCACTGCCAAACGGACATCTATACAACGCGCAAAGTGAAACCGAAACCAGCGGCCTATTTAAGCTGCGCGTTGATATTTATGTTTGGGTAAGTTGCACTAAACAAGTGACTGGCGAAAACGTGATGCAAACAAGATGGCGGCATTTCCATCGCTTGACTTTCTATTTATATACGTTTGTATATATGTTTGTTTATTTCCTTTTCAGATGCTTCCTTGGTTGCTGCCTAATTCCATTTTGCATGAATTCTTGCCGATCGGTGAGTCATTCATGTCCGAACTGCGGCAGACATCTTGGCAAATACCTCGGAAACGAATAGGATTTCTTCAGCATCGGTTGCCATCTTGTTCCACAAATCGGAAAATGCATTGCAATTGTTGTTATTTACCTTAGAAGTCTTCAGAAGCACTTAGCAAGTGTCTGCCAATTGAATCTACTTCCAAAAATTTACGAAATCGGTCTAGTCATACCTGAATCTGACCAGAATGAATTTAATGAAATTTAATTCTTTTTAATTGCGAAGATAAGAGCGCGTCCGAACGTACACGTATTTAAATCCAGTGCCTTACACAACATGAGAGTACAAAAAGCTTGTTGTCATTGTTCGTAAATTTTAATGAATCGTTAAATTGTTAAACGACGAGGCGTACAACATTTTAGTTAAGTCACGTTCGTGTTTCATTCGTAGTCGAGGCTCAGCTACTAATTTTAATCGAGTACTACGTACGTTAAAACGCTAATTATCATATTTTGCGAGAGTGCAAGGTTGAATTTGATGTCAAAGTCAATGAAGAAAATGATAAAAAATCAGTTGTTGAAATCTGGTTGTTGATTTTATTACTCTATGCATTTCTAATTGAAAGTTGAATTTTTGAAATGTAATGATTGTATTTTTTATGTTACGATGTTATATCTAGTTGTATAATTGTTTTATTCGATTATGTACTCAGAAAACGCGCTAACAAGAAAGTTTTTGAGCGCTGAATAGTTTCGTAGCGCAACTAATAAGCTAACGTGCTAATAAACTTGATATTTGTTATGTGCTGCTTTCGATTATCCTTTGATTGGTAAAGGTCAATCTAAAATTGGAATCGTATGGGAAACAATCGACAGCCAAACTGTGAAAAGTCAATTTCGCTTAGTTTCAATGTTTTGGTGTATATGTAGTTGCCTATATCAAATTAAGATATTTATTTTATTGTTTTTCATAGAAAATATGACCTAAACTGTAACTGTTACTGTTACTGAAGTAATGCTTGCATATTCTGCAAAAGGCAGATTGCGAAATCAGAATTTAAAAATTCCAATTATTAAAAACCAGCATTAGCTGAAAAAAAAGGTAAAACATTTATTTTTTTGTTTTAAAAATTAAAAGTTGGAGCTTAAGAGATCTGATTTCAGAACTTCATAGATTGTATAATTCTATATCTAATATTGAAGTAAACATTTTTTGTAACATGGACCGTTTTGATCCAATTTGCAATTTAACTAAAACATTTGTATTTCCCACAATAATACAGTTAGGTGTGGTGGCGCTTATCAGTATGTTGCACTATTTATACAACAGCGCACATGTTTTGAAATTAGTTTGGTTCTGATCGCCGGTCGGTACGCGTTACTTGTTGTATATTTTGTTTTATTCAACATTATCTGTCGGAATAGTATTAAATCAACGCACGCATTGCAGGTTGTAACAACAGTTCTCTTTCTCAGTTTATAAAGTATGTGATTAACTAAAGTATTCAAAATTATAAACATTTCGAAGCACTGATTTCTGTTTGTGTTTCAGGTTTGGAAGCTAAACGAAGTTTCGCAGGAGAGTTCCACTTGCCACAAATCGTAAGTATTGAAATTCTGTATCATCTCTATAACCTAGATTTGGCATTTTCTAACAGGAAAGACATGAAAAGAGCATTTTTATGTTTTGATTCACTAATTTTTCTTGTTTTAGGGCTGTCGAAATTGAATGGGACCTCACCGGAGGGCCATTTTTGTATCAAATTGTAAGTATTGTAATTCTGTATTATCTTTATTACTTAGTTTTGCAATTTTCTCATGGGAAAGCCATAAAAATTGCATTTTTGTGTTTAGAGACATTGATTTTTCTTGTTTTAGGGCTGTAGAAATTGAATGGGAACTCACCGGAGGGCCATTTTTGCATCAAATTGTAAGTATTGCAATACTGTATTATCTCTATAATCTAATTTTGCAATTTTGTCATGGGAAAACCATAAAAATTGCATTTTTGTGTTTCGAGACATTGATTTTTCTTGTTTTAAGGCTGGAGATATTGAATGGGAACTTACCGGAGGGCCATTTTTGTATCAAAATGTAAGTATTGTAATTCTTTATTATATTTATTACTTAGTTTTGCAATTTTGTCATGGGAAAACCATAAAAATTGCATTTTTGTGTTTCGAGACATTGATTTTTCTTGTTTTAGGGCGGGAGAAATTGAATGGGAACTCACCGGAGGGCCGTTTTTGCATCAAATTGTGAGTATTGTAATTCTGTATTATCTCTATAATCTAGTTTTGCGATTTTCTCATGGGAAAGCCATAAAAATAGCATTTTTGTGTTTCGAGGCACTGATTTGCTTTGTTTTAGGGCTGTAGAAATTGAATGGGAACTCACCGGAGGGCCGTTTTTGCATCAAAATGTAAGTATTGTAATTCTGTATCCTCTTTATTACTTAGTTTTACGATTTTCTCACGGGAAAGCCATAAAAATTGCATTTTTGTGTTTCGAGGCACTGATTTTTCTTGTTTTAGGGCTGTAGAAGTTGAACGGAAACTTGCAGCAGGGCCATTTTTGCATCAAATTGTGAGTATTGTAATTCTGTATCATCTCTATTACTTAGTTTTGCCATTTTCTCACGGGAAAGCCATAAAAATTGCATTTTTGTGTTTCGAGACACTGATTTTTCTTGTTTTAGTGTACTGTCTGTATCATAAGTTTATTTTTCAAGTGTGTAGTAATGGGTTCAGTTCTATTATTATACCACGATTTTTTTAAGTTTCAGGGGGAGAATTTTTTAAACGAACCATAAATAAGGTAAATCATTTTGGAGAAAAATATTCAATGAAATGTTTTGTTATATTTTATTATCTTATGTGACGCCACGGGCCAACAAACTCGGCACAGAGCGATATGACGCCGTGGGTCAGAATGATTGTTGCTATTTAGTTTTGCTTAGTTCACCTTGCGCTCTCGTGTACACGCGTTTAATTTTTTACCACTGTTTACTTGTATGTATTTTTAAAAGTTATTAAGCCAAAAACACTTATACTCATTTTATAATTTTATTCTACACATTTCTATTTGATACCGTCTTTGCCGTTTTCAGTATTAAATAGTATGGCATATAACAGTTCAGTAGCGCAGGTATAAACATAACTGTTGCTTGGTGTGTTGTTGTTTTTAAAATATGATAAAAGTAGAAACATAAATAGAAGAAGTCAAATAATAATGGTAAAACACTCGGTGGTCGAGAGTGGAGACCTTGATGCCTGCTGGCATGCTAGCAGACACGGATCGAATCTAGGTATAGAAGGCATTTTTCTCAAATATAAAAATATCAGGTGCAAATTTGGGTTGCATATAGTGCAACAGGAAATATATAAGAAATTGAAATACAAATTGAGCCAAAATAAAGAGAGTAAGAGAAGAGTAAATGGAGAAACGAGAACGGGAAAAGGAGAATAAGAAGTGAAGAGAAGAGGAGAGAAAGAAAGGAAGAGAACAGAGTAGAGAGGAGGAGATAGAAAGAAAGAGAACAGGGGAGGGATCAGATTTTTAAATTTTTGGCACGTGTCGTTTATAAGACAGTCTAGCAGGTCGATCTCCCAGAGCGCCTCCGGCGCTCGGGTCGATCCTCACTGCTTCAGTGCGTCCGGCTCCCGGCCCATCCTACAGCTTTCCCCAGTGTCTCTGCGCTGTCCCCAGAAATTATCAACATATCAACGATTTTTATGGTGGGGATCACCCAGAGAGAACTCCTTATAAGGACATCCTTTTAAAGACTTGTAAAAAAGTATTTCCTAATTTTTTAAGTCGCCTCAAGAGAGGGACATAAAAGAAAATATTCTTTACAAAGTTCTGACCTGTAGCTGAAATGAAAGGTAAGGTACACAAATCATACAGGATACCTTAACAATTTTTATAGGGGATCATCCCTAGCACCGTACACGCCATAGGCTGCAGCGAGGGCAAAGAAACGCATCCGACGGCACGCGACAAACTTTAACAATTATTGTGTCAAACGGGATGAAGACATAATTGATAGAGCAATCTATAAATTAATTGCAAATTGCAAATATGAATATGAGATTCAACGTACGAGTATGTGATGTAAACAACACGAACCGAAGTAAGCAGCCGACGGCAAACTACAATCTTGAACAACGAGTATTGTAATGTGTACATTCAACGCGATAAAAGACAAAATTAATACAGCAATCTATCAATCAATTTTAAATGTAAATATGAAACTATTATCAAATAACATACCTTGAAGCAAAATAAATGTTTCGCTTTTGTAGTATCCAATCACTTATAGGCATATCAATTACGCACATTACAGCCACGATGAAACACGCGTATAATACTAAAGTACGAAAATTATTAAATTCAATATGTAGTTAATAACGTCTTTTTACATTAAATGAATATAATCGAAGAGTATCCGGCGGTCGACGGTACTCGTAGGTAAATCACGCACGCGTTAACTCTGCGAATATACAACCCGCGTTTAACAAACACCGCACATCACCCTCGTGCAATCGAACGAATCAATTACAGATCAATTAGGAATATTACATAATAACGCGAAGAGAAATTAAGAAGTTTAAAGGTTTGTTAAACGTGCAGTTCACCGGACGATCAAAATTAGACCAACACCGTTTGCAAGTCGACCACATGTGCCGAGGATGTGGCGACGGCACAAAAGTTGCAAAAGATAACAAAAATTTGTTTGTTTATAAACACAGATAGTAACAGTGTAAGATGCTAGAACAATTCTATATAGTATGCATTGAATATTTACGTATACTCGTCTTATAAGGAACATAGACTGTAGATGCATCACGGCCGAAATACGTCAAAAATAGTAGTTACTCAACGCGATAAAGAAATGCAACTAACAACACAATAAATAATGAATAATACAACTCGCGTTAGGGAAATTTCTAGCAGTAAAATTCGATACAGGGAGATACAGATTTAAATTCCGCATCTAATAAAGTTATTCCGGACTTAGAATTAGACCGCGTTCGCGTGTTATGACAAAAAAACTACAATTCCTAGCGCAACGAGTACAAATGCGTATACACACAACTATCAATATAACTCGCGTTAAAAAATTTTCCAGCTATAAAGTTCGATACAGGGAGATACAGATTTAAATTCCGCATCTAATAAAGTTATCCCGGACTAAGAATTAGACCGCGTTCACGTGTTATAACAAAAACTACAATTCCTAGCGCAACGAGTACAAATGCGTATACACACAACTATCAATATAACTCGCGTTAAAAAATTTTCCAGCAATAAAGTTCGATACAGGGAGATACAGATTTAAATTCCGCATCTAATAAAGTTATTCCGGACTTAGAATTAGACCGCGTTCGCGTGTTATGACAAAAAAACTACAATTCCTAGCGCAACGAGTACAAATGCGTATACACACAACTATCAATATAACTCGCGTTACATCTACGGCAAGTTCTGTAACAAAATAATACAATGTAGAACACGGCACTCCGATACTACATATCAAAGACCGTCAGATAAAAACTTGTATTACTTACAAGGTAACATGTTTGCGCGTCTACAGTCTTTGTTATCCATGACATCCAATAGCCGACAGAAAATAATTTCACAAACACTATAAATCATCAGGAACACAACACATTTCTTAATATTACATGGCGTAAACCGAACATATCACGATTTACCGATTTAATCGTTTTTGAAACATCTCGCTAAAGAAATACAGTTTCAGTGAGTGCGATTAGTAATTTGCAACCACGTGAATGCAAGACACTTTCATGCACTGTGTAAGACGCACGGCAAACCGTTTCACGGACGTAAACAAATAGATAAGAACAAAACCTGTTGCAGTAATTCGCGTGCGATCTCACTGGAACACGCACTACTACCTGCCAACAACTGGCAGCGATAAGTGCGCTTCGAATTTAATGCAAATATGTGCATTCTAGCGTCATCTTGGCGTGATTTACAGAATTAAATTATAATACATGCACATTTTGACGCAACGTAATGATAACGGTCTTAAAAACAAATCAATTCGTTAATGATTTATGTATAACAATCCACAGACCTTTATTTTGAATTTTTATGTTCAAATTATATTTATTTTATTAAAGTTCCCTCGTTCACGTTATATCGATTAGGTATTGAAGTATTCTTTCAGTTGGTACTGTCTACGACATGTAGACTAATCATACTCCTGCTATACACCACCGTAATGAATAATTTAAGTTTTCGCATCGTTGTGCTTACACTCTTAAATCTTACATATGATTAACCCCCGATATATCGTATATTATATATAATTCACTATCTTATGTACAGTTAAAAAATATGATTTAGCTTTTATGTTCATATTTCATCTCGTGAGTGTTTTCTTGTATGCATTAGTACAGCTACAAGTATGGAAAATCGAAAACAATCAGTCACATTCAGGAAGCTACAAGATAGAGATCGCCTATCCATTCATACAATTTCATATAAAAACTATAAACGCACACTCAAAACAACAACAAAAGTGTAAATAAAAAAAAAAAGAAGCAAGAATGTGCAAAAACACACACAAATAATAAATGCAAACATGATAATTAAAACACAATATTTAGCCGTAGTACACATGTGTTGATGCTCGCTCTCGTCGGCGTGTTAATATTTACATGACTTGATGTCTGATGATGATTTCTAGTTGCTGGAAGACGTTTAAACCTAAACACAAGCATCAGTCTCGCGCACGTCATCGTTTTTCGGTATGAATGTGTGTATCTGTGTGTGTGTTGTGTTGATAGAGAAATCAATTAATTCCATTTACATAAATGTATCGTCGCAAAATAGTGTTCTCTTAATACCTATGCTTATTATTATCCGTTTATCTTATCGTTTATCGTTTGTTTCGTGGCAAACATGAAAGAAATCATCGATTAAGGCCATTGTTCTCGCCCTAACATTGTGTTTCGTTTTGATTAGTATGAGATTACCACACCAGGCTGCCGTTCTTTCGCTTTTTTTTTTACATTAAAACGTTGAAACTAAATTTAAAATATTAAAATATGTTTAGAGTACAAAATGAATCAATTGGCACAACGATATTTACCGCGTGGTGTTATTTCTGCGCGTGTTTCGTAGTGGTGTACTGTTTCTTTTTTTTACAATTTTCCTATGTTTCACATGTTTACACTATTTAATATATTACTTTTTACTCTTTTTACTTTGTGGAATGCAAGTTCAACTGTTTGTTTGTTTTCGTCCGTTGGTTGTTTAGTTACCCACCGATTTGCATTGCTTTTGTTTGCAGGCAAACAAACACAACCTGTCGGGTAATTGTGACACCGTCACGTAGCAATTGTAAATTGTTGATAGCGCGTGTAAGATGTGAACTAATTGTCGCGACGCGCTTTCTTCTTGCTCTTCTTTGCCTTTGGCTCCGTCCACGTATCTATTAACAAATACATTATAAAATAAAAATCATGTTAAAATATAATAAATTTTGCTAAATTCTTACCACCAAGTTCGTCAAACACAGCAGCATTCTCAGCCTTTGCTGGAGCAGGCGCAGCTGGTTCCTTAACAGGCTCAGCCACCTTCTGCACCACCTCAACTGGTGCTTGGAGTTTCTTTTCCTCCTCCTTCTTCGGTTTCTTCTCTTTCTTCGGCTTGGTTTCCTTCTTCTCCTCAACAACCGGTGCTGGTTCCTCTACTTTAACTTCCTCGACCTTTTCAACTTTCTCAACAACGACCTTTGTAGTAACCTCCTCCTTCTCTTTCTTGTTTTTCTCACGCAGTTCCTTATTCACGACTTCTTTGGCAAGCTTGTCAATCTCTACGGTTTTCTTTTCCTCGGGCTTCTTCTTCTTATCTTTCTTAGCGGGACTCTCGAGTTTCTTCTTCTTATCAGCTTTGGTTGGAACAGTTTCCCATTCACCATCATCGTAATCCAATGGTTTTTCGTTGGCGGTCTTCTTGTTGCGCTTGTTCTTGATCTCTTCGATAGTCTCTTTCTTCTTGAGTGCTTCGTTCTTCTTGTTCTTCTCGGCCTGCTTGTTGTTCTCCTGCTTCTTGGGCGTCTGCTGCGAGGCGGCCTCCTTTTCCTTCACCGGCGACTTCTTCTCCTTGACTGGAGTCACCTTTTCAGTCACCACTTGTCCATTGGAAGTGGTTTTCTGTAATCAAAGCAATGTGAGTCAACGTCTGGGAATAGACAAGCAGCCGGTGGCTCGCGGCCGAAAATAATTACTGCAAGTTATTTATAATTATCAAGAAACATATGGTGGACCTGACACTCTGACACTGAGCGCGCCACAGCTCTAACCCACTTTTCTAACAATAGGTCGCCGTCGTCGGTCACCCAGCCGACCATCGCACGCGGCTTATCACAACCCTACAACGTGATAAGCAGAACTAATCTTAAAAACCACTCACCTTCTCTTTAATCTTCTTCTTCTTGGAGTTTTTCTTATCATCAGCGGTAGCGGATGCAGACGCGGCTACCTTTTCAAACTTGGGCTGCGCAGCACTTCGGAACCCAAAAGCGAAGACAAGTGCAAACAGTACCACGACGACGGGCACCACCAGCAGCGCCAGCTTGTTGCTGATCAGCTCGGCGACGATCTCCATCTTGGCGTTTGGCTTTTGTTTCGTTTGTGATGATGGCGGAGCGACAACACGCGGAGACACGTTTGGAGACTGGTCTACGACGACGACGGCGACCACGACGGGGACGAAAATTTGGTGACGCGGCCGTGACGTAAACACAACTGCCGATTTGCCGAAAATCTACCACGCATACAATCCTCCACACTACACACGCCAATGGCGCGCATGCGCACACCACACATAACTACAACCATATACAGTGTACTACAAAACAACACTACAGGATGTTACAAAGTATTCACATCTAAATCCATAGAAACAAGTATATTTTGGCACATAATCTGAACCAAATGACTAGAAAACAATCAGTACGAGTACGAAATTCAATAATAAGCCGAGTAATGATGATAGGGCGCTGGCGTTGGTGAAGTAACATGCGGCCGAGGCGGCAACGCAGTCGGATGATACGGACTAGGCGAAACAGAATAACCCGAATAGGAAACCGGTGACATTGCACCATTACCCATCAATCTATTCTGCTCCAACAACCTAGGCTGCTCCAAAAGTCTATCATCCTGCAGCATACGCTGCGCACCGAGTTGATCATTACCCAATAACCTATTCGTCGTGTGATCCGAGAGGATACGATTCGACATATCCGAAATGTGTCTCGGCGCGGAAACAGTCAAATCCCCCGGTAATAACCGCCCTTGATCCAGGCCCAATAATCTAGAATTAGCAATCTGTGAGCGCAGACTCAAATCAACGCTGTGTCGCGGCTGCGCAAGATCCAGCGAAACCCGAAGTATATCTGGATGTGTATACGCAGGTGGCGGCGGCGGCGGGGAATAATTCAACCTCAGATCCACCGTAGGTCGATCTACCTCCGTATATAAATGATGATATCTATTGAGGTTAGGATAGTTATGATAACCTCGCGCAGACATGTCTAATCCTTGTAATTCCGAAGGATTAAGAACCAAAGGTTCAAAATTACGATCAGTGCGGAAATCTTCAATCAAACTTTCATAAGTTTTTCTTTCAAGGTTACTGCGCAACGCGTCAAGGTTATCCAGGTCATAAGACTTCATTCTGAAGTCATCTAGTGAATCAGTATAGGACCTGCGCATTTCACCGTCCATTTCATAAGTTTTTCGCAAATCAAGATCCAATTCAAATTTAGAGCGTAAATCCGGTACTGTTACACTCGACCGCATTGACAAGTCTAAATCTTTATCGCTTTTACCATCTTCATTTACATCTCCGTCAACATCCGCGTCTTCCATGCCTTCAAAGTCTTTCAATTCGCTGTCTAGGTTATCATTATCCACATTACCGTTAAGACTAAATTTATTCGTATCCTCATTGTCTATGAGGTAACTTTTGTGGTTATGATCATGATCTGTCACATCTATAACTTCGAATCTCTTCGTGTCTTTCCGTAAAAACGAAGAATCGAACGCATAATGCGATTTATAAATCGAAAGGTCTAATTGTATACCGTCACGGGTATTATTTGTGACATTATCAGCGTGTAGAGATAAATTCTGCACACCTATACCGTTATTAGAATCATCCGACTCGGGATTGACCACAGCCGACCCGAAATCATAACGTGGCGGACTAGCAACATTATGCTGCGTATGGTTGTGATTGTTGTGTTGCATAGCTTGCGGTGATGATTGAATGTAATCTCGGAAGTTTCGCGGTGAGTTCGGCGGACTAAAGTCCTCCTGATGGAAACTAGAATAGTCGATTCCCATTGATTGACCATGGCGCAATTCATCAATGTCGTCCGTAACAGAAATCTGCTCGTTGACCGACGGACTAATGAGATTTATATCGCGCGAATCCGTCACATCAACTGATTGTGAATAGGTTACATCCGCCAGCGAATCGTTATCGTGCACGTCGTGTACGTTCACATTCGACAAAGTATATAAATTATTAACTAGTGATTCGGCGCATGGCGTGGTGGCGACATCTATGTCTATATTAGGTTCGCTGCAGACTGAGTCCAACGCTGCTTCGACCAATAAACTAGCGTTGGATTCATGGCGATTGTAACCTATGTTGGTTACACTAGGTGCGATTGTTTGATGCTCATTGGGTTGCATATCCTGCGCGTACACGTCTTGTTCGCCAATCCATTTCTTGGATCCTTTGGTGAGAATTTTAATATTCGGCGCGTAGGATTCCATGTTAGGTGGACTTGGAGCTGGGGTTGAATTCGATGCAGAGCTCGATGATTGGTCGGTGAGACGTATTGTCGTCTCTTCAATCTCTAACTCCTCATCAGGTTTAACCTGATTGGTTAAAACTTCTGTGACGTCCGTTGTGATTGCGTTTGTGTCAGTCTTTTGCGAGTCCAAGATGGCTTCCTGTAGATCATCATCTGGATTACCACTGTAAGCTTCGAAAGTGTAATCCACGCTACGTTCAATTTTCGGCATCATGTCCTCTGTGTAGCCATGCACTTTCTTGTAGTGGAATTGTAGACATTGTTTTGTTGTGAATGCAGCGGCGCATGTGCTTTGATTACATCTATATACACACAAAGATAAAATAAATACAAATTTAAATTAAATTTTATTAATGGTTAAAAACTAACCTGAATGGTTTAATCCCACTGTGTGTTAACATGTGAATCTTGAGATTACTTTTGTTCTGGAACGTTTTACCGCATTTACTACACGCGCATGCGCCGTCCATCTGCTTCTGATGAACTTCTTTAAAATGTCGCTGGAGGGCAGCGCGAGAACCAAGTAGTTTCATGCAGTTTTTGCATTGGAATTCTTTTAATACTTCCGACATATCTTAAAATTTGAAAATTCAAGTTAGACTACCATGTAAACATTATATAATGATGACTTACCACTGTGCATACGTTTAATATGCACTTTTAATTTCTGCGGTTGACAGAATTTCCGCCCGCAAAAGTCGCACAGAGGTCGCGATCGATGCGGATTCGCTGAACAACCATAAGTGCGATGCATTTCGAGATAATTTAATCTTAAGAAATACTAAAACACAAAAAAATCAGCCACAAATATCCAATAATGTATTGTTAATTGCATACCTTTTTACAAAATTGACACTGATACGCCCCCTGGCCGTTGTGCAACTCACTAGCGTGTTTCATAATATTCTCTTTACCTAACACAGCAGCCCCGCACACTTTGCAGTGATATTTCCTTATAGTTAGACTATAACGGACATCATGGAACACCGAACAATGTATACGATAATACAGTGGATGTTGAAATGTCATATTACAACCACCACAAGCTAAATAAAACACAAAAATTCAAAATTAGTACAAATAAAATGGCCGCCATTACTAAAAATCACTTACTAGTCTTCTCCATTTTCTTTTTATTCCCACTAAAATCATCCTGCCAGTAAACAAGTTCCTCTCCTTTAGTGACACTCCTAGTTGTAATAAAATACAAATAATTCTCTTTATGCACCACCAACATATTCCGCTGTTCTCTATTCGCCGCAGGCCGTAAATATCTAATCCAATTACTCTCATCCTCACTCTCCGCGTTGAAATACACCCGATCTGTTTCACCCTTGATAATCTCAAACATAAAACGCATAGTGCAATCTTCAGGAACATCTACTTCTTTGATTGTGGGCGCTACAAGCGGTCCAAACTGTGTAAACGCATCGAAAAGCTGCGTACAAAACACGCCTTGTTGCCCTTCCCATCCAGATTGATTAACATCATCTAATTTCAACCCTGGAGGGAATGATTTCAATGCATAGGACTCCACAATCTCATCATCTTCATTATTTAGTGAATTCTGATAAGTTTCAAGCGTAATACTGTCGTTTATAAACATTTTCGGATGTTTTATCAGACACTGATCATGTTCAGTTGGTAAATGATCAGTTTCACAGCTTGGACAAGTAGAATTATTACTAATTAACGTTTCTGGTGACGCTGATGTTGATTTTACAGTAGGAGTTGATGTTAACATGATATCTTTCACATCTTGTTGTAATAATTCAGGTGCTTTCCTTGTATCATGCTCAGTTTCTTTCAATTTCAACTTTTTATCAACTTTTTCACTTGTTTCTTTCATCTTAATGTCGGTAATATTAATTTCTGCTTGTTTTACAACTGGTTTAACAATGTTTTCAATCAATAAAACTTGACTTGCTGGTTTTTGTTGAGTTTGCACTGGAGGAACTTGTAGAGGTGTTAACAAATCATTGGAAATGTTAACCATGATACTAGGTTTAGGAATAGATTCGACATTTTGTGCAGGTTGCTTCAAGGCGTCGGATTTTCGCTTTTTATGTTTGTGTTCCTTCTTTTGCTTACCAGGAGAAACATCAGGTTGTTTTTGTGTTGGCTTTTGTTTCTGCTCATTGTCACCATCACTGTTGCCATGGTTACCATCTTTGTTTGCACATTTGGAAGTATTTCTATGTAAAAAACAATAGAAAATCAAATTAAATTTGATGTTTGAATGTTTATTGTTAGGTACACTTACTTGATGAGATGTTTCTCTGCAAGATCCAGTAGCAGTTTAACAAATTCCTCATTGTTCTGACACTTTGATGAATTCCTGAATTGAATCCAGCGTTTCACGTTGGCGGAGCCAATAACAGCGCTGAGTTTAGAATCACTGGAGGCTGGTTTGGTTTTGGAGTCTTTTGCGTCCTTTGAATGCTTTTTATCTGACCTCGACATCGCCATGGGTGAGGAGGAAGAATTCGCGTCGCTTTTCTTGCATTTCTTCGACATTCTAGCGGTTATGATGATGTAAACTACATCACGTTGATCGTAGATCAATCATTTTTAGATTAACACACCTTTTGGGATGTACACGAGGGTGGAATCGCACTATTTCATTCGATTTAGAATCTGCAGGTCTTCACCTAACATCACAAACACCCAAAAACTGGCGTTCAAGGACGTGCGGCAACCAGTTATACACACAACGCAAGATGGCGGTAGTAAATATGTCAAACAAAATCATTTAAATATTCAAAAATACAATTTAAATGATTAGAAATATATAAACAAACGAGTTTAAAGTTGTTATTGTGAAATATTTCCACAATTATAACAATAATCAATAATTTACGCGCTTATTTTACAAAAAGAAAACACCGGCAGCTGTCAAAAATCAAACAGCGGTCAAAACAAAAATTCTTGCAATAAAATATAAGATTACAATGTTTACCACGTTTGTATCTACAAAAATGTATTAAAAAACACAAAAACATGACTAAATATTTGCGTCTCTACTTGTTGCCATGGCAACCGCACGTCCGCACGTTATTTACACCGCCATCTTGCAAAGTATTGCCAATCGTAAAATAATAAAAATGTATTTCCTTACAACTATCCATCTTACATCCTTCGAGTAAATAAAACTCACTCACGCTTACATTGTATACACTCTAAGTCCTATTATGACGATTTCGATGCTGTCCGCCTCGCGACCGATTCCGTGACTTCTGATTATCATTATTCGACCCGCTTTGCGACGTTGGACCCGTTGAAGATGGCGGTCCATTACCACTCAACCTACTTTGCGCCCCAGTCGTACCCTGTCCACCTGCAGGTCCTTGTTGCTGCATAGCTGGTTTCCCACCAGCACCACCAACACTTCCAGTCGAATTGTTATGCACTATTGCCGGCTGCTGTCCTTGATTGACTTGTAATCCTGGCGCTGGTTGTGGAACAGGTGGACCAACCCTCCCCGCACCATTATTCGTCCCATTATTCAATGGAACGTTGTTTGGTGGTCCAATGGATGTCATCGGCATGTTTGGCGTGTTGTTCGGCTCGCTCATGTTGAGATGCTCGTTGAAAACCATGCAGAACTCGCCCACTTTCTGCAACTCACCACCTTTTGCCGTGTAGAGTGTGAGGCAGTTGCGCCACATGTTGAGGTAGCCTTTGGTGAGGCGCACGATGTCACCTGGTTGCAGCAGGACGCCCGGTTCATCCCAGACGCTGGCGTTGATGCAGGCGCTCTGGTCGGCGACTTTGAATGTGCGCACCTCACGGTTTTCCTTCGTCAGCGTCGGATGGCCCACTTCCAGCACGATGAAGAGCGCGTTCACGTTCTTCAGCCCTGGCCGCATGTCTTTGATCTGCACGTAGTTGTCCATTTGCTGCGGGGGCGGCTAGCAGGCGAGGCGAGGTGCGTCACCTAAGCATAGCAAAAGAGAATGAGAATGGGTGGATTATTATCCGGTGGAGGTGGTGAGTGAAATGATGAGTGCGGCGAGATCCTGCTCGTCCTGTGGCTGAAACCGAAATAATGAAAATGAACAAATGATCTCGATTGGTATGTTTACTGTATCCCCACTGGAATACTCTACATATAAAGACTAGTTCACACAATTGTCATATATTTATCTTGGTATTTTACTTTATTTAAATTATTATCGCAATTAAATCATTAGTAAATAATCTTTAAGTATTTCTGGGTAAAAATACATTAGAATTTACTAATAATTCAACTTTAATTTAATATTATTTAGTGAAAATATGAATTTATGTGAAACAGTTTTTACACTTTTGACATTGTCAAATGAGTTTAACCTACAAATAATCGCAAACTATTCGGTAAACTTAAAATATAGATAACTTTTAACTTACTAGACTGAAATAATCATGGATTTAAAAGATTTCAAGCCAGAAAATGAAGATTTGTATGAAATTTTACAAATTCCGTTTGATTCAACAATAAAAGATGTATGTAGACGTAATAAACATTAATTTGTTTTATCTTACAATATATTTTTTACTCAATTTACTCCTCTTGCTTAGATTAAAAAAGCCTACAGAAAACAAGCCTTAAAATGCCATCCAGATAAAAATCCTGATGATAAAAATGCCGCCGCAGAGTTTCATAAACTCTCAAAAATCCTTGAAATCCTCACAGATGAATCAGCAAGAAAAGCCTATGACAGACTCCTCAAAGGCAGAAAAGAAGCAGCGATTCGCCACTCAGAACTCGATAGTAAAAGAAGAAAACTTAAAGAAGACTTAGAAGCACGAGAAAAAGCTGCGGTTAGTGGCCAGGGAGGAAAATCCGCAGCGCAATTATTTAAAGAAGAAATTGACAGATTAAGAAAAGAAGGCTCCAAACAAGTTGAAGAAGAAATGGAATTAATGAGAAAACAATTCGCAGAAGAACAAGTTAAAGAAGAAGTTTGGGATTCTAGTAAACACAGAATTAAGATTAAGTGGAAAAGCGACAAACACGATGCTCAAAATGGCGGCTACACGCAAGACATGTTGCATAGATTTTTATCAAAGGTAAAAATTAATCTAATGTCATCTTACCGTAAACAATCACAAACTTATAATATTTTTCATTTCAGTATGGGAATATTACGGTTTTAGTGATGTCACCAAAGAAGAAAGGCTCGGCACTTGTTGAATTCGACACGAAAAGATCAGCGGTAAGGTTACACAACGCCATGTTGTTTGGGCATTGCTTAGCAACGATGCATAGTGGGTTGCCTAACATAATCTAATAATATTATTTTCTAGGAAATGGCTGTTGATATCGAAAAAGGCCTCTCAGAAAACCCACTGGAATTATCCTGGGTAGACGGCAAAGGACCCAACCCTCAGGCAGTAAAATCAAACACCATCAAAGAAACAGACTTCGAGAGCATCACATTAATGAAACTACGACAAGCCGAGGAAAGAAAACGTCTCATCGAACAAATGATGGCGGAAGATGAATAAAATGATACTAATTCTATTAAAAAGTACCGTTGGTAAATTATATATCAATCATTTTAATCGTTCCTCGGTTATCCAACGAAACATAAATCATTTGTTTACGCCTCGGTTATAAAATACAATGTCCCACAAATAGTTTCGTATAAAAAAAAAGAAGAATGAATTTGCACGTGTGCCGCACGCCGGTACTAACATTCAACAAAGATGATCAGTTCTTACAAAAACTCAAAATGGTCGTATCGCCAGTCTTGCAGATGCACCGCCATCCTCTCATCGCTGTCGCCTTCATTAATATTAAATTACAAATCCAAATATATACATCTATATAAAACATCTATAAAAATTGCCTGCAAAAAGAATGCTCCTGATCCATAATAATATATATATCTGCACCGCTTGCACTTTCGAATCAATTATTTACCGCTTTATATACATATATATGAAATGCGCGCTTGGAAATCGTGTGTAAATGTGTCTGTGTGTGTGTGTTATATAAATGTATATATAAACATTCGTACTACCCCCGTGCGTCTCACCCGCGCGTGTAAACTAATGAACGGCAATTTTAGTTTAATTTGTCAGCTGGCTAGCGGCCAAACTCGTTGGCGTCGTCTTCGGTGATGTCGCCGTACTCCCAAATGTTCGAGTGGTTCTTCTTGGCGACATCCTGAGCTGCTCTGTATTCAGTCAACTGCAAAAGGAAATTATATCAGCAAAAAACAAATATTAGTAGGTAAATTTTTTGGTTAACTCGATAAAAATGTCATTTTCATTTTAAATTTTAAATTTCGCGCCTCAAATATCGTCGCTGGCTGTCATTTTTCGTGATATTTGATTGGATCAGAGCGGAAAATGGCGTCAATGTTGAACTTACGCGGATAGGCAACTGTTTAATCATTTGCAACTTACGAGTTTGGCCAATCGTCGCTCTCGTCTCTTCTCGACCAAAAGCAAACCATCCGTGATCAGATTCTTGACGATATCATCTTCACGATTCTCAGAAAGCAGGGTGACAGCAGGCGGGGTCCCAGGCGCGCGGTACTCGACATTCAGCAGCAGTACACGATTGCTGGTGTCTTCGCGCAGGTACTTGAGACACATCTCCAAGTACTCGGGATCTTTCGGCAGCGTAACGCATGCAAGCGAATACTCCGTCGCCAGCGCCTTATCACTGGTATAACCAGCGGGCAAACTAGCCAATCGCGACGTGCTCAACGTCTCCGCATTACCGTAATCAATGAAAAGCACATTCGCTTCGCCGCCAGTAACTTTCTCAACCTTTGCGCGATACCACTCGTCATCAACCGAGTACTTGGCAGCGCAAATATCTCCACGCTTCGGCGTGTACGCTCCTGGAAGTGGCGGGTTGGCTTGGAACTCTTGACGCAGTTTAACACTCATCGCTTCGGCTTTGGGCCCTTTCGAAACCAGCTGCGCGTAGATGGTACCCTCACGCGTCACTTCAGTAATGACAACTTCTTCGTAATTCGAAGCGCGTTCGGGATTCGCTCTGTCTTCCTCAACTTTCTGTTCTTCTTCATGTTCCTCAACATAATTCTTCCAACGACGCAACTTGGCAGCCTTCGCGCTATCCTCAGCATTCTTCAATTCACGATAGTATTTCGACCTGTCAGCGTTCGGGTGCATCGCAGCGTAACCATGCTCAATCAGCGCAACAGAAAGATTAACATTATCGATCCATAACCAACCGATAAAATTACCAGCCTTGTCTGTGGATTCCACAGCAATGGTCACCTCCTTTTGGAGGCAACGCTCCTTGGTAAAGACCAGCGCTTCCTCACCGAAAGGTTCCGCAGCAGTGGGTGGTTGATTACCCATTGCAGGACGCGCACCACGTGGGCAATTGATTCCACCGAGCAAGAACGTCGCCAAACAATGCTCTTTAGGGATGTACAGACGTAATCTCGATCCGGACGCCACAAACTCCACAATGGCGTTTACACGGTCAGCACGTTGGAAGGAGGAGAAGTATTGCTTCGATTTAGCGGAATCCTAACAAAAAAAAACATATATTAATTAAGAAATTAATGAAATTAAATTAAATTAATTCAAGGAAATTAAAGTTATAAATACATAAGAGTTCGCGCATGCGCTCGAAATCAAATACGGCCATGTTGCGCTGCACCGACATGACCAGCAGCAGCGCATGCTGCTTTGGTTGCCTAACATCCCCTGACATTTTAAATGGCGTCATACTACTCCGTAGATTAATGCGCATGCGCAATGTCTACTTCATGTCTTTAAAAGTAGAAGTACAAAAAAAACGAAATATTTCTATCTAATACTTACAATTTCATGCACACGATGACTAGGAATATCCTTCTTCGCATGCACACCCTTCAGCGACTTGGCCGCCTTGGTCTCAGCCTGCAGGAGATCATTATAATGCGCACTGCGCTGATCATCATCCTGCCTGTACCTGATCACAGTCGCCAAGCCCTTGGAAACCAACGCTTCAGCAACATTCACACCACCAATCGTCACCGTAGCGCAGGTCTTCTCCGGGAAGCTCTCCCTCGCCTCCTGAATGTAATCCACCGAAACATGCACCTTCTTATCAATCAACTTCTTGCGCAGAAACTCACGCGCCTCAAACATCCACGGAATGTCGTACAGAGGACGGAAGCCTTTCGGACGCGGCACTGGTTTACCATCTTCACCCTCCGCACGGCCAGCCTCCTTGGGAGGTCGGATGGAAGACAGGAAGATTTTCTTCACCAGCCCGCTTTGCATCTTGACCATCAGGGCATCACCGTTGACAACTTCAACAACCGTACCGGAGAATTCCTTATCCTTATTGGGGATAATCGGCGCATTGGACTGCCAATCCTTCCACATGCGTTTCTTAGCGTCCTTTGCTTTCTTTTCAGCAGCGCGCAGTTTATCCGCGCCGGATTTCATGAAAGCGATGGACCAATCAACGCAACGACCAAGACCCTCAGAGAGTAAAGCTTCGGCAATGTTACCCTTTGGATGCAGAATTGTACCAACAAAGTTATTATTGTTGACAGACTCAAGGATAACCTCAATATCCCTCTGGAGAAGCCTGGTTTCAACGTAGAATCTTGCTTCCTTTGAGAAAGGAACTTCTACGCTTGCGTCAGGTCTACCTTTATCGTCAATCTTGAACGCTGGACACCTGATACCGGAAATCATCAGAGTGATATGATTAAACTCTGGTAACAAGAAGGCGCGGATTGTGGAACCGTCACGGACGTGTTCAACGATTGCCTTGATGGGTTTGCCACCGGCTTTGTCGACAAACGCGCGCATATTCTCAATGGACCATTTGATGTCTCTGACATGCTCGGATGGATTCGGGCCCCATTTACCTTTGCCTGCGGCTTTGGCAGCGTCTTCTAATTCAGCCAGGCCTGCGTTGTCAGGTGTACGGCGCACGGTGACCAAACCTTCCTTGACGAGGCTCTCGGTGATATTTTCAGGGACGCCATCTTTGACAAGGTAGACAACCCCGTATTCACGTGTCGCGTTTGGTGGCTTCTCGAATTTGAAGCTCACTTCTTCGCCGATGAGTTTTTTGCGGAGGAATTCACGTGCGTCCCATGCCCATGGTTCGTCCTTGGTGTCTTCAGCGCCTTCGACGGCGCGGCGTGCGAGTTTCGGTGCGGTGACACCGGAGAAGATGATTTGTTTCTCTGGTGGGGGCGCACCTTGCAATGCACGGATGATAACAGAGTCTCCGGAGAGAACCTGGGAGAAAACAAGGTAAATATTAGTGTTATGTACTTGTGATAACGGTATTTTTATAATATTAATCTTAAACTATACTTTAGAATAACTTGAAATTGTAAAAATTAAATTGTGCATGTTTTTTGTGTTAATATTTTGTAAATAATGGTTTATATAATAATTATTTGCTATTTGATAGGAGAATTTACATTATTTGTTAATAACTTTTTATATAATATAGTATTTTGCAAGATATTTACCTATTTTATACAGAATTCAACGTAGAATTCAAGTTTTTAAAGAAATTTGTGTTTTTCAATAACATTTTTGGGGATTTTACGCGAATAGGCAACTGTTTAATCTTTTGTTGTGCAGGTTATATGCTCAGTAGTGTTTAAATGATTTCCTCAACAAATTAGCTGAAAAATCGTGCTTAAGTTATAGAAATTTGCATTGCAATTTGTAGGGATGTTGGGTTGCATAACCACAACAATATTTCAAATGTTTCAAAATATTCTAGGCCATAATTACTAGTTTTAAAGCAAAAAATCACACAATTTTTAATAATCAACGCAACTGACTGAAACTTTTTTACAAAATAATCGCAGTAAACACCCTGAATTATATTTATAAACACCGAATAACAAATAAAACCGTTAAAATTCCACGTTATTCCAACAAAACACTGATTTTTATGCTCAAATATGCGTTTTAAAGCAACTTAATACGCTGTTACGGTATTTCCACCACAAATACTTAATTTTTTAAAGAATTTCTAAGTTTACTCAATGAGTAATAAGTTACAATAACATTTTCTATCATCAAATATTCGAAATGTAAATCAAACACGTTTTACCTAAAGCTACTTTAACCCTACTCATAAATTTCCATTCGTTTAATTTAAAATAACACGTTTTGATTTATTTTTTAATTATATATTACTACTAGTGCATAGATTTGTAAAGGTCACCAACTCTCACGTAGAGACTCGAGATGCCAACTCACACCGAGAGGTTATGCTACCCCGACCTTTCAAACACCGCGCAATCAACCTAAACAATCCCTCAACGCACATCCGCAAACCCTACAATAATAAAAACCTCATCCGCAGGTGATGATTTTCAGTGAGAATTTCGCACAAGCGCACCGCAAATCATCGCTCGCGCCAGCCATATGTGCGCATCGCGACACAACGTGCCAACCAGGCACTCTCTTCGCCACTCGGCAACGTGTGGCCCACACACCGATCACCGAAACAACTCATCCACAAACACGTCGCCGCCGCGACGAAACTTTGACTGAAAACCATCGCGAAACGCGCCCGAAATCACAACCGAAGCACAGGAAACACATTTCGCATCGTTGATGCGCGTGCAAACGTTTCAGTACTTACTTGTTTAACAATTCCTCGAGTCAAAGGCGGATTCTGCTGGGTCGTCATCGCGAATTCGGTCGTACACTGAACGGTGTGCGTACAGCGCGCTCGCCTGACACACGAGCGAGTGGTTAAACGTCACCAACCAGAGGCGCACGTCACGTGACGCGGCGTGAAAGCTGGGAAAGCGGCGCAAGTGGGGAGCTTTCACTCGACGCGCCGAGAGTCTAACGAGAGACACCATTAGCTGCGGAATTAAGGGGCATTTTCAGTCATTAATCGAACGCATGGAATTCGCAAAGAGTTGCGTTTTCGCTTCGCGACGTGATGTGGCACAGCGTCATCTGAAAATCGCACAGCGTGGAGCTTTGGAGTAGGGAGAGTACAAGCATTCACTATAGGCAACTTGTACAGCACAACAACGCGTCAACTTACCAATCATAATTTTTCGAAAATTGATTCCATTATACAATTATATCTTATTAGGTATAATAAAAACTAAACTGAAAATTAAAAAAAAAACTACCTTCTCACAACGGGTACTTTGTCAAATCAAACGTCAAAACTTGACTGATCAAACAATCGCCAGGCTGCAACACACAATACACAAATTAACACAAAAAATTGAAAACCTTTTAAAATAACAAACCTCTGGACAAATCCCAATCAACGCATCCGCATGCGAATAAAACTCTTCTTTCAATGAAATAACAATTGTCTGCAGCGATTCGGTCTTCTGCGTGATGTACTTAGCCACTTTACCGATGTTAGTATTATCCAACGCGGCATCCACCTCATCCAGAACAAAAAATGGCGCCGGTTGATAACTATGTATAGCAAACAACAGCGCCAACGCGGCGACAGTTTTCTCTCCACCGGATAAATTCGACATCGGCTGGAATCTCTTACCTGGCGCGACACAATTATAATTAATCCCGTCCAAAAATGGTTCCTCGGGGTTTTCCGCACCGAGGAACGCCTGCGCAGATTGATTCTGCGCCAATTTCTTATAAATCGTATCGATTTCATTCGATACGTGATCAAAACACTTCGTGAAACGTTCATAACGCTGTTGTTTCACTCTTTCAAACGCCGCCTTTGTTTTCTTGTTCTGTTTACGCAGCGATTCAAATTCTTCGTTTGTTGATTGAAGTTTTCCTTGTGCGAGTTCAAGTTTTTGTATCGCTTTCATATTCGGCGCTTGAATCTTCATCAAAGTATCATGGAGGTTATTAATCGCCTTCTGCAACTTGTCAGACATCTTTTTAACCTCATCTTTTTCTTCGAGATCTTTTAAATTGTCGGATAACATCTCATAATCAATTTGTATACGTGATTCTCGTTCGTATACAACACTTGATGTTGTTACATCCGATGTGCTTTGATTATGATCCTGTTGGACGATATCTTCCATGTTTCCAATCAGCATTGGAATAGCGATGTCGTCCATCTTGCATTGCATTAGGATGTTATGCCTGTCGCCTTTTTTGCTCTCGATTTTATTCTCGATGCTGGTGACTTGTTTCTGAACAGCTTGTATATCCTTTGCGATGGTGCCTACTTCACGTCGACATTTTCCGACTTCTTCTTCCATCGCGTCACATTCTTGTTTGTGTGTGAGTCGATCCGATTTGAGTTTCTCGATTGTTTTCAAATCTTTATCGATTTCATCGCGTTGTTTCTGTTCGGCTTTTTTGCATGATTCTAATTTTTCTTCCTCGTCGTTTACGGTGCGCTCCCAGCGACTTACATTTGTTTGAGTGTCACGACTGCGTTCAAATTCTAAATTTGAAGTGATACGGTTGATTTGCTTCTGGAATTCGAGGCGTTTTTGTTTGCGTTCTTCCTGTGTGCGTAGTTCGCGGTCTTCGTATTGACGGATGTTTTTCACGCCGATTTCTTGGCAGAAGTCGGAGAAGACGACGTCTTCGACGCTGTTCATCTGGAGTTTGATTTCTTCGATTTGTTGCTCGCGGACTTGCATTGAGCGCTCGATGTCTTCAATGTCAGGGCCGTATTTGGCGATTTCTTGCGAGAGGCGTTTCAAATCGTCGTTGATTTTATGGATTTGTTTATTCTAAATATAAAAATATTATTTGTATTTTTAAAACTTTTTAAATTTTAATTACTTACTGTACTCTCCATGTCGGTTTTGGCATACTTTAATCGTGTCTCAGTTCCTCTAATCTGAGAATCGACTGTATTCAACTCCGACTCCTTCCTGCTCTTCTTCATAGCCTCTCTCAACTCTTCAGTAAGTTTCTCCTTCTGTGCCTTCAGCTGCGACATGTGTTTCTCATCCCAACGCTTTGCTTTCCTCGCAAGATCCAATGAACCACCCGAAATAATACCAGATTTATTGTAAAAAGTACCATCCAATGCAACAGCCTAACAAAAACAACAAATTTTGTTATTATTTCTTACTTAAAACAAATAATAAAAATAAAAACTCACGTCATATCGTCCACCTATATCATAGGCAACCTTCATAGCATCCTCAGGAGTTTCACACACCAAAGAATTATTCGTAACGAACAAAACAGCATTTTCAATATCTTGAGGATCAAACTGCAGAACATCATACAACAAACGCACACCTTTCGGGTCAGAAATATTCCTCAAACGCTCTTTCAGCGGTTTCAACTGCAGATAGGAAATAGGAAGAAAAGTTTCTGGATCCAACATTTGTTCCTTCAAGTATTTGATGCAATTACGCGCTGTTTGCTCTGTATCCACAACAATAGCCTCCATAAACTTGCCCAAAACCTTCGTAATGGCAACATTATACCGCTTATGCGTCGGCTGACACATATTTATCATCCTATCAAACTAAAAATACAAAAAACATCAAAATCCAAACTAAATTTAACAAAAAAGAAAATAAAAAAACTTACCACACCAGGATAATTACTCTTGAACCTCTCCACAATCTCTTGCCTCTTCTTCCTTCTAGAATCTTCATGTTTATCTGTTCGTGCATCACCCAACTGCTCACTTACATCCTCCAACTGCCTCTGCACTTCTTGTACACGATCCTTTGATGATCCAACATCTGATTGTAAATCCTGTCGCAATTGTCGTTGATCATGCAAAGCCTGCTCAGAAGTCTTAATATGTTCATTCAATTTATCAATACGCTTCTCCATCTCCTCCTTCTCATGCTCTTTTTGTCTGTGTGTATTTTCTGCTTCTGTGCGCATTCTCGCCACGTTATCCAGCCGATCCTGATCGGATTTCTGCTCGCGATTAACCGAATCAAGGTCTTGCATATATCTTGCTGAGCGTTTCGCTGCTTCCTCTTTCAGGCGATGATATTCACGCACTTGTTCATCTTCAAGATGAACATCACGTCCTTGGCTTTGTGATTCACCGGCAATAGCGTTTTCATATTCGCTTTTTGAGCTTTCGACTTCGGCTAATTCGTCTTCTAGTTTTTTCACGTCGAGATTGTGCGCCTCGTCGGCTTTCTGCGCTTGTTCGAGTGTTTTACGCGCGCTGTCGAGCTTTTTCTGCATGTGAGTTACACGTTCTTTCGCTTTGATGAATTGGGGCTTTTTCTTGGAGATTTCCACTTCAACTTCGCGAATATCTTGCTCTACTTTGGCTAAATCTCGACCGATTCTGCCCTGTTCTTTCTTTTTTTCTTTGAGCGCCTCTTCGGCTTTTTCTTTTTTGCGTTCGATTTTTTCTACTTCTTTTTGTTTTGATTTTAAGTCGCTTTCGTAGTTTTTCATGTCGCGTTCGTTATAGAAGAGACGGAATAATTGTTGTTCGATTTGTTTTTCATTCTGTGAATGAAAATTATTAATCAAAACGACAAAAGACACAAAATTAAATAACACATACCAAATCATCTCTTAATCGGGCGTATTTGTCGGCTTCTTCCTTTTCTAGCCTCGCTTCTTTACGTTCTGCGTTGATGCCTTTCTTCTTTTGGTATGCAAAGTTCATTTCTTCAAGTGCTTTCTGCATTTGGTGCTTAAGTCGGTCGTAATCTTCTTTTAACGCACCAGAACTACAATAATTTATCGTTTGTTGAAGTAATTAAATTAAATTTTGAATAAATAAATAGATATAACCCTATTTATCAGTGTTATTATTGTATTATTGTTTCAGTTTTATTCTTACCCACTAATTTCCTCAAACAAAGCAGTCATTTCTTTCGGATTTTTCATCGCGACACTCTCGACAGCGCCTTGGAAAACCAAGAAATTCTTCGCCTTCACGTTAATCTTCAATCTTTCCAAGTCCGACATGTATTCTTGACTTGATACAATCTAAACACACAAAATACAATAAGAAAATTGCTCAAATAAGTTTAATTTAAATGGATATGTTTCCTATAGTAGCATTTTAGTTTTTCAAGTAAATTCTTGGCCGAAAAACAAATTTTAAGGAATATAACTTGCTCTTTGTGCCAGCATAAACCCACTTTCATAACTCTGAAGAAAGCACGTTCTGGGCGCACAATTAATAACATTTAGTTTGTGTTATTGTTAATTTTGTACCTTATTATTGATGCGATATTCCGACGACGATCCTTGAACGGATCTTTGAAAGGCAACTTCACTTCCTTCATCATCCATATAAAAAACGGCCGTTACTGAAGCGCTAGAAATAGAATTTCATCATCAATAAAGTTTTTATTTTAGTTACATCAACTTTCATTTGTTTTTCATATTAAAATTAAAATGGCGACCAAAAAACAATTTTTATTACCTTCTAGAAATGGGTTTGTTAATTGCAGCACCATGAATCAAATCACTGAGCCTCTTGACCCTAAGAGATTGAGTTCTCTCTCCCATAACAAAACTGATGGCGTCCATGAAGTTCGACTTTCCTGTAAGTTACAACATTAGTGAAGTTATAAATTTGAAGTTAGAGTAGTCAATATAAACAAGTACAAAAACAAAAGGCATCAATTCTAACCTGATCCATTCGGACCGATGACGGCGTTGAACGGTTTCAGTGGTCCGATGATCTTCCTCCCACGATAGGACTTGAAGTTTTCCACTTCGATGTGCTTTAAACGCGGCGGCATCTTGGTTGATATTATTCACTCATTAAATTAATAAATTGAAGGAAAAAACAAGCGAACAATGTTTGGGAATGCAAACGAATGTTACCCGCTTGTGTAAAAATGGCGCTTGAAATTGACAGCGGTTAGTTCATCGGCTTGCTGTAAGAGGGCCAAATATTATTTAAACCAATAAAAACCGTTTTTTCAATGATTATAAAAGAATTTAATTAATTTCTTTATTAAATCAGTCAAATATTAAATAAAATAAAGAGTTTAATATGAAATAAATGTTTAAAATACTAAAAATCATTCTTTTCGTTTATAATTCTCAATCACAATCCTTACAATATGAGTCTGAGGCAAAAAACTCATCTGAACAATCAAATCGTCAATATTTCCGTAAATACACCGCTTTGTAAGTGCCACCTGCACAATTTGCGCATATCTCTCCAAACTAAGCAATAAACTCTCATCTCGCATCACCAACAAATGTCTATCCACATTTTCCAGCTTCGCTTTCTTTTCCAAATCCATCACATACTTTAAAATCCCACCATTTGATTGAGTTAATGCCGTGGCACTCACGGCCCTCGGCGTTGGCAGGACAGGAATCTCAAAAATACTATTCAACAACCCCAAATGCAACTTCTCATATACAGGACTATCAATTTTATAAATCGGTGCCAACACAGTCCATTTTAATAACCCAGCAATCGGTGTCGTTGCTTCCATTGCGATTGCACCAGGCGGAAGCGGATGTTGCATCGTTTGCGCAGCAATACACAGAGAATGATCACTCATTATCCAATTTGTAACAGCTTCGAGCAAACAACTCGGAGGAAATCTTAAACTTCCTTCCACAAAGTACAATTCTCCAATAGCAGTTAAAAAATTCGCTGTAAACTGAGGACATGTCACTGGCAACTCATGAATATTCTCTAAACTTTTAGGCAGAAGAATAAAATAATCTGTAATGATGTTTTCAGCCAATTTGCAGCTATTTGTTGAAGTATTTCCCAATTGTTGCATCCATGTACTTGCAGAATTCAATATTTTAGGTGCATTTGTGCCCAAAGCGATAGAGACAAGTTTGTTTAAGATTTTTAAGCGTTGTGTGGCTGTTGTGCCACTGAATAAATTCATAAAAACTGTATTACAATGAGTTTCATCCTCAGTTTCATTGAGAAAATCATAAAGAACTTCAAGTAGTTGTAATTCTTGGATTGGATTAAAGGCTGGTGTTTTATTTCCACGACGATCCACCTCACAGAAGACAAATTCAGACATTAGGTCTAAAGCCAGATCCATTAGTTTTATATTAGGAGCTCTTCCACATAATAATTGATCTATAATCGAAGAAAAACACAAAAATTAAGCAAACAATCAAATTATTACTTAAAATACGTACTTATATTATTCAGTGCTTCTTTAGCACAAAGTGGATAGTCCATTTTACGCAATACTTGCTTTACTTCACGTTCACTCATCTTTTTAATTAATAATAACTTATTTTAAAATATATGCTGGAGTTATTTGTATTTGTTTTGTGTTTCCAACCTTAAAAAAGCACAATTTCTCTTGATTTCACTCATAACCCAGAAGATTCACATGAAATCTTATTAAAAACCTTCTAAATTATTTGTTTTTAGCACAGTTGTATCATTTTTATCAATAAAATGGTAATTGCGATTGGTTTTGAAGGCAGTGCCAACAAATTAGGCATTGGAATAGTGAAAGATGGCAAAGTATTAAGTAACTGTCGAAGAACCTATATCACACCACCTGGTGAAGGATTTATGCCTAGAGAAACAGCTCATCATCACCGTAGTGTGATTCTTACTGTGCTAAAAGAAGCTTTAGATCAAGCTAAGATCAGCACAGATGATATTGATGTTGTTTGTTATACAAAAGGACCTGGTATGGGTGCTCCTCTTCATACAACTGCAATTGTTGCTAGGACAGTTGCACAAATATGGAATAAACCACTTCTGGGGGTTAATCATTGCATTGGACGTATCCTTTTATACCTTAAACCATTAATATTAAGATATTTTATAGATTAACCAGCAAAAAACGTTAAATTTGAATGTTTATTGTGTTTAAAATTGATTAAAACTTCAAAAATCATCAATATTTATCCAAATTATTGGTTTTTAATCATGTTAAATTACTTGGTTTTCCTTAAAATGTTAAAATACAGACATAGAAATGGGTAGACTCATCACTGGAGCTAAAAACCCCACAGTTCTCTACGTCAGCGGTGGAAACACGCAAGTAATCGCTTATTCCCGCAAACGCTATCGAATTTTCGGCGAAACAATCGACATCGCCGTTGGAAACTGCCTGGATCGCTTCGCACGTGTCATCAAACTCTCAAATGACCCTAGTCCTGGCTATAACATTGAACAGAAAGCGAAAAAAGGCAAGAAATTCTTCGCTCTGCCATACTGTGTCAAAGGAATGGATGTGAGTTTCTCTGGGATTTTATCTAGCATCGAACAGAAAGCTCCGCACCTTTTAGCTCAAGGCTACACGGTGGAAGATCTATGCTATTCATTGCAAGAGACAATTTTCGCTATGTTGGTAGAAACTACAGAGCGTGCATTAGCACATTGCGAATCCAATGAAGTATTGATCGTTGGTGGTGTGGGTTGTAATGAGCGTCTGCAGGAGATGATGGGTCAGATGTGTGAGGAACGAGGCGCGAAGTTATTCGCTACTGATGAGCGATTTTGTATTGATAATGGCGTGATGATTGCGCATGCAGGTGCGGAGATGTTCAGATCGGGGAGTGAGATGTTGTGGAAGGATAGTTTTATCACGCAGAGGTTTCGGACTGATGAGGTCGAAACAACATGGAGAGATGATTAAGTTTTAAAGTAAAATGTTTAATTTTGGATGTATTTTGCGATTGCAAGAGTATAAAATTGAAAATTTCAGTGTTTTCTTGATTATTATTACCCCTGATCAATATTACGTCAATAAATTTGATTGATGATTGATTTGAACGAATGAAGTTCAAAAATGATGATAATTGATGAAGTTTTAAGAGAAAATGTTAAATTTTGAACGTATTTTGTAATTTCAGGTGTGAAAATTGATAATTTCATAGTTTTTGTGTATTATCTTGAACATTATGATCACTGATTGACTGATTGTCAATAAATTTGATTGATTGGATTCAATAAGACTGTTGAAGTGCAAAAAACATTGAAAAATGATTGAAAATGTTAAATTTTGAAGGTATTTTGCGATATCAAGTGTAGAAAATAACAAATTTGACTATTTTGATTCATTTTCTTGATTATTATTATCGTTTATCAATGTTTAGTCAAAAAACTATCAAGAAATACCATTAACCTAATAATACCTTACTTCAAAAAGGTTTAAATGCTCTCCTTTGCTTCAAAGCCAAAATTTTCTTCTTATCTTCCTCTGCTTTCTTCCTCAAAGCAGCCAGTTGATCCTTCTTTGCTTGTCTAATTTGATGCCTATAGAAATTCTTCAAAACTTTATCTTTTTTATTCTTTGCCATTAATTTCTCAGCAACTGATTCCTTCCTAGACAACCCAGGATTTCTACCTTTCTTTGTCACAACAGTCCATCCCTCATCATCAGTCTCCAAAGTCTTGGATTTCTTTCTTACTTCTTCAGCATCATAAGCTTTTATAATCTCCAACATATTTTGTTCTCGCTGATGCTGATTTAGTAAACCTTCATTGTATTGTTTGACATATTTATCTATACCCATTAATATTGGTTCTTTTTCTGTTGATATTGGTTCTAGTTTTTTGAGATTTAATGCTTTGTATAAATCTTTTTCTGTTTTGAATATAATGTAGCAGCATTTAAAACCTGTGTGTGTTGTGTCTTTGAATTTAGTAAATGTGACAGATTGAACTGTTGAATGTGAGTTGAAAGCTTTATGGATGCTTGATTCATCTGCCCATGGAGGTACATTGAGGAGATACATTGTTCTACCATGTGGTTTGTCTTCGGATTGGTTTCTAGTGGAATGTTCTTTCATGAACATTGTTTTTGGATTTGTATCAACAGAGAATTGGATGTAAATTGCTAAGATTACAATGTTTTAGTGTTGGTTATTAGATTAAAGATAAATATGATGTCATACGTTTAAATCCTTGAAGGGCTTTGTCCATTTTGTGGTTGGGCTTCTGTTTTTTAAGATGATACTTGTTGAAAGTTGTTTTTAAACTAACTAAACAAGCAGAGATGCAACGTGAGTGTTATTTATGGTTATGTCGGCTGAGTACATGTGCTGCGTATGTGTATGCGGTTTATGCCACGAATATTCAAATCAGTGGAATAAACAAATACAAAATGCGAAAGAAAATTTATTTACAACTTTTTATAAAAAGTTAATTGTTTTTATACAATTTGTACACATTTTATTCCCTCTCTTATCCTTTCACCACCAAAAATTGTAGTTGACAAGTGTCAAGACAAAATGGCGGCTAAAGTTTTACTGTAGTACCGAGTTTTCAATTGTTTTCATTTAAAAAACAAAAGAAAATCACTTTTTGGGCGTTTTCTTTGGCGATTTTGATCGTTTCCGACTCGCATCGCGTTTATTAACTGTTTTCTTCTTCTTATCTGATTTTCTTGGCGAACGTGATCGACCCTTCTTCTTCTTGGACTTTTTCTTTGACTTATCTGTACCTAAATCAATCGAAATCACCTTGGACGCTGGTTCTGCTGGTTCCAGTTCAATTCTTGTAAAGCAATCATACAATAATTGCGTACAAGCCGTACCTGCACAAAATGGCCGCCATTTAAAAGAAAATAAGTAATAATAAAATATAATTAATAATTACCGGTGCAAAAATCATCCATACACTCAACACAATTCAATGGCCGATACTCCAATGATCCAGATTTACTTTTCACGCGTTTTAATTGTGGATCACGCATTAAATTGCGTTTATCCAACGCCTGGGTCTTTAATTCCGCCTTTTTCAACTCCACAATCCTAAAAATGAACAATTTTAATATCATAACCACAAAATAAACATTTTTCTGTTATTTTAGGTTATATTACAATACCTGGAATAGAAATCTTCATCCATTTTATTCTTTGGGCGTATACTCGTGAGCATTTTCCAATCAATAGGCACCTTCGCCAAATCCTCCAACTTCAACCCTTTCATTTCCTCGGGAGTAGGATCTTTGAACGTGAACTGTTCTTTTAATAGCTTAAAATCTTTCTTGGAAGTCTTAAACTTCATCTTTTTAACATTATCTCGAACTTTCGCATCTTCCGGACGCACTTTCTCAGCTTTCATTTTAAAATCCGGCACTCTATCGAAAATCTGTCTAAATTCTTCCTTGGTATTGACGGTCACCTTGCTGAAATCCAACACAGGACCAGAATCACGCTTCTTCGCCAGAAAATCGTCCATTTTACTATAAAAACAATCAGGTTTTGAGGTTAGGATTATATCATTGTGAGTGTAGCGCCCATAGTTTATTTCTGAGTAAAAATTAGCTTAAAATATCAATTAAGGATTGCGACTGGGTGAGTACAACACACTCCGCTCCTCCCAGTTGTCCTTCAACATTAAATCATTGTGAATTGAGGTTAGTTTATCAAGAACACCATCTTCGGTGTTGTTATTGTTACACACAGGCAGTTTCTCTCTGTATTCCCTTGGCGTTTCGATTTTCATAATGTCCACACGATCCGAGTTATTTCTCTGTGATGTATGTGCATCTTTGGTTGCATAACACCGGCAACTACAACACTGATGCTGCGCATGTTGAGTTTTCGCACGGAAATATATATGATCCTTGTCGCTGTCCAATGGGATAATTTCAGTCTGATAAACTTTTATATTCTCCGCATAGAGGGCGTCGTCCTTCTTCCAAAATCCTCGCTTTTTCCGGTATGTTCTAGGACTTCCGGTTTGACTATCATCACTTGAATATCGTTTATCATCGTAAGTTTTCGTTTGGCGTAACTTCTGTCGCATTTTTCTGCGTTGATAAAGCGGATCCTTTTCACTTTGTTTCAGATATCTTGTTGGTGGCCTATTTACACCCCATTTTGGTCTTTCTTGAGCCTCCATTAACTCTCCATGCCGCATTTCTGATCTGGACCTTCGTTCTTTTCTACTTCGAGATGTTTCATAACATATTTCAATATTAGCGAGTTTTTCACATAATTCTTTACGATAATCAGGAAAATCTGTTTGTGTAGCACTGTCACAAGTCATTTTCTTGTTTCTGTATTGTGTAGGTGTTAATAAACGGTTTTCAGTTCGTGTTGTAGATGAATTCATCGCTTGTGTTTGCGCTGAACTTGATGATAAAGATAAAGATGAGAAAGGTACAACCGAGTTTAAAGTTGGTATCAAAACAAACTGTACGTTTTGCATTTGTAATGATTCCGCTAGCGGATTTTGTAATAACACAGCAAGATTCTCAGAGGTTATATTATTAGGAAAAGTGTGGTTAGGAATGGTAATAGATGGCGCTGTAGAAGTATCACTGTCACTTGACGCGTTTTTCTCTCTATCGAGAATAACAATCTGTTTATCTTCATCGTTTGTTTTTACTAGTTCAACATTAGGTTGTGTTTTGTCTCCGCCATTTTGTTTTTCAATGTTTAAAGCGTTTAAAGTCTCAGTTTTTTCTTGAAGTTGCTGCTGGCGTTCGTTATTTTGATTTTTTCTTGTTTTGGAATCCTTGTCAAGTTTTTCTACATTATCAACGTAATTTAATTGATTCTGACGCATGAGGCGTTGTTTAGCTTTCTCTTCTTTAGCTTCTTTTTCAGCTATTTCTATAGCTTCACGAAGGGCTTCCTTGCGTTTACGTTCGCGTTCCTCTTTCTCTTGCCTCTGACGTTCGTATTCTTGCTGACGTTGATGTTCGATTTCCTGTTCACGTGCGATACGCCTTTCTTCTTCGTATTCCTCCTGTTGAAGACGCGCGCGTTCTTCTTGACGACGTTTTTCGCGTTCTTCAAGTTGTTCACGAATAGCTTCCTGGTGTGCCAACGCCACCTGTCGGCGTCTTTCACGTTCAGCTAGCTCCGCAGTGTCTATGGGGACATTTTGACCACGAATGTAACATCTGCAACCCAACATACACATAAATTCATTAAAATAATTAAAAGTTAAAAATATTACCGATTTGTATTGGAACTCGAACTAGTCCCTGGTCTATCCCCATAATCCTGCTCAGGTGACTCAGCTGGTGATGAATTATTGACAACAACAAGCTCCGTATCGCGTTCTAGACCTCTCTTGACCCATCCTGGTGCGCCTGGTGTGTCCGCCATTGCTTCTTTCGCTGGCGGTTCCCAATAGCGTCCCAGATGCACCCCGCGGTCACCCCATTTGAGTCTATCTTCTCTACCGCTTGATGAGGATTCGTATCCGTTGTTGGCGTGATTAGTGGCGATGAGCACCTGTCGATTGTTGGGAAAGTGCTGGTGCTGGCGAAGAATTTCGCCGCCAGCGCGCGGCAAATGCTCCGGAGTGTGGTGCGCGTTGTCGCTGCCATAGCCTGACGTCTCGCCGCCCATCTCCTTATCAGATTTCTCGTCTGGCGTGTAAGTAAAGTGCTGGTTTTTATACAGCGGCGGCAGTTGCTGCGGGCCCCCGCCGTTGATGGAGGCGGCGCTGTGCTGGCGGCGTCGTGGTGTGCCGGGTACGGTGGTGCTCGAGGACGTGGAGTAGGACGAATCACGTCGAATATATTCGGTCTCTTTTTGGTATTTGGTAACATAACGGGTTCTGGAACAAAATTACATCTAAAGTTAGTTAAAGCTTTAATAACTCAAGAACGGCTGCACAGATTTTGATGATTTTTTATTTGTTTTATTCGTCTTGGTTCCAAATAACATAATAATTATTAAAACATTTAAAATTTTGACTACAAATGTGTTAAACAAAGGATAAAAGTTTGTATTGCAAATCAATTATGATTATAGTTATATAATTGACTCCCAGATGGCGCTCAAGTGGTAATTTTATACTGAAAACCTACGTGGACGAAGTCAAAGTTAATAAATTTATGTTTGCCCTTGAAAAAATAAACAGTTGGCGTCAATCGTCGCCATGATGTAATTAATACGTGAATTATTCATCCACATGTCGGCCATTTGCTTTTATTGTTTTATTCATAGCGTGTTGGGGTGGTAATTGTCTATTAGTTGGCATTTGGATCTCAAGAGGCATTGAACCCTCATGAAACGAGCAATTCCCTTGAATTATTGCGGGCGTTGACCAATAACAAAAAGGTTAATCAATATTTACACCTGCATAACATTGAATTCACCGAATAAATTTCCTATTATCAAATGGAATTAATTTTTGGTAAATTTTACGCAATATATTGCACAATCAATGAAATGTATGCAACTTTATATTCAAATTTAAAACCAAGCAACTGCAGATCATAAATATTCAATTAGATGATGCAGAACGATCGATTCAAACAGAAACAATCACTCAATCAATAAATAACACGTCAATCAAACAATTGTTTCATATAATTCAATGTTGTAATTGCATTGAGGTTACTCATCAATTTGATTGACAGATACAAAACATATTTCTTTTAATTTAGTTATTTTTGTTTGGTTTTACTCATTTATTTTTGTTTTCATGTATGTTATTGTTAAAATAAGTGACATTTGACAGTGAACTTTTAACTTGAAACGAGTTTTCACGATATAAATAGATAATGTTTGCTTTATACTCTTTTGTGTCCTGTCAAATTGATTTTTCTGCGTGTTTCAACACTAATGTGTTGGTTTTTCATTGTATTCTGATGTGACTGACCTACAGGTAGTACAAATTTTCACGGCATTTCCTCGTTTTGGTATTTTGGGGCTAGTTTAACAACTAATACAAATTAAGTAGTAAATCTGACCTTAATTGACTACATTTTTAGGCTAATTTGGTGTGAAAAATAGTATTTAGGTTAAAAATAGCATAAAGTGTGGATAAATAAGGTTAATTGGACATATTTCTATTGTTATGGCATAATATTGCTCAATTAGTTGCATATAGTAAAATAATTTAAGGTAAAAACTTGATTTTAGTCATAAATTATCATAAATAGTAAATAAATAAGGTTAAAGTACTAAAATTTTACATATTTCTCTGGTAATGACATAATTTTGTTCAATTGGTTGCATATAATAAAAGAATTTAGTGTAAAAGATAAAATTTAACATTAAATTATGATAAAAAGAAAATAAAGGGCTTTTCAACGAAAATTTCACGTATTTCTGTATTAATATTGCATGTTGTATACTTGGTTGCATATAATAAAAGAAAAACTTACTTTATATTGGGTCTATCATAGAGCTGAAGGGAATCGCGAGTTCCCCACGGTACATTTTCGCTGAGTCCTGCCAACTCTTCTGCAAACGACATCATACTATCCATTAATCATTTATTTTTGCGCTGATAAACTTGCGCACACATACACACTCGACAATAATTGATTGGATTATTTATTTATCGATAATATTACCCCGTTCGCGCGCCCACTGCTGCTTTTTCCGCTCGATGAGACTCTGCGTGTGTTGATGGGCTGGCAGATTTAGATGAGCATCATAATAAATTGTAGACATTTATGTATCAACTTTTGTTAATTTTTTTCAACTTTGCACACCACTCGCAGTCGCGCTATTTGTACAACATTTACAAACACACCAAAAACCAAAGAAACAACTACAACAAATCAAAACCAAATCGCATTCAAAACTTATGGGCGCTACGTTTTGTTGTTAGATTTAAAATTATATCATACAAAATATTTGTTTATATTTTTTTACCTAAATAAACTTGTCACTTGTTTTATTTATGTCTGTTTGTCGCGTCGTTGACTTGTGAGTTTGTGCTTCGCGTTTGTTTCTTTTTTTAGTTGCTGCCACGTTGAAGGGCTTCACTCGAATGGCGCGCAGCGTGATGGTTTGACCCAGACGCCGCCGCCACCGCCACCACCATCGTCATCGTCGCGCGATTTGCGGTCGCAGCGGCGGACGTCCGAATCCGATGGAAATAATTATGCACGCGCGTGCTGTTTGATCAATCGTGGTTGCCATGGCGATGGGAATACAAACAACCAATGGGGTTAACGGCCCAGATTACAATTTTACTTGCTGACAACCAGACAATCTTACTTTGTGTAATTTCCAATTATTGAAGAATAATTTTTATCTTTTAAGTATAAATTTTAATATATTACTTCATAAATTGTTGTGTTTTGTTGTTTATTTAAAAGTTTATAAATGTTGAACATTGCAGGTGGATGTTTTATTATTCTAGACTTGTTTTTTTGTTCATTTCGATCGTGAGCGGTGAATTCGCCGCATTCTTAGTTAATTTTGCATGATTCACGTGCAGAACAAAGAATATGACGTGAATGTGTGTGTTTCCTGAGTGATTCTTTACTATTGTATTAAGGGAAAGTCATTTACATATTCGATTTAGTAATTAAACAAGAAAATGCTTAAAATTTATGATTTTAGAATAATGGTGACATTTTTATGTAGGCAACTTATGCACCACCAAAAATTTTGGTTTTTAAGTAAAGTTTACTTAAATTTTTTGGTTTTTCTGATTTAGGAAACAAATTTAAGTAATTTTAACTGATATATGTTAATATGTGTTTAAAATAAAGCAGGTGCATATACTGATATCCTTCTCTGACCTACTTTGGAAACAATTTTCCCGTCTTGGGAATGGCACCTGCTTGTTTGCCGCATTCACCCTCTTCCATACTGTACCAGCGCTACTAACACACATTATTTCAATACGCCTACTACATTTTACCCTCCTTAGGGTAGGTAAACTACTGCTTATTAAATCGATGTGCTCCATTTTATTTCCGTGGATAGATTAGCCGTAATTACAAAATTCCACAGAAACTTTGACTCGGGGAATAAATTTGATGTAGGCAACACAAATACCAAACTAATTAATTCTAGCTGACAGGGTAGGTTAAATATAAAAACAAATTTTAACATTATTATAATTAAGATAATATATAATCAAATTATTTATATCAAGCAGATTCCAGTGAAACAATAAAAAAGCAAACCCGCTAGAAACAAATATTTGTCTTAACTGCAACCGTAGGAAAACACGTTTTTCTGCATAAAAACGCAATCGAGGAATCGAACACCATTGCAACTGTACAGGAATCATCCATTCATCGTGCGTGCGTGACGAGGAACTCTTCCAACACGATTTACTCGTCGTGCTATCGCACAACAGCCAATTTCTGATAGTTATCGATAAACACGTTCGACGCCAATAAAACAATCGCCTATTAATATCAATATCAAGGTGTGTATTTATCATCTCTTGAATTCATGCCGCTGCTCATGTTTATGTCCATGCGTTTATCTCATCTCGTGAGTCGACCATGAAACCGTTAGACGGCGACGCAACAAACACCGCACGTTTAAACAACTCATCAATATTAATACAAAACGTATCGATTTCAACTGCATCTAAAATACAAAACACCCTGTATAATAATAGGTGATAGAATCAGATCAGAAAGTTTACGTATAATAAAAATAATTTGTTTATGTTGTTGCTAAGCAACCCAATTCACAAGCAATTTTATTTTTGCTTAAACGAAATGAAAGTTGCCTAATTTTCAACATTAGCGAATTTGAAAAAAAATGAGGAACTAATCACAACGTAACGATTCGTAACGAATCAAGTTTTGCGTAACCGTATTACATTTTAATTACACCGCGCGCGGAAAAAGAGGGTTAGGTTAACGCATGTGTGCGCAGAAGTTGATTAGAAAGTGCGAAAACGGCCCCGATGACTATACTCTCATCAATTTTCAATTCCTGCACGCGTCTGTGCTAGTAGGCTACCAGTCTATTGTTTGTTTGGCGGCCATCTTGGCGGAAAATGATGCTAGACTGATTTTTATTGCGCATTTTTCCACTTTCGGTAGTTTTTTTTTTCTGTTGTACTGTGGTATGATGACGAATTGGTGGTGGGATAAGGTCTTATAGAGAAGGAAATCGACGTGCGATAACTTTCTTTCGCTGCCGACAGTTGAGTCTCGTCTCGAGTCGTCTTCCATTCGCGTCATGCGTTTCTATTAGTTCCAGTTCTTCTGAGCCGGGTGCGCGCGCGCGTGCCGTGTGTGTGTGTGTGCTACAATTTCGTATCGAGGCGTCCGCGTTACTTTTACGCGCATTCCGATACGTGTGTTTGCTTACTTAAGTATCTATAGATACGGAAGACAATACAGATTACTTTGGATTTAATTTTAAGAGTTTAATAGTCCAGTAGATTAGTGAAGATGTTGGTGAAGACGTTGTGGTTGTTGTTTCTTGCTCGTATCGGTGGTGAGACGCGGTATCTTTTACCGGAAGTACCGGAAGTCATGCATCCGCCGATTCCTGACGTTAGTAAGTTAATTAATATATTTTTTTGCTATAAAAAACGCAAAAATTGCAAAAATAATTTTTTCTTGAAATTTTTGTTTTGCAAATAAAAAATTGTTTTAAACAAATATATTGTTACTTTTGGTGTAAAATAGAAAATAAAAGTTGTTTACATGCTATTAGCACCATTTTGCACTAAGTTTCTACTTCATTATTCATTCCAGTGCGGAATTACAACGACACCGACGATTTCTTCGAAAATGTCGACCCGGAAGTCACACCTGGACTTTTCCAGGGCGATATGGCAATGACCAATGAAGTTTACAACTACTGGCGAGTCGGTCTTAAGTGGGACGTATTCCCTGACAAATTATGGAAGAATGGAATCGTTCCCTATGCTATCAGTCCACTTTACGGTAAATTTAATCAAAATTTAACAAAAAAATATCAAAATTTTAATTAATTTTTAATTTTTTACAGATCCTATTGATCATGTGACGATTTACAAAGCAATACGGACTTTAAATTTCATGACCTGTGTGAAATTCATCCCGTGGAATGGCAAAGCAAAAGATTATTTGTTAATTTGGCCAATTCAACATCCGAAAGGTTGTTGGTCGTTTGTGGGACGTTACGGTGGGACGCAAGTTGTGTCGCTGCAACCTCCGGATGAAAATGGTCCCAATTGTTTGGGCACTGAGGGACGGGCTATACATGAACTAATGCATGCGTTGGGTGTGTTTCATGAGCAATCACGATGGGATCGAGATAAATTCGTCAAGATTCATTACGACAATATTATTCCAAGTAAGTTTTAATTTAAAAAAATTAAATTTTTTAAATTTTTAAATAATTTTATCAATGGTAGATGAATAATTTGTTTTTAAACGTGCTAAATGATAAATGTATCCGATGAATATTCATAACAAGTAGATTTTCGCATTTCTTTGCATCGTTAAAAAGTTAAAAACTTTTACGACTGCAGTGACGCGATTTTTCTACCTTTATGAGCGGCCGCGTCGCGTTATAGTTTGGGAGTGTACGAACGGTGGGTAATTAAGTTTTTTGGGTGTCACGTCGCATAATTAACAAATGTGTGCAAATTTTGACCTCGTTTATATTACGGCTTTCTTCTTGTAGTGCCAAACCTTTGTCTTGAAATTCCCCTGCGCGTCGATATTATCATGTGCTGACAAATCGTTTTGCCAAAATATCCCGTATTATAATGTCAACATTCGTGATACATTGGTATTGAGGTTTTTGGTGCAGGCATTTTAAGGGCAGAGTGCAGATGCTTATCGAAACGGAAATATAATACTTTGCGGTGCTTTTAGCGCTTGGTTGCGAAAATCGTTTTGTTGGATCGAAATTAGAATAAATTAAAAGTAGAGAATTGTGTTGCATTAATATAGGCAACCTTGAATACTGAAATATTATTCACTAGCGAATAAAAAAGCAAAAATGATGGTTAAAACAATAATTATTGCTAATTCAAATGCAATATTTGCTAGATTATTTAGTTATCTGCCCATAAATATGATTTATAAGTTAATGTTATTGTAAATTGATTGGAAAAAGGTCAAAGAAGTTATTTATAAATGTATTCCACCCAAAAATCAGGAAATATTGATGTCAAGGGCAAAATCCACCCTTAAAATATCGAAAACAATCAAAACTAAAATAAACACTATGATTTGAACCTGATTTACGATTGTTTGTCATCAAAAGTGACATCAATCAATCGATATACATTTATTTCGGTAATTTTGACTTTATTTGGGTCACTGGTACAAACCACCCTTAAAGTATGCTACGAAAATATTGAAATTATAGGTAAATTGTCAAATATTGGATAAAATTATAGATTATTATGACTACTAGACTGTTTATAATGGCGTAAATATCAGAATATGCAAGATAATTTTAAATTACTGCTTCCAATATTATGGAATATTAATTATCCTGTGTTATTTCAGGATACAAATCAAACTTTGATAAACAAAGCCTCGAAAACACCACCTATAGCTTTGAATACGACTACAATTCAATCATGCACTACGGCCGTTATTACTTCAGCAAAAACCGTGGCAAACCAACGATAACGTCCAAAATGCCGCACGTGACCAAGCTGGGCCAACGCAAAGCAATGTCAAAAGGTGACTGCCTCAAACTCAACGATCTCTACGGCTGCCTCGACAACCCTAAGCTAAAGAAGAAGTACTACAACATTTGTAATTTCATGGGTGTATAATATAAACATTTAAAACAGATTAATTGCCTCGCACGTCAACTGCGCCATCTTGCATTGCAGGTATTAGATACTTAGTTATTTTTTGTTACATCGGCATATCCAGTTCGGAAATGCACGCTCCCAGTACATCACTCACAGGATCAAATTCCGCCTCGAAGACATTGCGAGGAATAAAATCAGTTGCCACTGGCCATGCGAAATCCATGTAAGTGAAAAGGGACGGTACAGAACCATAGCACTTCCGGTACTCATTCATGTCCAGCGTGTGCGGCGTCTCGACGAGAAATTCTATCAATTGTAATTCTGGAATGACGTTTTGGTGGCGCGACGAGGCCAAAGACATGCGATAATTAGTCATCATTTTATTGTCGCTAATTAGCGGATAAGCAAGTGCAGTTGCTTCTTCATCGGTGTAATAAGATGTACGCTGTAAAAAGGGGAAAGCAAACCAAATAGTCAAATATTGGGATTTTACGCGGATAAGCATCTATCTAATCTTTTGCTGTGCTGGTTATAAACCCAATTATTGTTGTAAAAATGCCGGTAAATATTTCCTCAAGTCTAAATATGAATTCCGCTGTGCTCAGTTGTATTCACTTGTGTTATGTTTAAATGATTTTCTAGTAACGCAACGTGCACCCCAAAAAATTAGCAGAAAAATCGTGCTTAAGTTATAGAAATTTGCATTGCAATTTGTAGGGATGTTGGGATCATAATTACAATAATATTTCAAATGTTACCATCGATGTCAGGTCTTTGAAAAAAATATTCTAGCTCATAGTTGCTAGAAATGAAAATATTTTTCGTTGTTAAATAGAGAATCTATAAAATTAACTACAAAGCTTCAGTTTTTACCAATTAAAATTAAAAATTTAATAGCATACCCTTTGGTGACTGGAGAAACTTGGCAGTTCTCCCGTTTGAGAGGAGTCTTCATCAGTAACTTTCAGATTGAAAGCAAGTTTGTACAACTTTTTAATACACATAATTATATTATTCTTTGCTTCCGCAATATCAACGTCAGATTTGATTCTTCTAAGGAGTTTTGGAGGTCGTGCGAATAACTCGGTCCATGACGACAAAAACCTCTAAAATAATTACAATTAACACTAGAAATTTAACTAAACCATACATACCTGGTTAATATTGTGATAAGCCACAAGAACTTTAACAGTTTCTAGGCGATCTTTTGTTTCTTTGGTTGAAAACAAAAGATCCAAATGTTTTTTAATACTATCTTCAGATCCCTTCACAAATCAAAACAAAATGGCGTATAATTCAAACATATACCTATTTATACTTACATCTAAAACGTGTATAAAATGGCGGGTGTAATGTAAAAGGAAACCGGTGAGGAATTCTTCACAATACATCGCATTGACCTGTTCGATGTTAGCCCGGAAGTGTTTACCAATATTATCAGCGTCAGTCTCCGAAAATGTATGTGTTCCGACGTAGATTATGCGATGCACGTAAATATTCTACAAAGTGTTTCTAATATAGCTTCATATTGCAAGTTATTTACAGTTTACTCACCCTTTGGAGTAGTTGCATGTTTTCTAGCAAAATATCGTATACAGAGCGAAGCGTTGGTTCGACACAAACGAATTCAGCTTTTTGCTGGCGTTTCTTCTTCTTCATGCCATATTTTTTATTTGTAAACATTGTTTATGCGTTTTATTCTTTGCAGCGGTTTAAAATTATAATAAAATTGCAGGAACAGGAATTGGCAGCAATTTAATGGTGCTAGAAAATGAAATATATTTAGGTCATTACCATGGAAACTAAACAGTTCAAAATCAATTTCGAAATTCCGTTTCCGGTAATAAATTATATCTGCAATTACAGTGACACAAATTTAAAATTAGCATGTCAAATGATTTAAATAGGTAAAAATATGAAAAATTAAAATTTGAACTTAAAATTAGAGATTTGAAATCTATTATTTTATTAATATTTATGTCAGCACGACAGAATGGACGCTCTCAATGCATACCACGTTGAAATGGACGTGCCACTTGCGTATCATGGCAAAATGAACGTCATCGATGCAGGCAACGGCGAAACCATCAATCTTGCTGCATGATAGTGCAAAACACATATTTTTCAAAGTGCAATTGAGGGATCAAAGCTAAAACTTTCTCAGCTATTTAATAAGCTATCTAAAAGCAAAATGTAAAAACCAACTTTTACTTTTAGAAAACCTCCGGTTTATTTTTTTAATTCATCAACATCGATGAGACAAACAGAATAGTATGCACATTTGTTATGAACATAATGCAGTATACAGTTTGTGAGAAACAAATAAAATAGAACTTCTTCCTTGCATTCGTCGTGCCACCTTACTCCGTAAAAAAAATCTATTCTAATCACAGGAAAAATCATCTTGCAATTTAAACATCGTCTGCACTTGGTCTGTTTTAATTTCTCGCTTGATTGCGGAGGAGCATTCCAAATCGCTCAAAGCCCAACGAAAATCACAATCATACTTTTAGTCAGAGATTAACCTATGTAAATTGTACTATAAGTTTCTTTGTGTTAGTTTCACCTTCATTTATAAACGCTTCGATTATATTGTGACGAATAATGAACATGGAACAACGTCAAATTCGATCTGTGCAAGAATTCGTCCAAATGTGGAAACAAACTTATCGCGCATCATCCCTAAGTTAATAAATAATATGCTCTAGGTTTAAATTCATATTAGTTATGTTACGCAAGTGAACGCACTGCTTTTTAATAATAAATTAAATTGGAATCTAAGAGTGTCGTGTGTGTTGGAGAACAAATATTCGTCCATTAACGAAGATTCAGATCCACAACTGTCGGCGGAATGCTTTTGCAGGGGGTTGGGAGTAAATACTGCGTCAGACCATTCTTCAACACCGAATTACATTGAGAAGTTTCTGAAGTTATGGAGCTTCAAAGTCCGATATTGTTCTTGATAGGTATGTTGTAAGTTTCGATGGATCTTCAATAAGCTGCAAACACAACAAAACAACTTAATTAGTATCATCCAATGTAAATAAAATCAAAGTGTGAATTATTGAAGAAATCAGCATTCTTCTTAGAGGTAATTGTGGTGTGGTATAATGAGCATCACAACGTATTCAGATCCAGGCTCATCATTTGAAATATTTGAATAAATATTTCGATAATAGTAAAACTTACATGAACCGTTGCTGTAGCCGTTTGATTTGCCACCGCCGCCACCACCTCCAAATCTCTGGTGTGTGCGTGGGCCGCTGTTCTCCCGGCCGCGGAAACCGCCGCCGTAACCCCAACGGCCACCGCCGGTTTTGCTGAAACCACCGCCTCTACTAGCCATCTCTGATAGTTTTGGGTTCACAACCTAAACACACAAATAAAAATAAACATCTCAATAAACCCACAACAAAATAATTACATTAAACAAAATAAATTTGTTGGGAAACTTGAGGATGGGATTCAGACTCTGTCCGTGTGAACACCGAAGGCATATTTCCCAATTTGTTTGCTCTACCTCGCACAAGCATTAATGCATCGCCGATGAAACGCAGCGAAGGCATACCAAATACGAGGCCATCAACTCAGTTGATGTTATATAGTACAAAATCGCAATAATAAAATTTTAAACTAACCTGGTTAGCTTCTTTCAACACTGAGACCAAATCCTTCGCCTGTCTGAAGTTGCCAGGCGTGAAAAAGGCGTATGATGTGCCTGTCGAATCGGATCTTCCGGTACGACCAATACGATGAATATAGTCCTCTGACGAGTTGGGGTAGTCAAAGTTAATGACATACTTAATACCCTCCACATCTATTAGAAAAAACATGTTATAGACAACGAACAATCATTGGCATAAATCAAGTAGTCATCCACTTAATTATTTAAGAGTCTCTAATGCTTGTCACTTAAAACTTCATCGCCTTTAATCAATAGGTACGTGTAAAATATTCAGATTGAACGTGATTTGGTTAAAATTTGGAATATGAAGCACAAATTATAGATTGGTTAAGATTTGAGTGAATCATGAATGAATATGAATCACTATGGCAAAAGCTGTTATGATAAATGATTATAAAAATTTCCACAAAGTTGGCATTCATGTAAAACTTGATTAAGATAAATATAAATAAAAATGCTAAGATACTAACCAGTGCGCTCGAGAACACATTAAGAATCCACAAGACGCTAGGCTATGTATGTACCGCGTATTATCGGGTATGGTAGCAATTATAACACTCTGTTGCTGCAGCAGATTCCAATTCGATGATTGGTCTTAATCCACTGCAGGACCGAGCACGGAACGACGAACAATACTTTTGCATGGCACACGCGTTGGAATGACATATTTTTGCACATCTCCCACGTAGTTTTTGTAGTTTTATTTTAAAGGGTAAGGGTAAAATACAAGGAAGTGAGGTGAAAATAGAGTCAGAGAGAAGTGTAGGAGGGTGAGACATGAGTGAAATTGGGATTTGAAGCAAACATGTGCCATCCGCTTTGCCCCGCCGTCGAGTGCGTACGTATCATCGTCTCTTCCCGCAATCGGTCTTCGTCAACTACCTCGGCAGGCTCTGGTGGGCTCGCGCCCACGCCGGTGCCGGTAGCCAGAGGCACCGCAAGACACAGAATTGCGCCCCCACCCACCACGTCTACACATATATGCAAATCTCAAGCGCGCGCGGCGCTTTTCCGATCTGCAGATAAGCATGGTACACATGTATGTAAGTCAAGGGTGCGCAAAAAAGGCGTATTTAATTCATTAGCCACGATTTTTCATCAAATGAGAGCTAACGTGTTTAGTACGCTCATCCTGCATGTGCCTCTGAAACAAAAAAAGGACAACCAGACTGATAAATAAAAGTCGCATCAGATCGCCATACACGGCGTTGTAGCACAAGAGTTATTTGCAGTTAGAGAAACTATAGACTACGTCAAAATGCAGAAATGCGCGCAAATGCACAAAGCCGAGGACATTTTCATCACATTTTCAACATTTACAGTCGCAGCCTCCTCCACACTCACCGCCAACGCAAGGCATTCAAGAGAAATGAATTCAAAGCGTTGAACAATCAATATATACGTGTATCGAACAAAAACATTTCTGAAAACCAGTCTGGAACATCCCCAAAATTTGTGAAATTGCTTATCTTATGCTAGAGATTATACCATACCCAAATATGTTATAGACCTAGTTACGCGGTCGACATTAAGTGACAAAACGTTGCAGTGGTTATTAATTGGCGTGGATGATACGTTCTCACAACGTAAAGAAGATATTGTGCAAACACTCACCGAGACCGCGTGCCGCAACGTCTGTTGCAACAAGGATTGAAGACTTGCCGTTGCGGAACTCCCGCAAGACGTAGTCGCGCTCCTGTTGGCTCTTGTCACCGTGCATGCACACAGCCGGCCAGCCAAAGCGGCGAATGTTGCGTGTGATTGTTTCTACCTTCTTTTTTGTTTCGACAAAGATAATGGTTTTTGCGCCTGGTTCACCATTGTTGCCAATTTCTTGCAGAAGATTATTTAATCTGAGAATAAAAATATTACAAATTAAACATTGCCAAACATGTAATTTAAATTGTAATTTTAAAGAATAAAATCAGTTCTTCTTAGAGGATAAATGTGGTGTGTATAAAATCACAGCAATTCAGATGAAGTTCTCATCATAAAAATAAATTTCAACAAAAAAAAAACTAGAAAGTTGTACATACTTTGTTTCTTTTTCGTGTTCCTGACATACATCAACGATTTGCAAGATGTTGTGATTAGCGGAGAGTTGCAGCGAGCCAATGTTGATCTGAACGTAGTCTTTGAGGAAGTCTGAGGCCAGTTTTCGTACCTCTTTGGGCCATGTGGCACTCCACATAAGTGTTTGTCTGTCTGGGCGAATCTGTTCAATGATCTTTCTGATCTGAGGCTCGAAGCCCATGTCCAACATACGATCAGCTTCATCCAAGACCAGGTATGTACAACGTTGTAAATTGGTGGTACCCTTTTCGAGGAAATCGATCAATCTACCGGGTGTAGCGATGACAATCTCCACACCACGTTCCAGGTCTCTCGCCTGGGGCCCTTTGGGGGCTCCACCGAAAATGCAAGTGTTGCGCACATAGGAGTTAGCGCCAAAGTCATTGGCAACTTGTTGGATTTGTTGCGCAAGCTCACGTGTAGGTGCCAGCACAAGAGCAATGGGGCCCTCGTTGCGCGAGATCGGCTGCTGGTTGTTAATATGTACGATAGCGGGCAGAATATAAGCGAGTGTTTTTCCTGAGCCGGTTTGCGCAATGCCCACCAGATCGTTGCCGCTCATGGCAATAGGCCAGCCCTGTGCCTGAATGGCAGTCGGCTGGTCGTAGCCCTGTTTGCGAATGTTGCTCATAACGTAATCGGGGAAGTTGGCTTCCTCGAAATGCTGGATTGGGTGTGGTACATTACCGCCATCGACAGTTACTTGTTTGCTACGACGATACTGGTCTACTTCGTATGCGGAGCGGCTGTCTACGTTCGGGTGGGGCACGTAGAAGTCTTTCTTAAACGGGCGTAAGGTAGCTGTTTCCCAGTTGGGTTTGCGCAGACGACCACCAGGTGGACCGCTGCTTTGGCTGCCGAAGCGGCCACCCCCTCCGCCGCCACCGCTGCCAAAACGCGAGCGGCCACCAAAACCACCGGAGGAGCCATTGCTGCTACCGTTGCGGTAGCCGCCACCTGGTCCTCCGCTCGATCCACCACGACCTCTGAAGGAACTACTTCCGCCATTGCTGCTTCTTCCGAAAGACCTAAATAAAGAACGGCGAAAATTCAATACAACGGCCATGAACAATGATCATGAGGCGTATTAATAGCCAGCCGACAGGCACGTGTGTAATTCCGTGACGCATGCGACGCGGCCTTGAACGAAAGCGCTGATATTAAAATCGATAACGCCGCGGAATGTTTCAACGCGAGAGATTTCATCAGCTTTCTGACGCTACAGAAAGCAATTCACCAATCGCGTGATCATCAAAATGAAACAAACCATGCTAGAGCAGCAAAAACCGACGTAATTATTTCCTGGAACGGTAAACGACCTGCTTCTAGGCCACACAGCCGTGCTTGAAACGTACAGCACAAAATGGCGGCGCGCTTTCACGAAATCAATACATTAAAACTCAATTATTCATCGGAAAATTGCTTCCACATAAAAATACTACCACACGCGGATTAAGAATTACAATAGAGATGTACTCACATGTTTGCGTAGTTTGGATGCGCTCTGCCACGAAAGATTCCGGTCGATTCGTACCTTGGGAAGGTATCACTTCTGACGTTATTGATGGCGTTGAAGATGTTCTGTAAAGCACCAAATCGTACGTTAGTACCGTGCGTTCTCACCAAACGACAGGCCACCGAAACGATGGCACTCATTGTGAATGTGCGTTTAGAACTGAATACAAGCGAAAGATAAATTTACTACACCAAAAAAATGAAAAGTGCAATTAACAGTTAAGGAAAATGGTGTAGCGGAGAGAAATTAGGACACAACGTACCTCTTCGACGGCCGGTGGAGAAGAGATCAGCACGGAATGGCTTGTTGGGGTTTGTAGCAGTGCGCAGTGTCGCTCCGAACCGGTTTCGTGCATGTTCGGCGTGTTCATTCTGAGCGTGCGCAGTCGGAAACTTTTTTATGAAAGTGACACGAAATGTGATGCTACAAAATTCAAAGCGAAACAAGACATCGACATTTGAAACAATCAATTAAATAATGTTTTGTTTATTAAAGCAACAAGATAACTAGATTTAGAGATTGTTATAGTGTAAATCTATGTTTTTTTGAGATTTTCGTGCTGGTTTCGATCGTGTGTGTTCGTATTTTATCGGAAAATGTCAAAAATGGTCGAAAATTTGACACAAAACAAAGAATTTCGATGTAAAATCATTAAAAACTAGCAAAATATTAACTATTTGATCAATTTACACTTAAATAATAAAGATTTTAAATGATTTTCACATGTTTTAGCGTAAATAGCAGCAATAATTTATTTCTATATGATTTAAACTTCATAATTGACAAACTTGTAGTAAAATTCCTTTAGAACATAAATATAGTCAACATTATTTGTTTAATCATGCATATATAGTATAAGTATAGAAAATACATTGTGGAACACTTGAACTTTGGTAATAAATTGCAAATATTTGGAAAACTAACTGTAAATCGTTGCATTTAACCAATCCTCCAACGAAAACTTGGCAGTGCCTGTTTTTTCTTCATCTCTCGCCTCAAACGTCTGAATCATGTGATTTAACTTCACAATACACATGATAAAATGATCCAGCGCCAGATTCCCGTCGGTACCATAGCGAATCATTAGCAAATTCAATGTATGGCAATTAACGGAATATCCAGCGGATGATAAAGCTTCACGCAGTTCATATCCGCTGAGATTATTCGACTTATCGCGGTCGTGCTCGTTGAAAATGCTAATCCAGTGAATCATGTCATTCCACAACAGCTTGAATTCACTTATTCCCATTCTACCGGAGAAGTCATCATCGTACATGGCTACCATACTGCGGCAGACATCATCGCCAAAGCCTAAATTCACATGCGAGGCTAAAAACAATCAAAATTAGTAAATTTTCTAATCAAAATTAATATTACATACCATTTTTGTGAATTTTCCACGTTTTTCACGAGAAAACAAACAAACAAACAACATGTTAGCATAAAAACATAACAAAAGCAATACAAGTTGCCTATATACTACAACTACTACTACGCCATCATGTTTTAGTCTTCATCCTCATCCATTTTGTTTTTGTTTCTTTATATTTCTTACCGTCTTGTGGTTGACGTTGCATAAGTGGTACTTCTTCCTGTCTTGGTGCAAATTCTTCCGCTAGAGGTGTATCTTTACAGACTTTCATACAGATTAATTCCATGACCATCTTCACGAGATTTCCAGCTAAGTCTTCCGGAAGTTGACTTTGTGGTATTGATGTATTCATGGTTGCATCATTTTGTGGAACTGTTGTTTGTGCGAATCCATTTTCGCAGTCTTAAGAGACAAATACGAAAGCAACAAGCAATACAATACAGTACATTACATTACAATACAATACAAAACAGTACTTTCTTATAACAGTTTGAATTTTTATTAACAAACCTTTTTTCAATGCGACTTTTAAGAGTTTTTGTAAATGCCTCCAGTTGATTTCCTCAGCGGAGCCTGCCAAATTGTGAAAAGCATCCTCCATGCGAAAACGTGACCATAGTTCATTACCAGTTGGTTCATTCACCTAATAAATATAAATTAATAATATTTTATATTAAATTTAACAATAAAAAGCACAAAAATCTTACATATCTTGAAGCAGTAACTTTTTTCTAATGCGTGCAATGTAGACAACCCAACATGCAGGTGAAAGAAAGTGACAACACATAAACATTCACAAATCATAAAATTAACAAACAAAAAACGCCAAACAAATGTAAAGCAAACTAGTATTAAACATATTACACTCACCACTTGATGTTTTCTCATTTCAACTGGCGAATCATTTTCTCTGAAACACAAACATTGATTTAATTCAATTTTAAAACCATTCCGCCATCTTGTTTGTTGCATATTATAAATTTGGGGACCTAATTCTACCTTTTACTCTATGAATTACACTGTTATCATAATAAATGTTGCATTCATGTTGCTTCGTAAATTTTCGAGTTTTATTTTCGAACATTTCAGAGACATAAAAATATATTCCAACTCTTAAATCTTAAAAGAGTGTTCATTTTTAATTTCTGCCATCACCGACTAGATTAAATCGTAATTTTTGAAAAGAAAGCAACGTTTTGAAAAACTGTTTTAGTTGTGCAACATTAGTCTTATTGAGTTAGAGCAACATTAACCTAATAAACTATTCGAGAATAAGCAAAAATAAATAACACTTCCAACAACTACACAACAACAGCAACAATACAGAGGTTAGATGAGGTTAGAATATCAAATTCGAGAATTCAAATAGAATTAATAAGGTGGATATCCTGGATATCCAGAATTCGGTGGTGGATAACCAGGATACGGAGGTTGCGGTGGATAACCCGGATATGGCTGTTGTTGCGGATATCCAGGATAACCACCACCCTGAGGTGGATAAGGTGGTTGTTGTGGGTAAGGCATATTGGGTTGCTGAGGATACGGAGGCGCTTGTGTCGGATAACCGGGGGCGCCACCTTGCGGATAAGCCGGATAAGGCGCAGAATGTTGCTGCCCGGCTTGTCCTTGCTGTGATTGCGCCCCTTGCCCACCACCGGGTTGTTGGAAGTTGAAACTAAAGCGTGAGTTGAGCATATCGTTGAGAAACCCGCCCAGACCACCCAACCCACCACCAGCACCCCCGCCGCCGCCACCTCCGCCCAGAAAATCATTAAAACCACCAAAACCGGAGTTAATTGAACGCGGATTACGCGGTGGTGGTGTTGGTGGACGATATGAGGGCGGAGACGGCGGACGGTATCTAGGCGCATCGTCGACACTGTTGCCGCCGCCGATAGCATTACTGCCGTACTCCATATTGTTCTGATGCTCGGAGAAGACACGCAGGAGGAACTCGCCCTCCTCATCCGGGTCAAACGTCGACGGTACAATACAATACGTTCCTGGATGTAACCGGAAGCGGCAGGTGACTTCGCGGAGGTTAATGTAGGACGGACAACGCGCCACAATGGCGTTGTGTTTGAAAAAGTTGCGATCCAGCGGCTTAGGCGCTGAGTTTGGATCACGAATCTAAAAAATGTGTATGTTTGGTTGCCTATACTACATACAACCTATAAAATTATATAACTTACATAATACAAAACAAAACCAACAGATAACTCCTCCAGACCCATTCGGCGTTTCGACCGGCGATTTTTCTGCATCAACGCGACAATAACCGTACATTTTCCATCATTTTCCTCATCGTCAGTTTCTGTCAACGTAATACGATATTGTGGATTAGATGCGAATGTATCAATGAAATTCCTGCATCCACCAGCGGTCACGCCCCGAACCCACGCCCCTTCATAATAAGACACCTCCCACTTCTTCGCCGTACTGCTTTGATCCAACGAATCAGGATTCAAATTACACAACTCAATGCGATCGAACTTATTCACGAAATCCTTATAAGACATCCAAAACTCTCCGTCTGGAACCGTGCAAATTGGGGCTTTTCCAAGTTGACCTTTTCTTCTTCTGGACAAAACGCCATTCTGGCGATGAATCACTCCATGCGCCGTTCCATTCGGTATCATCACCCCATGGATTGCGCAGACGCAATAGCGGAATTTTTCCGGAGGTGTAAGGTGTGTGAATGTCGACAAATTTGACTTTTGTGATGGAGTAGGCGTGGCCTTTGACGAGACCACACCTGTACGCGCCTCTAGTTCTTGTGGGTCGGGCTACAAACCAAAAATCAATGAAATTAATTAATTAATTAAGCGCGTGTGAGTGAGCGATATAAAAATGATAAAGTATGAATAAATGTCACGCCTTGAAAAATGTTACAAAGTAATTTAATTAACCTCAACAGCATGCAACACAAAATGTTTTTATTTTGAGTTTAATTTAACATTTAAAACTTACTTCAATTGAACATCCCATTAAGGATCCACGCTCGAATGCTTTCAACATGATTTTGTACAAATCTGCGGGGGCGGCGTTTAATTCATACATTTCTGTCACGCCCCCTGTGAAATCCTCCATTGCTTCACATGTGGATCCGCCTTTCAACGCTTCATAAGAACCGTGTAACCTAAAATTTATAAAAATAAATAAAATTTTAAATAAAAAGATGAGAAATTGTTTGTTTTACTTACTTAGCATATGCTTTCTCAAGTAAAGCACTCCAGAACTCATTCTCTGTTGATGAACGTAAAAAGAGGAGCTGTCCGTGTCGTGTGGGAAGACGATCGTCGATGACAATGTCAATCCAGCGGCCATATTGCCAGAAACGGAAGTGAAAGATGCCAGCGTATTTGTCGTAAAAAGCTTGGTCATCAGGTACCACTTGGAAGAAGAGGCGGTGGTACATTGTTAAATTAGCGACGGCAGCAAGGAGCCAACAATCTCCTAATTCTCCTTGTTGGACATCGAAACGAGAGAAGCCTTCGACGAATAGTTGGGGATCACTTGTGATTTGCTACAAAATAAATAATAATACATTAAATTTGTGTAATTTTATAAATATACAGTGTGATTCTGTTTGAAACGACTAGGCGTCAACTTTATTTGTTAATAACTTTTGATGTAACAAAGTATTTTGCAAGATATTTGCATATTCGATGTTGAATTTAACGCAGATTTCAATTTTTCAAAGAATTTCAAAATTCATACAATGAGTAATTTTCGATTATTCCCCGTCTGCTCTTTGTGCGATGCTTCGTAACTACTCAGCATTATTGTATGTGTGTGTGTATACGTGTGGGTTGAGATTGACCGGTTGATGTTTTTGTTTGGAAGGAAAGTCGCTTTCTCTGTCTGTCTCTTTTGTATGCTTAAATCATTGAAACTACGCAGCAGTTTTTGATGCATTTTTACTTCCGTGCGAAGCCGGGGCGGGTCGCTAGTATTATATATAAATGCGAAAGTCCTGATGTTTTGTTACTTTCACGCAAAACTACTTAACCGATCATCATGAAATTTGTACACATATTCTTAGTGGTCCCCGAATGGTTATAGGCTACTTTTTGTTAATAAAAAATATTTTAAAATAAAATAAAGAAATAGTTTAGCCAATAATACCTCTGCATCTGTCTATTTGACTACTTTAGCATATCTAGCATTCCTAACAATGAAGCTCAAACCTAAGTACTGAGTACCATCACACTGTATTATCACACTGTATTACCAAACAGCTACGTCAACATCAATCAATTGACTACACTATGGAATATTGCACTATACTTCATGGGCTATACTTTCGACCATTTTAAACTTCCCGCCATTCTACTTCATTGTTACTTCTTCTGTGACTTCAGACGCGTACGGGCTCAACTTTATTACTTTAGATATTCGCGAGCGAAGCCGTGGGTTAAACGTACTAGTTAATTTATAATTTACTCACCGTAGGCCTCAACCATTCCACACGATAATTAGGCCTGTGACTGAAATACAACGACTGATCCTCGCATGGAAACTGTGGATCCTCGAAAAGCGTCCCATTTGCAAGATGTTGATCTCTAAGCTGGTAGAAGTCTTGCACGCCGCCATCATGTCTTATACCAGATCCACGTTCACCAAACTTAAATCAAACAATAAATAAATAAATAAACAATTTAAAATTAAAATAAAATTAAAACAATTTAAATAAAATAATTACGAGTATTATAAAACAATAAACAAACCATAAAAATTTTCTCCGGATCAATCTTCAAGCACATTTTCAAAATGTGCATTTATTAAACTCTCAGTACTACCCTTAAAACTCCTCTTTTCCAAACCTGCTCTCTATAAACTCAGCATAATTGCGTATGATAGGCCTCGACACTGGCACCGACAATTTATCCTGTACATCGCCTCCGACATTAACACCGCTCTGCTCTGATTGCGGTACAAACGTACGATGCTCATACTCCGGCTGATATTTTATAGCATTAACCGTCACAAGCGATTTTTTCACAAACGCAACTTCCTCTACTGGCTTGATTTCCGGTTGGTTATTATCACAACCGTCAGCACTCATGATAGCCACTTATTTGTTGCTTGCGAATTGTTTTCAAACGCTGACCTACACCTACTCTACGACTACACGCGAACTAAAAACTAGGGCTTATCAAATGCGGCGAGGAAGAAGGCGACCACGCGACGCGACGACCGCGCACCGACTGATTTACACAGCGGATGAAAAGGACGTTAAATAGCAATGGCAGCAGGGCGAGATTATCATACTGCGCAGAAATACGGACAGGATCAACAAGTGTGCGCGTAGAGACAAATTTTTAATTAAAATTTATGTATAAGTACCCCTAATATATTTTCTCTTGATCTCGAGTATTTACAGGAATTAAATCAACTGAAATACTTGGAATCACTTAGAGTCAGAACTAATATTAGAATATCCATATGTTTGGTTGCTTATCAATATGCGCCGGGATTAATATTTGTGTAAAAAGAATAATATTTTATTGAAAATGCGCGTTTCTTCATCTTATGAAGATGCCCTCACAGGCGGCATATCCAAACTCAACAAAACCATTAAATCAAAAAAATCGTTGTAATTTTAATCAATACGTATTTTATACTTATAAAAAATAACATGGATTACGTATTCACCAAAGAAAGTAATAAATTAATAAGGAATATTTTCAATTTTGTAAGTATGCTAAATAAAAACATGCAAAGATAATTGATTAATTGCAGGTTAATTCTTAAATTGGTAAATGAGTCAATCTTACAATGTTAATTGCCAGTGTCGAAGTATTTATTTGATATTTTCGGATTTGATGAATGTTTAGCATAATAGAAAACATTATTTCTGAAACTACCCAAGTTGAACCTTTTTGTTGGTCTTTAAAGTTTAAAGTGACTGCTGTGTCGCAGATTTGGGAAGTTTTCACAATTACGACATTTGTTTTTAACTCATCTGTTTATCGATATTGCTATTGAGATATCGGTATACCGGTATATATCACAAACAATATCATATTGAAAAATATCGGTATTTAAAAGGAAAAATACCGGTATATCGGTATTAATACCGGTATTTTTCACTCTTAATACCGGTATACGGGTATATATCGCAAATTATATCATAATGAGAACTTTTCATATTCGAAAAAAAAAATACCGGTATACCGGTATTGAAACCGACATACCGGTATTGAAACCGGTATTTCTCACCCTAGATGACAATTACAATGGTGTTAAAAAGTGAATTCCGGCATTTCTTTGCCAAAACTAAAACATAATTTTTAGCACCTATTCTGTCGCCATTTTGTTTTAAAATCTTTGATTATTTTGCTTACGCGATAAACCCGACCTGGATCAAACCCAAGTCTCTTATTAACCGACATGCGAACTCTTGTCCCGAACATATTCTCTCGCTCCTTCGTATTCACCCGGCGCTTGTCCACCAATTTCTTACTGTTTAAATCCGCATCCTTGAACTTCCACATACGTCCACTATTTGGATTAGTATCACGCACCAATTCGACACGCCTACCTAACAAATACAGCCAATAGTAAACAAATAATAAACATATAACGCCAATTTGCTGAAATATGCTTTACTTGTGCGCCTGCCCGAAGGTTCAGGAGGACGTGACTTATCCCTTTGTCGTTTTTCTCTTTCTCTGCTTCTTTCTTTTTCTCTAGCTCTGATTCTATCCCTATCTCTTTCTCTATCCCGACCACGATCTCTCCCGCCATCCCTATTTGGAAACCGATTCGCTTCATCTTTATGCACTTGTGTTTTATGCACAGTTTGTGATTCTTTCTCCATAACAGTATGCGATTTCTTATGTTGAACATGTTTACAATGTGAACACGGAAAATCATCATGATGGTGATCATGATGATGATGAGTTTGATGGTCATGATGAATATGAGTATGATCATGATGGTCACTTTTATGTTTCGATGGTTTTTCCAAAGCTACAGTTTCTTTCTTCTGTGTTTTCTGACTTAATATCCTTCGTACTCTTTCACCTATCAAATTCAAACGTTAAATATCAACTGTCAAAGTCATATTGATATTGAATACATGTCAAATCGCTGCCATCTTGCGAAAACCCCGCACAAATCGGTAAACGCCCAACACACTCCACTTCCGCTTGAAGCAACTGCGTTTCCTGCTGGTTTTCTTCAGCAACTACACCTATACTACGTCTATTTTTCAGCATTTCTTAATTTTTTTTTAAATTCACTGAGAATTTTGATAACTAACCTAAAAGTTTGATGAATGTGAATGTAAATGTAAAATGTCAGTTGACTACATTACCGACATCTACACATACGCATACATAGATGTATATTTGGTTGCATACATACAAATATACATAATATTAAATTACATAACGTGTTTTTTCTGCATCTTCATCACTTTAATTTCATAATAATTTAATTACCGCAATGTGCACGCGTAATTAATGTCACTGTGTGACATGGGGTGTGGATTACCTCATCAAACACGCATCAAGTTGATTAATCAACACAATAATAAAAACAAAACAAATAAGTGCAAATAAACACGTAAACATTGGAAAAAACTTACTCTGGGACCGCCAAAGCCCTAAACGAACAAAGAAAACACATAAAACATGCGTTTTAATCATATTAATGATAATACTAACAAGATATGTTTGTGTTTAAAGAATGTATGTTGTGTTATGTCAAGGTCAACATTGATAAGCAATGTATGAGCATGTTTGTTTATTTTAGAATAAAATTTAAATATAAACAAAGTATACTTACGAAACTTTCGGATTTCTCGACTTTTTGGACTTGGATCTCTTGCTCTTCGATTTCCTCATCGCCATCCTCGGGTGGCGGCGCATCTGGATCATCTACAGTTGCAGGATTGTATTTTTCCGGGTCCAACTGCCATCCATAACCATTTCCTACCCAACCATACCCATTTGTAGCACCGGGAGGTTCATCATAATTAATTTTAGGGAAAGCATTACGATATTGATCGTAATCCATCGACATCTTGGAAGATTACTGCAAGAAAAACAAAAAAAACATTAAAAAGAAAAGTTGTTTACAAAATGGCCGCCAAAAATGGCTGGCATTTGGTCAAAAAACATTTTATCATAACTCAACGCAAAATAACTCGATGAAAACGAAAGTTATGAAACAAAACAAAAAAATTCAGTCTTGTTAATTGTTTTATCGGCTTAATTAACAATTGTGTTAATTGTTCGTGACGTAAACTCATAAATACTTCTTTTTGCTTCCCAGAGAGAAGTTAAAACATAATTTATTTGTTTTTTTGCTGAGGAAAGAAGCGAAAAACTTGTTTTTTGCAGATTAACATTTAACATTTCAGTTGTGACATGATTCGCCAATTATGGAACTATAGCAAAGAAAATGTGTGTCAGAGGGGAAACTTTCGGCGGCGCCAACAAGTCACCGTAAATCGATCGCCGCTTTCGCTGCACGACCTTCACGAACATGAAATTGGAACAACCGTGCCCGTGTAACTTGTTGGCATGAAACTAAGAGCAAAGAAAACAAAATAACAAACATGGCGCAGAAAAAACAATTGATGTGCTGTCAGTGATGAAGATAATGAAGTCATGAGAATACAATTCAATACAAATTCAAGGTTAATCATAATCATGCTCATGATCAAATGATTCGTAATTTAAACTTCAAATTTAAACAAAAACTCACGTTTATTATATTTGTGCAGTAGTTATAAACAATAATCCGTGGACATATTCTTCTTATGTTGATTTATATGTGTATCACTATACCACCAGTGAAGTAAAAATAGTGAGGTTATGTTCACAATACAGTTTAGATACACTACACTTCCAAGATTGTCTTTTGTTTCTGCACAAATAACATGCGCACCCGGTGACTCGGGTACTGTCCTCTGTTGCACTGTGTTGTTTTCCTTACTGCGTCAGTAGTCAGCAGTATGAATCGCTGATCGCAAGCTGCAACAGTCGATGCGTCATGAAAAGAAATACACGGTTGTGTTATGTGTTAACCTCGATTCCCCTCCTTGCCAAAGGCGCGGATTCGACGAGTCGTGATTCAAGGTCGTCGTAGTCGCGTCGTAATAAACGCGGTTACCATGTGTTACCGGCAATGAACGAATTTAACTTGTTCTCGTTCACTCACTTGTTCCGCGCTCATCCAAATGCTAAGCACGCGACGAATTCAATTCTCTACAACTGTTTAAATGGTTCAAACCATGCACAACACTTAGGTACTTCTATTTCGATGTGTTTCATTTTTAGTTTCAAATACAAACAACTTTTGTTTTATTGATGTGTTTTTGGTTGCAGCCAAAATGGCTGAGCGACGCCAACGCCATCATTATCGAAATACATAAATAGAATAATTATAGATCAGATTAACGTTAATTCGATGATGTCATCAATGGAATCATTGAGAATAACTAATTATTATGATTATTTATGAATGAAGGATAGTGTTCAGTAGATTACTCAGTTATTTTCCACGAAATTCAGAAGTGAATATGTAAAAATAACTCGGAAGAATGTTCGCGATGGCGCTGTGGTGATGAAGTTGTGTTAGGCTTTTTTGTGCGTTTAAAATTAACATTTTAATGTTTCATCGCTGGTGAGTGAATAAAATTCTATTTTTAGATCGGGGCGTCGCGGATGAAATAAACATTTTGACAATAAATCAACTGCGCATGGGAAAATACAATTTTTGTGCGAAATTTAGACATTTTTTGCTTTATAACTTAATAGAAACACGAATAATTCGTAAATTTAGTGTTAAAAACAAGGAAAATATTAAAAACAGGTGTTGAAATGTCAAAAAACTGTCAAAAATACATCGAATCAGGTTTAACCTATAAAAATGTACAATAATAACCTAAAAACACATTTTAACCTAAAAAATCTGAAGAAATTAATAAAATTATTGAAAAAACATTACAAAATTACGAAAAATAGAGAAATTTAGTGTTCGGAACTCAAAAGTAATCAAAATGGCTGTTAAACTAAAATTATCAAAAGGTTTAACCTATTGTACAATAATAACCTCGCATTTTAACCTAAAAAAGGAAAAAACATTACAAAATCTCGAAAAATACAGAAATTTAGTGTTTGAAACTGAAAAGTATTCAAAATGGCTGTTGAAATGTCAAAAATCTGTCAAAACTATATTTAAGCATATGTAACCTATAAAAATAATCAATTATATCCTCCAAAGATAGGAAATATAACCGAAAGTGATTAAAATCATCAATAAACATGATTTTGCCACTTGAGACAGAATTAAAACAATATAAGTATTAAAATCAGCTGTTTAAATGTCAAAAAACATCTAAACAAATTTAACCTATAAATAACCTATAAAACCAAACGATTATAATCCAAAAAATAATATTTTAATCTAATTAATCACCACAAAATTAATAAAATCATAAAAAGCAAAATTTTATCACTCAAAACACATTTTTTCAACATCTATATAATATATTTATATTCATCTCATTTCTCATTTGTTTTGTAATCATAATCATTACTCTTCATGTATATAATATCGATAGGATACGAAAGAAATACATTTCTGCCGCATAATAGTGCATAATGTAAAAAAAATCGCCTACAACCGTATAATTATACCACTATTATGCAACACATACAGTGTGTCCACACAAACAAGCAAAAATACACCTTATATGACAACACATACGCCATCTGCATGTCAATACTTGAACTCGTACGCTATTGTCACGTTTACACAATCAAAACATACTAAAAACACAAAACTAAAAATAAAACTGCGTACAACAGCGCCATCTGTAAATGTTCCGAAAAAATATTCTAACAATATCATAACCTAAATCATTACGAGCGTATTTTCAACAATAAATATTACAATTGATAACAATTCATCATAATAATAATAATTCATCAATGTCCAGTCTTGTCGTCTTTCTTTTATACATTTTTGGTTATCGTTTAACTAAAAAGCTCCAAAATGTGTTTCATAACCTCTCCGCGCACACATCCGCCATCTTGTTATACACTATTATAGGTTATGTAGTAGTTTTATTTAAATATCATTATCTACCTGTCATTTGTCATCCATTGCCACACGTGTATACATTTTGGTTTTGGAGGTTAGGTTCACATCCGCCAAACACCAAACACAATATACACACTGCTTAACCTAGGGACTTATTGAGCTACGATACCAATGATACCAATATACGATACAATACAGTGTGATTCATTTATGTACAGGGTGTTTACGTGTGTTGTTTGTGTGTGAGTGTGTTGACTTAAGATTACTTAAAGCATTTGTTTATTCGTTTTCATCGTTTATCATCTAATGTCATCCTGTCTCGTGGTGATGTGAGGGGGAGAAAGATATCAAATGTCAAGGTCACAGAGGTCGACGTGATGAGTATGCGCATTGGTTGGGTTGTTTGTCTCATATGTGGGCGGAGCTTCGGGGAAGGAGCTTACACCTACACTTATAGTTTGTTTATGTGTACTTATGCTATGCATTTATAACCTAAAATTCGTGGAGGGATGTTTTAGGTTATTAACTGTGTGTGCGCGCGCGTGCAAAGGGTGCGAAGCTCATTCTAACCTCTAATAATCTACGTGTGTTGCTACGTAAGCCACAAATGTTAAAAATGTCAAAAATGTCAAAAACTTGAACTGTCAAATATCTAAACTCTTTCAAACAACTATAACCTGATTAATATATAGTTTTTTAAGTAAGTTTATATATCGTTATGTGTAAAAGATATTACAAATATGAGAAAAATATCAAACGCTAAACACAACAAGTTGCAATCATGCGCGTGTGTCAATTTAATTAGCTGCTAAGATAAGAGAGAGTTTTTTAGTTATGTATTTTGGGTTGCGGAGTTTCATTAGTTCGTTTTCTACGCTTTTTTCATGTGAAATCAAACATTTAAAGCTTAATTTATGGTAAATTACGTATGATAGCGTTAGATTAATTAATTATTTATAGTATTTGTGCACAACCATAATATACCACCACCCAACTGTGTGCGTTATTCTTTTTGTATGAGTACAACCTGTTGAAATCATATTTTGTATGAAAATTTAATGAAATACCGGTATTTTTGTATATCGGTATTTTTTTCATCGAAATATTGGTAAATATTGATATTATAAGTATTTTAAAACAAAAATACCGGTATACCGAAAACCGGTATTACCGGTATACCGGTATTTTTAGTTGTATAATACCGGTATTTCGGTATACTAATATTTTTTGCTTAAATATCAATAATACCGATATTTACAGAAATTCTATTTTTAAAAATACCGGTATACCGGTTTTATAATACCGGTATTTCGGTATACCGGTATATTTTTCATCAAAATATTGGTAAATATTGGTATTTTAAGCATTTAAAACTAAAAATACCGGTATACCGAAAACCGGTATTACCGGTATACCGGTATTTTAGTTGTATAATACCGGTATTTCGGTATACCGATTTTTTTTGGTTTTAAATACCAATATTACTGATTTTTACAGAAATTCAAATTTTAAAAATACCGATATACCGGTATTAATATCGGTTTTTCGTACCCCTAACATATGAATTGCAAAGAAAACCGTTTTGAATTGTTTAATTGCATATGTATTATAATTTTAAGCTTAATTATAGATTAACTTACTCTTTAACGCTTGCTTTTGAGCCCTACACGTCTAGAATGTCATTTGTTTTCATCAGTATTAATCTTAGTGGACAGGAATCACTACACCTTAGTTAAATTTATACCTTAGCCAAAAGGTTATGTTTGTTTTTTGTGTGCTACGTCATATTTTTTTTTCAGATTATTTTCAACGTTTTGTCATTTTTTAGTTTGCTTTTGGCTTTGTTGTATTCAAGACTTGTAAAAAAGAAAATCATCCACGCGATAGTACCGTGTACATTTGGTTGCATATATTACATGTACGGAATACTATCGCGTGAAATGTTTGTAGCCATTTTGTAACCACGTAATGATTGAAATGTGTTTAGGTTAACTCTATTTCGTTAATTCTTAATTCTTCATTTGTTTCTAATATCCAGTGCCGTATCTATCCTATGCATTTCATGCATTTTTTAATTTTAGCACCGATTTCTGGACACACACTGTATTTTTCATGTCTTGCAATAGCAATATTTGTCTATCTACATTGAATTATCTGGGGTTTTCTTCTTGCACTCGTCTCACTCATCGTAGGTATCCATTTTTTGTTTAAAAATTTAATTATCTTACCTTAACCTCTCTTCTGTTCACACATGTTTTTAACAATGTATCTCTGATGAGTACTTGTTTTGATTGGCGTAGGATCCGTTGGGGATGACGCCATTACTCGTTATCTCCGCTGCTCCTTTGATGGAATATTTAGATGGATTGTTGGATGGCACTGTGCCATTCATGGTCGGCGTGACAGGCATCGCTTGTTTCACCAGTGCGCCTCTGCGTCTTAACCGCAGCGCGCTGCGTTTCGAGGATTCCTAAGTGCTGTTGTTTTGTGCTGTTGTGTTGTTCGTGTTGTTTGTGCTGGTTTTCTCATTCGGCGTTGATTTTTGGAGAATCGGTGATGATATGGGTGAGGGTTTTGTATCAGAGAGTAATTTTTCAGCCTGGTAATACAGAAAATGCATGAAATTATAGAAAAACAAAATGGACGACTGTGTATAGTCAAATTTTGAGTTATATACCGGTATTTCGGTATACCGGTATTTGTTTTTTGTCAAAATATCGTTAATATCGGTGAATATTGAATAAAAAAATAAAAAATACCGGTATATTTATAATACCGGTTTTTCGGTATAATTGGTAATACTGTATTTGGTATCGGTATTTTTTTTGACAGAAATTATCGGTAAATACCGATAAAACATCTTGATCGTAATAAGTACTACCGGTATATTTATAATACCGGTTTTTCGATATACCGGTAATACCGGTATTTAAAAAATTATTTCTCAAAATATCGACTAATAGTAAATATTGGAAATAAAATTGAAAAATATCGCATTTTCAAAAAAATACCGGTATACCGGTATTAATACCGGTATTTTACACCCATTAATCAATACTTACAGAACCAGCTCCTTCTGTTTCTTCCCCTGTAGAATTTGTATTCCCTCTTGACCTGGCAACAATGGTTGCGTAGATTTTGACTGTGGTAAAACAAAAGATGTCTCCCAACTGTCATCCTGACTCCCCGGCAGGAGTTTATCAATAGATGATGAAGACCCAATCATCCGACAGGTATTCCCCATCAATAAATGATTAGGAATCAAATAATCCGTCGATTGCATCTAAACACAAATTAAACAATTCAAGGTTATTTCAAGGTTATCTTCATTTTTTACAAAACCTAACCTGTAAACACCCGTGATCCCCATTGGGTCTCATCACAGTCGCGTCGCGTTCATGTGATGGCGGCCGATTGAAAATCGGCAACGGCGCATTCATAACCTGTGGATCCTGTGAGCAATAACCCATCCGCTCCATAATCAACGCAAATGTGGGTCTCTGCTCCGGGGTGGGATGCCAACACTGCGTCATTATCCCATAAATAGGTCCTGGACAATTCGCGGGTGGTTCCAACCTTCCACCGCTGGTAACCAACTGCATAACCTCTCTATTCGCACACCCTGTATACGGCATGTAACCCATCGACATGATCTCCCATAATAAAACCCCATAACTCCACACATCGGTCTTACTAGTGAAGATCCCATCAAGGAAAGCCTCTGGTGGCATCCATTTGATGGGCAACATTGCTTTACCACCTTTACGGTAGTAATCCGACCGGTAGATGTCTCTGGACATCCCGAAATCAGCAATCTTCACAACCCTGCCGGGACCTTTCGTGGTCAGGAGACAATTTCGGGCTGCGATGTCCCTGTGGATGAACCGATTGTCCTCTAAATATTTACAACCCTTGGCGACGTCCACGGCGATGAGGACAAGGTCCTTCATTGTTAATGGGCTGGTGCGTTCGGGTTTGGGACGTGATTCACGGAGGAAGTTCTTCAGGTCACCTCCAGCGAGGAGTTCAAGGACTATGAACCTTGGATGTTTATCAAAACATACTCCTATGAAGTGGACGATGTTGGGGTGGTTGAATTTGGACATTATAAGGGCCTCCATGAGGAAATCCATCTCTGCTTGGTTTGTGGACATCTCCGGGAGGGTTTTCACTGCAACTGGCATTTCCACGGTGTCATTAGCACGTTGTCGGTAGAATCCTTGGTAGACTTCACCGAAAGCACCTTGACCCAAAGCCCTGGAAATATTTTTGAGGTTTAATAGTTTTTGTAGAATTAGGTTAGAGGGGAGTTGAGTTACTTGACAAGTCTAAGTTGATGTCGAGGTATGTCTTTTAAGTCTTTTAAAGTGTAAACCACGCCTCCGAATTCATAATTTGGGTTGTATTCGGTCATCATGCTGTCAGAGGCTAGTCTTAGGCGGTTTAACTGGAAAGCTGGGCCGGACATCATCTTCCTGCGGAGGGCTTCGTCTAAACTTTGTCTGTATCGGCCATCTGGAAACAAAAAATGCAAATTTTAAGCAATTTTAACTGATTTTTTGTTTAATACCGGTATTTTTGTATATTTCGGTATACCGGTATTTATAAAATTACAAAATCGATAATTATTGAAAGTACCGGTATGTTAAACGAAAAATGTTATGTAAAAATAAAAATACCGGTATTGCGTCAATACCGGTATTTCGGTATACCGGTATTTTCTTAATAAAAAATCAGTAATTATCCGAAACATCAATATTTGAATATAAAAATAAATTTTAATAAAAAAATATTTCGGTATACCGGTATTTTTACTAAACATATTGTCCAATACCGGTATTCCAAAAAACCGGTATTTCTAAGTTCATACCGTAATGAACCAAATTTTCAATATACCAATAATACCGATACTGAAAACCAAAAAATACCGGTATACCGATATAAAAACCGGTATTTTCAAATTCTAACCTATATTCAACAAAAATTATACTTACACATGACAAAACATAAACATCCCAGCAACGCAATACTCAAAAAGATGATCATGGCGATAACATACAACCACATCGGATAATTCTCATCAATATCAACCGCCAGACATGTCTTCCCATTAGGAGCAACCTTCCACCCTTGAGGACAGACACAAGACACTTGCGCCCTTCGTGGATCCAGTGCCACACAACGATAATCACAATCGCAACCTGGTACACCCGGTATAATCATGATTTGCCCAGGTCCCGCGTGATATCCTGACATTGCCTCCGAAAACACCGCCAGAGGGCGTTGGGAATCTATGTAAGAGTAACCTCCTCCGCCATTGGTGGTGTTTCTACCACCATTACCACCTGCATAACCACCTCCACCTCCTCCTGCAGTGCATCCACCTCCACCACCGCCGAAACCACCATCACCACGCCCGTTCTTTGAGTTGTAACACGCTTTACCCCCTCTACCACCTCCAAGCAGACCTTGACCCACGCGGGATTCAAATTCAGGGAGGATGCCTTCAGGGCGTCTCCAACCACCTCCAGCACCTGCCGGACTGCATAATATTTTTGGTATTAAAATAAAATTTTTAATATTTTGAGGTTATGTTTACTAACCTGCTTCCTGACATATCTCCGACAGTTGGCTCCCTCTGTAGGTTAATAGCTTGTCCGTGTTGTATAGCTGCGTCTAGATATTTACCAAAACCAAGACCCCCACCACCTCCAGCTACGGCGATTGGTAGATTCGTAGTGCCTTTATGCATGAATAGATAAGTTCCGCCGCCACCTCCACCGCCGCCATTTTTAATATCCATGTTGAGTATTCTACGTATGCCATCGCCTGTGTCTGTGGTGTTGTCTGGTTGGCAGGAGGAGACGGTTTGTTCGCCTAGTTTTCGCACGCATGCGCTGGTGCCTTCTTGGCCGATGAGCATGAATAACTCTGCACCTTTGCGTAATTCAAGGACAAGACGTGTCATGGCACCTCGAGAGGAACCAACGTCGGAAGAACCTTTACCGCCACTTGCTCCAAAGAGGATGAATCTAAATTTATAGAAAAAAATTGGTTTTAATCGAGTTTTTAGTAGAAAAGTTAATTTTGAGTTCAATACCGGTATTTGTTTAGTCTAAATATTTGTAATACCGGTTATACCGGTATTTGTTAAATATTTATTTGGGATATCGATATACCGGTATATATTGGAAGTGATATTATTGGGGAAAAATACCGGTTTTTTAAGAAAAATACCGGTATACCGGTATTAATACCGGTATTTGTCATCCTCAGTTGCCAAAATTGAAAAATATTAGAATTTGAAAGAAAATATCCATATATCAATATTAATACCGGTATTTTTTAAATCAAAAACCGGTATTTTTCAAAATATTGGTAATACGTACTATTATTTAAAAAAATACCGGTATACCGGTATTAATACCGGTATTTGACAACTTCGGTTGCCGAAATTGAAAAATATTAGAATTTAAAAGAAAATATCGGTATACCAACATTAATACCGGTATTTTTTCAACCAAAAACCGGTATTTTTCAAAATATCGATAATAAATAATATTATTTAAAAAATACCGGTATACCGGTGTTAATACCGGTATTTTTCACTCCTATCCATAAATTTACCTATTTTTTTCAACTTACGTATAAACACCGCTTTCTGGCACTGTCCACTTCTGCATCCCAACAAATCCAACCTCCTTTAACACTTCAACTTGTACATTGGTGCCATTATAAGCATCAGTACAATTTTGTTGTTCTGGACCATTACTCCCAGTTGCATTACAAGTTTTTATCTCGTAATCTACAAATAAAACACAAAATATAACATTTCATAACCTAAAAGTTTACATTTATCACTTACAAGTTTCATTCTCGAATGCTTTGTGTGGTTTGGCCCACAAATGATGATCAATAACCGGATTGTAATAGTTGTAGTCAACTAATTCAGACGCCGGAATATTCAGCCCAAAACATTCCGGACTTAGGGAGATATCATCCAGTGCTATGTCCATAACATAACGAATTCCTTTACGAAAATCAAAGTGCAAGTAATACCGATGAGTTATATTCGGTAAAATCACCACTTGACGACTCCATGGGTCAATAAATGATTGATAACTCCAGAGGAGATCCATGGTGACGTTTTCCTTCGGGCGTAATTCAGTCAATTGTACCATTATGCCATTTTTATGGAAACTTGTTTGATGCAGATAGAAACGTATCTAAAAAGTAAAAAAGTGTTTTTGTTAAAAAATGTTTAATAACTTTTATGATTATTGTTGGATTTTTATTATTTAAACGACAAATTATAAACAATTAAATTATCTATCGGAAAATATGTGATATTAATATTTTAAATTTGGTTTAATAGTGGAAAACTGCTTTCAAAATAAAATTGAAATTTTTTGAGTGAGTTTATGTTTTTTCTTACAAATTGTTTAATAACTTTTGTAAAAACATTCCGATTTTTATTATTTTAAATCCCTGCTATAGATAATTAAATTATCTATTCGAAAATACTTAAAGTTTCATTGCAATTTCCATCAAAAGTCGAAAAAACCCAAAATAAAGTCAAAAACACATTTTTTGTCTGTTTAAACACGTGTTATTCTAACTACTCACCATACAAGAATTATAAAATGGCGACGAAACATTCCCATGTACTTTCGGAGGCGGATTAAACACGATACTCTTCAACATGGCGGTACTGGCAAATTTCACCTCCGAGAACTTGGGCACAACGTGCAAATATTTCCCTAAAACACACGTAAAACATAAAACGCATTTAATTAATGTTTAATCAATGAACACTGAACATGTAAAGTTCACTGGTATGCAACCAACATTACACAAACTTACACCAACCTGGCCATAAATCAGAAAACAAACAGCGCTGGAATTTAATATCTCTGTGTTTGTGGAGTGGAATGTAATTTACCTGTGCTATTGCGATAGGTGTGATCGAAGTCAGGCCCTATGATACTCTGTGCCGTCGCCGCCTGTTGCATAACATTGCCGCCGTCGTGTCGCTTCCACTGAAACGCCGTATTTTCAGCGTTATACCATCCGCACCAATCCACTTCAAAATTACATCGAGCACCATATGGGACTTTATCTACATGAAAATAAATAGAAAAAATACATAGGTTATGTTTGATGTTTTGAGGTTATGTTTGTATTCTAACCGCAATTTTGTGCTTCATCATCGCCATTGGGACAATCCTGTGTGATATCGCACAACTGACTGTAGTTGATGCATTTGTTGGGCGTGGCTCCACTGCAGCGGAATTTATCCGGCGTGCATAAAGTTTTTCCGGTCAGTCCGTCCTCTTCGTAACAGCCGACCAATCGTATTTCATCGAATGCAACAATGGCGCCTTTGGCATGCGCAACTGGACCGTCTGTTTCGACTTCCAGGGAGATTTGGAATTCTTGTGTGATTCTTCCAAGAGTTTTCTCATATTTAGCCCATCTATGAATAATTATATCAGTTAATATTATATTATGAATCAAGTGCGCTAAGTGGCACTTTAACCACGTTTTTCTCAATTTTTTACTTCCACTTTATTTCTACGTTTAGTTTTTGCATTTGAACTTTTTATTTTGAAACTTCAAACTTTGTTAGCACACTAACGACGCATGACATCCCTACTAATGTTATAAATGCGAAAGTCCTGATGTTTGTTACACTTTCACGCAAAAACTACTTAACCGATCATCATGAAAATTTGTACACATATTCTTAGTGGTCCCCGAATGGTTATAGGCTACTTTTTATTTAATAAAAAAATTATTTTTTAAATGAAATAAAGAAATAGTTTAGCCAATAATACCTCTGCATCTGGCTATTTGACTACTTTAACGCCATCTAGCATTCCAGCAATGAAGCTCAAACCTAAGTACTATAGTACCAACACACTGTATTATCACACTGTATTACCGACAGCAACGTCAACATCAAATCTGCAACAATGGCGCCTTTGGCATGCGCAACTGGACCGTCTGTTTCGACTTCCAGGGAGATTTGGAATTCTTGTGTGATTCTTCCAAGAGTTTTCTCATATTTAGCCCATCTATGAATATTTATATTGATTAATATTGTATTAAGTAACAAGTGTGCTAAGTGGCACTTTAACCACGTTTTTCTAATTTTTTTTACTTCCACTTTATTTCTACGTTTAGTTTTTGCATTTGAACTTTTTATTTTGAAACTTCAAACTTTATTAGCACACTGACGACGCATGACATCCCTACTAATATTATAAATGCGAAAGTCCTGATGTTTGTTACACTTTCACGCAAAAACTACTTAACCGATCATCATGAAAATTTGTACACATATTCTTAGTTGTCCCCGAATGGTTATAGGCTACTTTTTATTTAATAAAAAAATTATTTTTAAATGAAATAAAGAAATAGTTTAGCCAATAGCCACCTCTGCATCTAGCTATTTGGCTACTTTAACGCCATCTAGCATTCAGCAGTAAATCAAACCCTAAATTACTATGAGTACCATCACACTGTATTATCACTGTAGCCACCGACAGCAACGTCAACATCAAATCAATTGGCTACACTATGGAGACTGTACACTATACTTCCATAGACTATACTTTCAGTCATTTTAAACTTCCCGCCATTCTACTTCATTGTTACTTCTTCTGTGTCTACAGACGCGTAAGGAAGCAACTTTATTATTTTATATATTCGCGAGCGAAGCCGCGGATTAAACCTAGTTTTATATAATCTTGTACTGCACCGTAGGCAACTGCGCATGCGCAAGCTCCACCCCGTAAAAAAAGTACTTTAATCACGGTTTTGGCCTTTTTTGACTAAATTACCAATTTTTATGTCTCAAAACCGTGGAAAAAGTTATATTTTAAAAGTGGAAGTAAAAAAATACATTTTTTTTTCTATAAAAATGAATAAAATTGTATAATAATAATATTTTACGTACTTTGAATAGTCATTCCGATGTAACTGCTCAATCAAAACCTGTGTGCGTGTGACATTGTGCTGAACTATTCTTATCACGCTGTTGTTCATTCTCTCGGTGTAAATAACAAACTGTAGCTTGCAGTGTTCGGTAGTGGTGGGTTTGAACATGGGGCTGGTGATGGTCCAATTCCATTTCGACGTGGATGAATCTTCAGGTGGGTTTAAACGAATCATCAAGAAATTTCCTAGAAATAAATTTATTTATGAATTTAAATTTTATTGTAAAGGTTGAGTGACGTTGAGCACGTGAGAATGGCGAGAATATAAATAAGTAAATATTTATAGATGTAGGTTCATTCATAATTCGCTTGCCAATGTTAAGAGCGTGTTTCTGCGTGTATTTTAAGATTTTTTTTATTTTTAAAGAAATGAGGCTTAAAAATCTGTGTTTTGGTTAATAAATATTGTTGACTACAAATTTATTGACGTAAATTTTGAAATTTCAAGAATTTTTTTCTTTAATACCGGTATTTTTGAATGAAAAATCGGTATACCGGTAATACCGGTATTTATAAAATAATTAAATAATTAAATTAGGAATATTTTTGCCTTTTGCTAAATAAAAACATGCAAAAGATAAATGACACTGTACTAATTTTAAATTGGTAAATGAGTCAATCTTACATTGTTAATTGCCAGTGTCGAAGTATTTATTTGATATTTTCGGATTTGATGAATGTTTAGCGTAATAGAAAACATTATTTCTGAAACTACCCAAGTTGAACCTTTTTGTTGGTCTTTAAAGTTTAAAGTGACTGCTGTGTCGCAGATTTGGGAAGTTTTCACAATTACGACATTTGTTTTTAACTCATCTGTTTATCGATATTGAAATTGAGATATCGGTATACCGGTATATATCACAAACAATATCATATTGAAATATATCGGTATTTGAAAGTAAAAATACCGGTATATCGGTATTAATACCGGTATTTTACATTTTCTGGGAAAAATAAAATATACACGATCAATGTAATATATATTGAAATAGCCAACTGTCAGTATGTCAGTATATGCTATATACTAGCGCCATCTACTTAAAAACGACAGAATTAGTTCTGAAAAATTCCGCATTTTATGTTTTTTGTAGTTTTAAGACCACAAAACACAACAAAAAACAATTTTTAAAGTATTTTTACTCTTGTCATTAACTAATCAACCACCCCCGATATTTTCCTTCATGATTTTTGCATGATTTGATTCGTTTTTGTTTGTTTCATTGACATTTCCCAAACTTTCTCGGTCTGTTTCGCCCGATGTCAATTATCATTTCATGATTCCACCTTCCCCGAGCGCTTTTTTATCTGGTCCACGTGTCCCTTCAACATGCCAATTTCTGGAAGCCGACAAAACGCTGTCGGTCGCCGCTGCCGCCGCTGCGTCGCTTCCGTTCTTCCGCGTTGCGTGGCGCGAGAGATGCTGCAAGTTGCCAGGACGACCGGCCGGGGGCCGTCCGCGGCAGCGATTGATCACGTAACAGACGTGCGTCACGCGCGCCACCACCGCGCTCGCGATAAGGATGCCATAAAGCGACGACACGCACCCAACCCCACTCCCACCCCCCACCTTACGCCACCCCCACAACGCGAGCAATCAACCTACGACGTACTCAACGCTCACCAGCGTCACCAGTGTATTAACATTTGTTATTTCAACGCAATAAAAGCCTGCTATGAGTATGCGTAGAGTACTACGTAGTGTAACCTAAGATACCTATAAAAATTAATGTATATTTGGTTGCCTATAGTTTTATGTATTCTCTTTCATTGTTTTTTTACGTTTTTTCAATTTATTTTTTAATTTCCGAGTGTGTAAGGTCCGAAAATAGCTCGTAATACAAGGTATCGACGACTATTGAATATATCGAATGATATTTGCACAGTTGTGCGCTCGCACTGGCCGCACACATTAGCGAAAAATAAACAAACGCGCCGCAAAAAAAGAAATGAAGGAGCGACGACACGCACCCCACCCCACTCCCCCCCCCCCACCTTGCGCCACCCCCACAACGCGAGCAATCAACCTACGACGTACTCAACGCTCACCAGCGTCACCAGTGTATTAACATTTGTTATTACAACGCAATAAAAACCTGCTATGAGTATGCGTAGAGTACTACGTAGTGTAACCTAGGATACCTATAAAAATTAATGTACATTTGGTTGCCTATAGTTTTATGTATTCTCTCATTGTGCGTTTTTTTTTGTTAATTTTTGTTGTTTTAAAGCGTTTTTCTTAATAAAATTACGTTTTTTGACTTTTGAATGTTAAAAGCCATAGTATGACGCCATGTTTGAACAAAAATACTACTTGCCGCCCCCAATTACACCCCCAAAACACGTTTTTAAACAATTTTAATATTTTTTTGGCGTTTTAAGTAAAAAAACTATGAAATTTAATGAATTACGTGATGGATGTATTCTCTCATTGTGTTTTTTATGTTTTTCACTTTATTTTTTAATTTCCGAGTGTGTAAGGTCCGAAAATAGCTTGGAATACAAGGTATCGACGACTATTGAATATATCGAATGATATTTGCACAGTTGTGCGCTCGCACTGGCCGCACATTAGCGAAAATAAACAAACGCGCCGCAAAAGAAATGAAGGAAATAATGCGACCGGTGCGGCTTGTCCAGCCACCATATTAGCAGAGATGTAGAGAGGTTTAAGCGTGGAAACAGCGCAAACCAGATGAAATTGCTGAAAATTGCGGCGGATATTACTGCTGCACGCGGTGCAATAGCACATGAGGACTTAATCATGCTAATTTTACTCGTACTTTGTTGCTGGGTTAAAATTAACCTCAAAATTGTTTTTTTGTTAATAACTAAGTAAAAAGTATTACAAATAATTTGGAAATTCTTTTACTAAATTTTAAGTTATATTAAAATATATGATTCCTGAAAATTTCAATGTGATTGGTTGATTAGTTTAGGAGATATTTGAGTTTAAATTTTTTTTCTTTTAACTTAACCTAAAAAATGTAAAAAATAGTGTATTTCTTCAAATCCCAACAAAAATCACTATTGTACACGGTATAATAGCATATTAAGATATAAGAATGCTAATTTAACATCTATTTTAGTACAAAAGCTAAAAATAACCTCAAAATTAGTTTTTCTTTAATAAATCAAAAACTATAAACTATATCCTAAAAATTCTTTTACTAAACCTTGACTAATATTAAAATTTATAATCCTTGAAAATTTCAATAAGATTGTTTAATTAGTTCACAAGATATTTGCATTTAAAGTTTATTTTTCCAACTTAACCTAAAAAAACAAAAATGCATCCATTTTATTATTAGTCGTACTGCGTAAAATTATCCCCCGCGTGTTCAATTTGCGGCAAAGCATGCGGCAAACGCAAATGTAATTATCGCGAGCGTGGAAATTCGATTTCCCCGATTTCCCGACCGCCGCCGCCTGCCGCGGGATATATTCCCCGATGCAATTTTCTCAATCACGACGTTCACAAATTGAAAACGTACACCATTACCCCCCCTCTCCCCTCGCCCGCCTCAAAACCCCAAAAACGCAAATCTAACCAAACTTCCCAACTACTTACCTTTATCATAATGCCTCGAATCATATTTCGGTCCAGCCGAATTATTCACCACATTCTTCCATCCATTCGTGATGAAGAATCCATTTTTGACATCCTGTTTCCATGCCCACGCACACGCCATCTCCGCATCGTCGAAATCACACGCGGTGCCATCTTGTGTGCGTGACCCACGACTCACTTTCGAGATGGCGTACATTTTTTCTTTGCCATCCATGCGTTTACCGGCATCGTCAGCGCTTTGTTTAATGGCTACATCGCCGAAGAATGTCGTGTTAGGTTCCATGCGTGGATGCGCCGCCATTATATCGCGTAGCGCTGCTTTTTTCTCGTCGTTGAGACGTTTGCGCAGCGCGCTGAAGTCTGTCTTGTCTGGTTTGCTTGATGCGCGTTTTGTGCGCCATTTTGATAGCGTTGGATCATCAGCGAACGCTAGGGATGCGTAGCAAACGCAGCACGCGAGTAAAATGCAGAGTACACGCATTATTTGCTGTTAGTTGTTGATATTTGACAGTTTAAGTGATGACATTCTGAAAATATAAAAATAGAAAAGATTTTAGGTTAGAATTTTGTATAATTTGTTAATTTTTGTTGTTTTAAAGCGTTTTTCTTAATAAAATTACGTTTTTTGACTTTGAAATGTTAAAAGCCATAGAATGACGCCATGTTTGTATAACATTACCATTTGCCGCCCCAAATTACACCCCCATAAGACAATTTAAAGTAATTTTAATGATTTTTTTGAGTTTTATGTTAAAAAACTAAGAAATTTAATAAATTACGTGATGAGTATGTAACACAAAATGATTCTAGGTTATATTTTAACATAACCTAATGTCTTCTGTCAATTTTGACAGTTTTAAAACAAGTTTTTTACTAAAAATACATTTTTGAGATGTTTTTTGACATTTGACATATGCGCATGTTACCTTTGGCCATCCCAGGTACACCCAGCATCCTGAATGCCAAAGGCCATGGGTTGCCGCCATGCTTGAACAAAAATACCGCATGCCGCCCCCAATCCACCCCCGAAAAACGCAATTTTAACAAATTTAATGATTTTCTTCGCGTTTAATCTCAAAACAACTAAAAATTTAACTAATTACGTGATGCTTACGTGATAACTTGATGTCCGTGTCCTTATCACTCGATAATATCCACAGAAAATAAATAATTATCAATTCACTGTAGAATTAGTAATGATTTTCACTTGTTTTCTTTAAAATTTTTAAGATTTTGAGCGTTTTTCTTCCAAAACTGTGGTTTTAATAGCGTTTTTTCACGTTTGTGTCCCGCCGTGGCCGAGATGGAACAGATGCACGCACGCTGCGCTCAAACGCCGCACTCGCACTCGCCAACCGCCGCCGATTTCGACGTCGGCGTCGACGTCGCGCCGATGTATAAATATCTCGGCGTCATCTCGGAGAGGAGCGCCGTCGTCGTCACCGTGAGCGTCGTGAGCCTGGACCGCGGGTGGCTGCGAAGCGGTTGCTTTACTCCCGGGGGCGGGCGGACGCTCAAGACAAGGAAGGCGAGATGGGAAAACGCGCGATATCGATTTCTGGCCTCGCCGCCGCTGCCACCGCCGAGAAACGATGATGTGCTGCTGCTGCGTCGCTCTCCCGCTCTGCCAGATGTGGCCTGCACCCACACACGATTGCCGCCAACCGCCTCCGATTGTGATAGCGCCGGTGTGAGCTGGCGCCATCTGACGGGATGCTGGGGATGTGATAAGTGTAATTTAATTTACGTCGATCTGTTGTTTTGGTCGGCTTTGCGTCTCAGACACACTGGTAAAACGTGCTAATAATGTAAGATTATACTTGATTACTCATATCCTGTTTCAATACAAGGAATTTAACGAATTCAATGTGCGTCTTTATTTTTGTTTTGTTTTTTTGTATTTGTAGTTGTAAAAAACTGAGCGGAAATAGCATTCTTTATAGAAAACTATTCAGTTTTGTATAGTATTTTAATTTACATCTTTGGTTTCATGTACTTTGATTGTTTAAAGTAGTTTTAAACAATAAAAACAAAATTTATTCTGTGAATTTGAATTTCTGGTGGCAAAAATTGGAACTAAACTTGTCAATATACAAATTCCTACAATTTTTTTAATTTAAAACTTAAAATAATTGATATAATGATAAATTACCTACGAATTTACGTAGTATATGTTTAATCTCTAGTATTTTACTTCAAGAAAATGTGTGTTTAGTTAAGATCTTTGAAGAATTTCACTTACTTTGAGCGCTTGTCAAATATAATGTACAGCGTGTCTGAACAATTCTCAACATTTTTATATTTAAATACTTATTTAAAGAACTAATACTTAAAATTATAACAAACGAAAGCAAATATTTACTTTTATTAGGTAAAATCTTTATGTTTCACTAATGAAACTTAACAATTTTGCTAGTTTTCTACTTAAATTTAATAAAATAAAATCAAACTGTATGCAATTCGCTAATATTTTGGTTTCGTATAACCATAACCTCTGTTTGTCAACGTATATTCAGTCATCACCACGATTTACACGAATCTCATCATTAAAAACCAAATTTATGCATTTTTCTCTCCGACCCCGATAATTCCGAGCGTGGAAATCCCTATCTAAACAAACAATATGATACACCCGCGATAGCAGAGCAATAAACGCCAATAACACGCCTAAATATGCATTTTTAACTCTAAAAGTTGATAAACTTTCCTACATAATATCAAACACAGCACAACAATTAACAATTCCATAGCAATGGCAGCACAGAAACATTCTTTTGGTCCTTTGATTGGATCTATTGACGAAGGAACTTCAAGCACACGCTTTTTAGTAAGTTATTTTATTAATAAAAATTAAATTAAAAACTAAAATCAATATATTTTAAAGGTATTTGCTGCGAAAACAGCAGAAGTATTGACATTTCATCAGCTATCTTTGAATCACATTACTCCACATGAAGGATGGGTGGAAATGGACCCCATGGAGATATTACATGCAGTTATTGAGACTATGAATGTCACCTGTGACAATTTGAAGAAACTTAATATCAGTCTTGAAGATATTGCAGCAATTGGGATCACCAATCAGAGGGAAACCACTGTATTATGGGATTCACAAACAGGGAAACCATTATATAATGCATTAGGTAAAATTAGGTTTTAACAATATACACAGTATAATTAATTATTATTTATAAATATGATTATTTAAAGTATGGTTGGATATGAGAACTGCCAGCACAGTTGACAAGATCTTAAACAATGGACGTCGTAACAAAAACTTCCTCAAAAGTGTCTGCGGCCTTCCCGTGAGCACATATTTCAGCGCGTTGAAGATTCGCTGGATGATGGACAATGTACAAGCTGTTAAAGATGCCATAAAAGAAAAGAGATGTTTATTTGGAACGATAGATACTTGGTTAATTTGGGTAGGGATTAAACACGAAAAAATACAAATTAAAAACATATAACATTTTTTACTTGTCTAGAACTTAACTGGAGGCATTAATGGTGGATATCACGTGACGGATGTGACTAATGCATCAAGAACAATGTTGATGAACATTAACACTCTGAAATGGGATCCACAGCTGTGTAAAATTTTCGATATTCCAATGCAAATACTGCCTGTTATTCGCAGCTCATCAGAAATTTACGGTTACTTAAGCGAGACGGTTATTAAAGGCATTCCTATATCTGGTGTATGTTTAATTGTATTTATTTATTGTAAAAATGTTAATTTTGTGTGTTTTTTTAGTGTTTGGGTGATCAACAAGCTGCCCTTGTTGGCCAAATGTGTTTTCAAGTCAGTCAGGCAAAGTGTACTTACGGAACTGGATGTTTTCTGCTTTATAATACTGGAAATGCTGTTAGTTTCATATTTTTATCTCAAATTTTAACTTTTTATTGATTTTTAACATATTTTTCTTTGTGTGTAGATTATTCAATCAAATCACGGTCTTCTCACAACAGTGGCCTATCAATTTGGCGCTAACAAACGCCCTGTATACGCCCTTGAAGGATCCATAGCTATTGCAGGCGTAGCAATGCGTTGGCTGCGCGATAATCTAGAAATAATCAAAAACATCGCTGATTCCGCTCAAATCGCACGCGATGCTGACTTGGTTGGTGAAGTTGTGTTCGTTCCTGCATTTTCTGGTTTATATGCGCCTTACTGGCGTAAAGATGCACGCAGGTTTGTTTAATTTCACATAAACATAACAATAAATACTAATAATCATATCTTACAGTGTAATTTGTGGGCTTACCGATGAAACAAAACCTGCTCACTTTATAAAAGCAGCAATAGAAGCAGTAGTCTTTCAAGTACGCGATATTTTGGAAGCCATGTCGTTGGACTGCGGTTATCCACTTACAAAACTCCTCGTAGATGGTGGAATGACTGCAAATGATCTCCTGATGCAGATTCAGGCTGATTATTGTGGTATTCCAGTTGGTAAATATAGAAAACATAATTTTTACGTTAAAATATACTAAAATAATGTTTTATTTATTAGTGAGGCCATACATGGCTGAAACCACTGCCTTGGGAGCTGCGATTGCTGCTGGTGGTGCATTGGGTGTTGAAGTATGGGATCTGGACAATGTACAATCAGTTCCAAGTGATACTTTTTCACCAACAATCACACAAGATCGTAAGTACATTGTTTTGAAGTGTTTTATATTGTTTTACCATGTTTCTTTGGAAAGAATTAGAAAATCAGTTACTATTATTGCTGCTAGTTAATTTATTTTAAATGTTGTGCTCGTACTATTCGGAAAAAAGCGTTTAAAAGGGAATATTATCCGAAAATTTGCAAAAAATGATGGATTTTGTTAGCATTCGCGTTATAGTTATATTATTCGACACTAGATGGCGCAACGATGCACTTTTGCCCATTAAATTCATCTTTATAGTGTGTGGGAGTTATGTGCTTGTTTCATTGCGTTTCTTGTTATGTGGAGAGGGATTCGCGTACGTGTGGCCTTCAACTTTAATATAACTCTATGGATCGTGTAGAGATGTCACCAGGATGCACTTTTCACATTAAACACCACGCGGTTTTCGGCCATGAACAAGTTTATTCGTGTCTGTAAATTTATCTCAACAAAATCCACGTTTTTACGACCTATAAAAAACATAAACAACAACGCAGCATAAATAAAAATAAATCTCAATATTACCATGAATATGAATATTTCACATCTAAAATCAATAAAAAATTAAAAATAAATAAAAATTATTAATAATTTAATTAATTACAGAACGTGACATAAAATACGACCGTTGGAAGTTAGCAATCGCTCGTTGCCTTGAATGGGTCGAAGAAAACGAAGAAGATGGCCTAGGTAAGCCCTCAACCACATCCCCAACACTTAAAAACTTTAAATTCAACACGGCTTTTCGAAATTTGTTCCGTACACTCTTAATTTCTTCTGTTTTTTATTATTTCCTCCTCTTGAAATCCTTTCCAATACTTTCACAAGCACTTGCTTAAATTACAACAATAGATACAAACACAGGTTACACACGTTGGTGTATGAGGTGGCACGATACTTAATGTTGATTACTTAGGAAGCCTCAACAAAAAGCTTGAGGAGGTTTCCAGGTGCCAGTGCCTGCCGAGACACACCGCCCCCCATCTAACCGTCTCATAAATTGCATCGTAGCGCATACTAGCAAGAAACAACAATCAAAGATCACAAAAACACCGACTACTGATTAATATCCATAGCTCATGCTTAATTTAGCTTCGGATTTTAGTTTACGCATGTTTTTCTTATTAATTAGTTTTCATGCTTTCGATTTTATACATGCTTACATGTATTACATCTATTTGATTGTATATCAAATAGATTTAATGCATAAATTGTGTTTCTGAGTGATTTTTGTGTGAAATATTAATCTCTGGCTGAGTTTTTCTAGATAATTGTGAAGAAAGCCGCCATATTGCACTGCCAGCATCGTTGTTCGTCCTTGGATCAATGGCCCTCGTCCTTATTGCAAGCTATGTGCTTAAACGAAGTACTTAACCTTATTTTAGCTCAAAACTCAAGTTTTCTCAAAAACTAACCTCACTTTATGCTGTTATACTGGGAAAGCAGTTGATTTGTTATTTATATTCATTCGTTGCATTTTTATTTCGGTTATTGTCACTTTTACAAGTGATTTTTATGAATTTATTTTGGTATTCAAGGATCAATGGTTCAAAAGGTTGTGGTATTCTGTGATTATTTTCGTTGTATTGCTTTCATGCGCTATAAAATGATGTAAAATGTAAGGATATTATGTGTGTGTGGATCATTTTTCATCTTTTCCACGTGGAAAAATCTTTATTTGACTTCTTCTCGTCACACATATCCTTATCGGCCTGGGAAAATTCTGTTTGTGACGAACGACACTCGAAGATTGATTGATTGTGCACGGCACTCATTTAGGGATTTAGTCGTGCGTCACTTGTCGCGAGAAATGGCGGCTAGAGGAAAGTATCAGGAAGCTGCCTGCGGGGCCACGTGGGGGGTTATGGTGGTGTTCTTATAGTTGAAGGTGTGCGGCTCCAAGTCGGTCATATTCGAAGAGGGATGATGGATGGCGCGGGTGTGCATGCAAAATTAACTGCCAATAAAGAATGGACGACGCGTCGCGTGTATAATGCGGCCGGGCGACAAGGAGGCTTGAAAGTGGAAAGTGGAAATTGCCGGGGGCGGTGATACATCAATGAAACATGAAACATAAGGGTTGATGGCGGCGTGACACTTAGGAAGAGAAAGGAGAAAATCTTCGGATAATGGAGTTTTTTAAAAGGGGAATTTTAAAGAAATTATTTTATCACGGTATAGTGAGGTCGTGTTACATCAAGGAACGAAACATAACCAAATATTAGTATTTTACGCAGATAGGCAACTGTTTATTCATTTGTAACTTGGTTATAAACCCAATTTATTTTGTAAAAATGCCGGTAAATATTTGCTGAAGTCTAAATATGAATTCCGCGTCGCTCAGTTGTATTCACTTGTGTTATGTTTAAATGGGGATTTTATAGCAACGCAACGTGCACCCAACAAATTCACTAGCTGAAAAAATCGCAAGCTTGCTATAGAAATTTGCATTGCAATTTGTAGGGATGTTGGAATCATAATTACAACAATATTTCAAATGTTACCATCGATGTCATAAGTTCTAAAAAAAATATTCTAGCTCATAATTGCTTGAATTGAAAAATATTTTCGTCGTTACACAGAGGAGCCGTAACGCTATGTACTGTAAGAACAGCACTGTGAAATATTTTTTTGGCTTTCTCGGACAGAATTGAGAGAAATTGAAAATTGTAAAGAAGATTCTAGTGGCAGACAGACAAAAAGTAATGCGAGCGGCGTGCACGGTCTGCTGAAGAAGTCATCCGACGGCGGCGGTGGCGGCTGGAAATCACTTTTTCCCGAAACACGAAGGGATGTTCGACGCTGGCCGATGTCACCCTCGTTAGCGCACTACTTTAGCCTTTAGCCGCTTTCAGTAAAAACTCGTCGCTTATCGTCTGCTGCTTCTTTTGCTCTCGTTTTATTCGATGACCATAAGAGGAAACAAAAAACTAAACAGTACCTTCAGTTAAACAGTTAATTATTACGTATTTCAAGAAAAAAATGCGTGAATTTTGAGTTCAAATCGATATTTTGGTATTTTTTGAATGAAAATATCGATATACCGGTAATATCGGTATTTAGAAACAAATTATATAAATTAATTTGGAATATTTTCAATTTTGTAAGTATGCTAAATAAAAACATGCAATGATAATTGATTAATTGCAGATTAATTCTTAAATTGGTAAATGAGTTAATCTTACAATGTTAATTGTCAGTGTCGAAGTATTTTTTTGATATTTTCGGATTTGATGAATGTTTAGCATAATAGAAAACATTATTTCTGAAACTATCCAAGTTGAACCATTTTGTTGCTCTTTAAAGTTTAAAGTGACTGCTGTGTTGCAGATTTGGGAAGTTTTCCCAATTACGACATTTGTTTTTAACTCATCTGTTTATCGATATTGCAATTGAGATATCGGTATACCGGTATATATCCCAAACAATATCATAATGAAAAATATTTGTATTTGAAACTAAAAATACCAGTAAACCGGTATTTCACACCCCTAATCCATGGCTGACTGTAGTTTACCCAAATCCACACGACTTAAACACATAATCATCCCGCACGCAGTGCGTTTGTCACCATGAGGGCTGTTTAATGTAATGTCTCCGCAGCTTTTCCGCCATCCGCACACAAAATGAACCAGTAATAGAATGCGGTAGCAATAACACGACTGCTCAAATGGTGTCAGGGATGGTGTCGCCGATAACGTCCCCGAAAGCGATGACTAATATCGGATTACGTCTGTCGCATTGGTCACAAACAAAGAACAATCGAAGCCTAACGAAAGCTCAACGCGGGTGACATTTCGACGACAAGATATTAATCATAATAATTGAATAACAAACGAAAATAATTATCCAGCCAGACTTGACTTTATCTTCATCTACTACAAACTTTTGGGTTATTTTAGTTCAACTTTGAAAAGGCACAAATTACCCAGACGAAAAAATATGGACGCCTACGGTTCATGTACTCCAGGGAGTATGAAAATGTCTCATCATCAATTTTGACTCCGGAGGAGTTTTTAGCAACTCAAGGGAATTAACAGTACTAGAAATGACAAACCATTCGGGGACCACTAAGAATATGTGTACAAATTTTCATGATGATCGGTTAAGTAGTTTTTGCGTGAAAGTGTAACAAACATCAGGACTTTCGCATTTATAATATTAGTAAGGATTCATTCATTAAATAATTTAATAAAGACGGGTATACTGATATTTTCATTCAAAAAACTCCGATTTGGAGCTCAAAATTTGTTTTTTCTTTGAAATATGTAATAATTAACTGTTTAAATGTAGGTACTGTTTAGTTTTTTGTTTCCTCTTATGGTCATCGAATAAAACCAGAGCAAAAGAAGCAGCAGACGATAAGCGACGAGTTTTTACTGATTAGGTTTGAGCTTCATTGCTGGAACTAGATGGCGTTAAAAGTAGTCAAATAGCCAGATGCGAGAGGTATTGTGGCTAAACTATTTCTTTATTTTAATTAAAAAATAATTTTTTTTATTAAATAAAAAATAACCTATAACCATTCAGGGACCACTAAGAATATATTGTATAAATTTTTTCATGATGATCGGTTAAGTAGTTTTTGCGTGAAAGTGTAACAAACATCAGGAATTTCGCATTTATAATATTAGTAGGGATAAAGCTATATATTAATTTCCTTGTTATAGCGAATAGATACTCTGTGTAACGATGAAAAATATTTTTATTTCTAGCAATTATAAGCTAGAATATTTTTTTAAAGACATGACATCGATGGTAACATTTGAAATATTGTTGTAATTATGTTCCCAACATCCCTACAAATTGCAATGCAAATTTCTATAACTTAATCCCGATTTTTCAGCTAATTTGTTGGGGTGCACGTTGCGTTACTAGAAAATCATTTAAACATAACACAAGTGAATACAACTGAACGATGCGGAATTTATATTTAGACTTCAGCAAATATTTACCGGCATTTTTACGAGAATAATTCAGTTTATAACCAGCTAAGAAAAGATTAAACAGATGCCAGACCGCGTAAAATCCCAAAATTTGATTATTTTTGGCTTTTCTACGTAACGTCACGTTGTTTATAACTACACAGTATTTCAAACCTTATATTTCTTAAATACTCTGAAATATTACATAATATACGAGTACCTCAAGACAAAGGACAAAACCATCTTACGTAATTTTTCAATTTACTAAATTCCACTCGATAGTGATTTCCTCTTTCCGCGGACAAAAGCATAAAGGGGTGTACCGGTGGGGCGCAACCGCATGAAAGTGGATTATAAATGCCACTCCAACACGCAAACAGCACTCATTCTCCTCGCCACGCCGCGGAAGCAACAATTATTTCAATTACTTAACGTTTTATATTTTCTATTTACATTTAAGGATTACCCTAAGAAAATGAGCAAATAATAAGTCAATTTTAAATCAATTTAATTAATTTTTTACCTATATAACACATAAAACATTGAAATTTATAACCTCTTAGTCTTTAAACCGGAAGTTAATGGCGAATTCTCAAAATATTTCAATAAAGCCAAGAAAAATCTAAACAATAGTTTTAAACATTATTATATTAAGCTTTATAGTATTTTTAATGACTGAAACACTCTTAAACCGGAAGTTAATGGCCGCCATCTTAAAAAAATGACTAAGAACCAACCTAGAAATAAATTAATGCATTGTTTTCCAATATAAGAACATAAAACCCTTCTTGCAATTTCCCTAACCAACCGGAACCGATTGTCAGCCATTTTAGTAGCTCTTCGCTCGTTGCGCCCCGAGAACTCACCCTCAACGCGCCAAACGTCGCTATTGTATATTTAAAGCGTGGGCATGTGCGCGCTGAATAAATCGAACGCGAATGCTCGAAACGCGCCGAAATTTCGGGGGTGAAAGGTCCCGAACAGTTCCGAGTCTTCCAGGCGTTCCCCTATTGTCATTATCATGCAAAGTACGCACTTTTCTACGCATGGGAGAATTATTACAGCGTTGGAAGCAGAAGACACTTTTGAAGAGATAATTTTTGTAGGAAAAAAGTAGAATGTTTGATGAATCATAACTCGCTTAATTTAAGTTGTAGGGAGTTAAATAATGTATCATTAGAAGATAAATTTAATAGAGAATAAACATACCAAAAATGAACTTTGTACCATTATTAGTTTATTTGTAAATTAATAAAAACCAAAACATTGCTATTAATTTTTTAAGAAACTTTAATTCATTATATCTCAAAAACTATCAAAGATAAATCAATAATTTTTGAAACACACATAGATCTAGTCTTAAATTATAAAACACACAACATAAAATTTCAAAAAATTTTATCCCACCTCCAATAATCACCAAAAACATAAATTTCACTATAAATTATAGCAATGCCTGTGCGCAGCATCAAACTAAGGGATGAATTCAACATTGGTACAGTTCGGAACGCGCCGCGAGTCCGTCCGGTCGCAATCGCAAGCGCACCCCCTCCGCGAATCGCTATCAGTCGAGACGACGGCGGTGGCGGCGGCGGCTGAGAGGCACCGAGTCTCGGAGTCAGTCGAGGCGCAGCAGCCATCGCGTACGGTCGCTTCAATCCGCGCTATCACTGGTATACATCGGGAGCGTGTTGTTATTCGTGATATTCTCAAACAAAACAGCGTAAACAAGTGCGTAGAACGTAATAAAATGTGAAAACTGGATACTGGATTTTATTCGCTGCCAATCTACCTGATTTTATTAGGTAATATTTTTATTTTTCTGAAATATCTCCCAAACTATTGATGCAATTATCATGAAATTTTAAATGGTGATAAAGTATTAACCAAAGAATGCTTTACTGAAAAAATATTTCAAAAATATGCAATGGTTTTTGAATTATTTTGAAATAAATAAATAATTTCACATTTATTTACATTTTCATGTTATATTTTCGTTTTTCTTAAATATCTCCTAAACTATGAATGCATTTATTATAAAATTTTGTAAGATGATAATGTATTAACCAGAAAATATATTAGTGAAGAAATACTTATAATATTTGCAATAGTTTTTGAGTTATTTGCAAATAAATAAATAATTTCACATTTATTTACATTTTCATGTAAATTTTTGGTTTTTCTTAAATATCTCCTAAACTATTAATACAATTATTATGAAATTTTGTATGATGGCAAACTATTAACTAATGAACATTTTAGTGAAGCAATAATTTAAATTGATTGATTAGTTTTTGAGTTATACATAAATAACTAAATAATTTTCCATTTATTTACATTTCCTTGCATAAACTTGATTAAGTAATAATATTTTTCATATACTTTTGTGTTCTGTTACTATTTTACGAAAATAATGCAATGTAGTGCAGCGTGTGTGGCAGTTTCTTTGTTCTTGATGCTGCGAGACTGCTGCGCTGCTTGCTTCCGGACTTCCGCGTTGGGGGTTGCGATTTTCTCATCGTGATCGTGAAAGAAACTTGTCTGGAAAGTTTCACTACGGCTGCGTCCAGACGGTGAATTGAAAATTTTTCGACGCTCGTAAAAAAGCCAAGTTTAGAGCTGGAAAAAACATAAAAGAAAATCTTACGCCAAGTTTAAACTTTAAAAGCTTTGATATGAAAGTAACGAGTCGATCAATTTCAACGAAATCGCGTGCAGTTTTATTTAAAGTCAATCTTTATTTAGTGCATAACTCTTATTATCTATTTATTCTTACAATTACATTTACATTCAAACAATAAATTTAAATACTTTGGTTTTTTAAGTTGGTATAGATTAATGTAGGCAACCATGTATACACATAACACATTTATTAACCTTTTAATAATTTATTTGTTTTTAAAGCGATTAAATTCAAAGAAATCACGAAATGTTTTATTTAAAAACAATATTTTATTAGTGCTTTACTTAGAAATAAGTTATTTATTATTAAAATTAATTAAATTTTTATTAAAACAAATAAAATTTATTTTTTTAGGTTGGTAGTAATTAAAGATTAACGTAGGCAACCCTTTATACACATAACCAACGCGTCTTTTAACTGTTGAAACTTCTGCGTTTGGTAAGCGTTAATTTTTAAGTTTTTAACATGTTTTAAAACTATTAAAACTATTGTAAGTAAAATCTTGCATTTCGTGTGTCTTGTTTACGTTATTCTGCATTCCATTGTACGATAACATCGATAAGACGATAAAATCCGCGCGTCTTTCACCTTGATACAACCTCTAAACAAGTTTCTCGCGGCGTCGGTTGATAATAGACATGCGCAATCAGAAATAACGCTGATTTTGTGCATTAATTTCATTTCTATTTTGCAGTGTGTTGTGCACCGTCGGTTTGCATCCGACTCGTCGTCGCCATGCCGCATTATTCGGTTTGATTAAAACTCAAGCAAAGTGAACACAGACTCCAAAGAGATACAGAGACACAGAGACACAATCAGTGAGCAGTGCGCGCGCGGAGCTTGCTGATTAAATAAAGATTAATAAAACGCCGCGTCGGAAGCAGCGGCGGCGGCGGCGAGTGCGCGTCGATACGACCATTCGATCCCAGCGAGCCGCGCACCAGCAATGATCACATCATCGTCGGCGACATGAAACGAACGCCGTCTCTCCACTACTTACTATGGATACACATGCTGCTCGCGTCTTTTATGTTCATCGTTACCGGTCTAGGTGAGTGCCATGCTTTTTACAATCACTTAAATTCAATTGGGATGTGTTTCAAGCGAGCGCTGAGAGAGGAAGTTGATGTTATGTGGGAAACATTGATTTTCGGATGGATCATAATGTAATCCATCAATGTTGAAAGAATCTTTTGTTTTTATTGAAAAACATAAAAGTTAAGATGAATTTTCTTAACTTTTTTCATGAAATTTTTTACTTTTCATAAATAACACAAAAACTATAATAACTACAAAATATTTTATTTCATAATAATAATCTACATAAAATTATCTTTCTAAAGACATATAACACAATATTCTACGATTTATTTTAATCGAGTTATAACACTGCAAACGTAAAGTTTAATAATTAAAATGTTAGTTATGGTATGCAACCAGATATACACGCGTTGCAAGTTGATGTTATGTGGGAAACATTGATTTTTGGATGGATCATAATGTAATCCATCAATTCTGAAAGAATCTTTTGTTTTTATTGGAAAACATCAAAGTTATGATGAATTTTTCTCATTTTTCTCTGATTTTTTTTACATTTTCTCAAATAACCCAAAAACTATAATAATTACAAAATATTTTATTTCATAATAATAATCTACATAAAATTATCTTTCTAAAGACATATAACACAATATTCTACGATTAATTTTAATCGAGTTATAACACTGCAAACGTAAAGTTTAATAATTAAAATGCTAGTTATGGTATGCAACCAGATATACACGCGTTGCATAGTGTATGCATTGAATGGTAATTGCGTGTGTCGATATCTCGGCGCTGCGGACGATAAAATAAAAATTAACGCACGCATCGGCGATTATTATGAAATACAAAGCGGCGCGTGATAAATCGTTTCGCATTTGCGCATCGGACGCGCTCGCCGCGCTGACCGGTCGCTCGTTTGCCGGGTATGGAAACTGGATACGCGCACAAGCGGCTAACATAACTGCAAGCGGAAACTGGCGAACGGTGCAGAGATTTATGCGTTTTCATATCCCTCGAAAATACCACGGCTGCGACACGCGGTGCTACAACTCCCACGTGGTGTGGGGGAGGTGATGCACACATTGCGCGCTAAGGGGGTGTGAAATACCGGTATTAACATCGGTATACCGGTATTTTTAAAGTTTTAAATTTTTTTTGATGATTTTAAGAAATACATAAACAAAATTCTTTAAAATAATTTTTTTTAAATTTTTTTAAATTTTGTAATGTGAAATACCGGTATTGATACCGGTATACCGGTATTTTTAAAACAAAAAATTAGTTTGTAATGATTTTTTAAGAGAAATATTAACAAAATTCTTAAAAATAAATTTTTTTTAATTTTTAAATTTAGGAAAGTAAAATACCGGTATTAATATCAGTATACCGGTATTTTAAAACTTTTAAAAAATTTTCTATGTTTTTTTAAGAAATTCATTAACAAAATTCTATAATATAACTTTTTTAAATTTTTTATATTTTGTAATGTGAAATACCGGTATTAAAACCGGTATACCGGTAATTTTTCTTTCAAATACCGGTATTTTTCAATTCAATAAATCTTAAATTTATAAATACCGGTATAATCAATATATCGATCATTCCCGAAATACCGGTTAACCGAAAAACCGATATTCCACTCAAATTCTCTTCTAATTTAATTTTTTTTGGGTAAAAAATTTAAGATGTAAACGGAAACGGCGATTCCTGCGTCGTAAGACGACCCGCAAAAGGATGCTTTGTAGGTGGCGGCGAGGGGGGCGCCGAAATCATTAATTTTAATTTATTGCGGCTCATAAATCCGCTCCGGGGCGCTGTTTGCGCACGTCTCGCGCACGCGAAAAATTTCTTCCCGCATCTCTCACGTTGAATCCACTTTTCGCTGAATTCAGGATGCGGAATGCTTTCTGAATCCTTTTTTTCTTCTCCACGCTTGGCGGGTCTTTTTATTTTGCAACGTTTTACCTACGTAGTGCTCCAGATATTTCTACTTTATAATAATTAAATTGAAATTGGAACGATTTGTTTTCACAGTGCTGCCATCTAACGGCACAATTTTCCATAAAATAATTTTTTCTTATTATACTACTTTATAAAACAATTTTTGAATTTTTTTTAAACGTGGTTTGATTATAATTATTTTAAAGAATTTTTATTGTTTATTAAAATATACAGGGTGTTAAAGAAAATGTTTAAAATTTGAAAAAATATTTAAAAATGTAAAATGTTGTTTGGTATAATGTTCGGTTCTTTGTATGCCATGCCCAGCTGGTCTTCATACCGGCATGTTGAAGAGGAACACACAGGAAATTAATTAATTTCCCTCAATTAGTCGGCCGGCCGATGCCGATGCTTTCGCGCCGCCCCTCACTCGGAACGCACGCCGCCTAAACGCTTGTTTCGTCTACGAAAGCGTTTAATTTTCATTTCAATTTTAAATCTTGTTGCAACTTTGAATAAATTTCCTCACACCGCGTGAGCTGGAAAAGAAAAAATCTCATTTCATGTTTAATTTAAATTTCCAAGCGAAAGAGAAGGTTTGAAGGCTTTAATTTCGCAATTTGTTGATGGGTTTGATTTGGCCGTGTTGTCGAATTGTTGTTGTTGTCGTCGTCGTCGGACGGATCGTGTAACGACAGAGGCACGACTCGTCCGGCGAGAGACGGCGGACGGGAACATGTGGACGTTGTGGACGTAATGACAGCGAAGTTAATTAAATGCTCGTCAATTATATACATGCGCCGCATCGGCGAATAGTGCGCTCGTTTGTAATTACAAACAAATTGAACAAAGCGGCGCACCGGTGCCAACAATCATAGGGGTGGAAGGTGCAAATCATTGCAGGACATTTTATTCACAAAAAAGGTTAAAAATGAATTTTGTGGAGAAAAAAACCGGTATTTTTGAAATCAAAATATCGGTATATCGGTTATACTAGTATTAATTAATTTTTATTGTATTGAAAAATAACGGTACTTAAAATAAAAAATACCGGTATACCGGTACCTATCGATACCGGTATTTTACACTGGTTTTTGTAAAAATGAAAAAAAAGTTATTTTTGTTGATTTTTGGATTTTTTAAATAATTATCGTAAAATTTGAAATTTTGAAAATACCGGTATTTGATTGGTAAATACCGGTATACCGGTATTGATACCGGTATTTCACACCGGTTTTTATAAAAATGAAACAAAAGTTATTTTTGTTGATTTTTCGAATTTTAAAATCATTATCGTAAAATTAAATATTCTAAAAATACCGGTATTTGATAGGAAAATACCGGTATACCGGTATTAATACCGGTATTTTTTAAGCCTAAAAAAAATTACAGTAAATATAATAATTTAGCGCTATATATCAACTAAAAATATGTTATTAAAATATTATCTTCTTTTATTCAACATAAAACTTTAATAAAATACAAAAATAGGTTAAATAAACATAAAACCAATAATTCGCGACATAAACAATAAAAAAAATAAAGTACCTAATCTTCCGATATGTCACTAGTGTAAATATCAGTTTATTTTATTAATTTATTTATTTATTTTTCCATAAAACGCGCATTATTTTTGATTGCGAAATTTAATTAAATATAACAACTACTGCTATTACCATAATAAAAACACATATCATATATTTACACATCGACGCATGCCTAATACACCAGTGTGTGCCTAGTGTAATATTACCGCCATTATTATTGTTGTTCGCGCGCGCGCGCGAAATTGTTGTTAATGCATCGCGTGTCTCGCTAATTTGCAAAATTATACAGATACACACATACACCTACAATACATGAGCGACTAGTACGAGTATAGCAGGTTAAAATGCGTTTTTGTTCACGGCGCGCACGCTTGTTTTAATTTTAACGAATGCAAATATTCGGGGCGACGCAAAAACAAAACATAATCAGCGTGTCAGCGCGTCAGCGCGCGCGCCGTGCGGATACAAGAACTAATGGGCTTGTAAAACAGCGTGTCATAATTAACAATTAAATGCCGTTGATAACAAATTTAATTAAAACATTGTTGTAATTTATGCAGAAAACCAAACAAATAAATTGGGCATATTTTTGGGTATTTAGAGTAAAAATATTAAAAATAGAAAATTTTTATTTTTTACATTTAGGGGTGTGAAATACCGGTATTAATACCGGTATACCGGTATTTTTTCTTTCAAATATGAAAAATTCTTATGATATAATTTGCTATATATACGGTATACCGGTATTAAGAGTGTGAAATACCGGTACTAATACCGGTATACCGGTATTTTTCTTCAAATACCGAAAATTTCCCAATAAAATAAAAATTAATTTTGATAAATACCGGTTTTACCGGTATACCGATCATGCTCCAAATACCGGTATTCTGAAATACCGGTATTGAGTCCCGTGATAAAAAATATAATATAAATATTATAAAAACATATTTTTAGTTGACAAATATCACTAAATGTTTATATTTATTTTAGTTTTTGACATAAACATTTAATTTTTCGTTAAAATATAAAACAAAACCCGAAATTAATTAAATTTACTGATAGTAACACAATTATTTCCCAGTTTGCTGTCGAAAAGTTATAAATTACATTACATGTTCCATGCGAACGTCAAAAAAAGTAAACAAGTAAAATACAACGCAAGATTAAACTGTTATAGACGTCTTAGACTCGCTTTTTACGTCAATTTTGGTAATTTTTTTTTGTGCTTGTTTCAACAAGTTCTTCTCCAATTTTACTCATTTCTCCGGCTGCTTACACTTGGCTAAGTAACAATTGATGTTCTTCTTTGCCCATTGGGATTTTTTGCGGCTGATTTACCCAATTTTCCAATTCGGCCACTTTTTGCCCGATTCGATCCGCTCGTGTATTTTTTTTTCTCTCTCCCAATGTGCGTGCGCGGGCTCTCTTGGGGCCCGAGTTTCATTCGGGCTTTTTGTTTATCTAGTCCGCATAGTAGTACTATACTAATTTGGTAAAGTAACTAAAGTAAAGCGCCGGT